TGGATGGAGGCGAAGGGCCCGTGGCAGGGCCGTGCCCCCCCCCGCTCCGTGCTGCCAGCTCCATGCCAGGACCCGCTGGGATTTTCCTCTCCTTTTTTGCCTCGCGTCGATGCCCCCAGCGCCATGGGGGGTCCCTAAGGCGAGGCCGGCCCGACGGGGTCCCCGTTCCCCGCGCTGGGCCCTGTGTGTGCTGTGCTGCTCCCTCCCTGCTGTTGCCCTTCCACCCACCCGTCGATTTTGGGTTTTTTTGTCTTTTTTTTTTGTTCCTTTTCTGCTCTGTTACAGTCTAGAAAGCGCTAAACCCTCCTCCCAGGCAGCCTCCGCCACGGCCCCTGACCACCTCAGCATCAACCTCTCTCAACCCTCCACCCCTTCTTCTTCTTCTTCTTCTTCTTCCTCCTCCTCCACCACCACCACCACCACCACCACCCCCTCGCTCGCCGCAGCGGCGGCCTCCGAAGCACCCGTCAGCCTCCCCAACCCTCTTCCGAGTGCCCCCTGTGTCTCCAGTCTGCTTGGCATGAAACCCGTCCCTCTCCTGGCTCTCAATGTGGTCTCTGCTGCTAAAGGCGCCTCGGCTCCGGCCGTGCCGGGTGCCCCTAACAAACTGAAAGCGGAAAAACAGAGGTTTGCTCCTTACTGAGCCTGCTGGAGCCTTGAGAGCCCCAGCAGCTGGAGAAGCCCGAGGGGAACCCGGGAAAAAGCCCTTTCCCCGCTGCCTTGGGTCCTTTTTGGCTTCTCCTCTTCCTCTTTGGAGCGAGGCCGTGCTCATCCCTCCCCGGGGGTTTTGCCGGGGGAGAGATGATTTCCCCTCCTAGGGAGCCATTAACTCCTCCTGCTCCTGCTGGCTTGTAGCTTTTTTTCCTTACGATTTCCTCTCCTTTCTTCCCAGTTTTTAGTTGCAATCGTGCTTTGTGGAGGGGGGGGTGGGGGGGTGGAGGGAGGGGGTCGTTATGGAATAAACGACTTGGGGCGGGATTTAATCCTCTTGGAATGTCTGTACCCTGTAATAAAGTTGCCACGGTGAGAATCTGCTCTGCTAGATCTGTGCTATGGGAGGGGGGGGGTTGGGAGCCGGGGGGGGAGCCCCCATCGCCCATAGTAGGGTGCTTTCACCCCTAGTGCGGTGCCCCCCCCCCTTTAAATAGCAGGGAGGTGGCTGCTTGGTGCAGGTTTGGGGATGCTGGTGCTGGCCCTGCCTTGCTGGGGGGGATCCCCCCCAATTGCATCGTGTGTGCCCCCCCTTAACCCTCTCCATGGGGGGGTTCCAACCCTTTCCCTCCTTCCCCTTGCGCTGCTGCACCCCAGGGTGCTTTGGGTGCCCTCCTCCCCGCCCCCTTCCCTCTGGATCCAGCCCACTTGGAGCCCCCCCCTCCTTGTTCCGCTGCCCTCCCTTTGCTGCTTCTGCCTTGTACCCCACTTCCCCCTATGGGGCTCCCCCCCCGCAGGGCAACCTCCCTATGGGGCTCCTCCTTCCCTTTCCCCCCCAGCCCCACTCTGACGCCCTTTTCTTCGTTGCAGGCTCTCCTCGGAGACCGGGGGCATGGGAAGCAGCTAGGGCCCGCCGCGGAGCCCGGCCCTCGCACCATCCATCTGTGTAGCCCCTTTAGAGCCAGCCCCAGGTTTCCAGAACCTTAGTTTGGACATTTTTGGGTTTCCGGTTCTCCACCACTCACCAGGTTGAGTTGTTTGGGATTTCTCTTGGTTTCTTGATGATGATTTTTTTTTTTTTTTTTTTTCTCTTCCTTATCCCCCATCCCCCTCCCCTCCTTTACCCCCCCCCCCCCCCCCAAAGCATCAGCGTTTTAACTCCTCCGGTCACCCGCTGAGCCCAGATCTTAGTTTTATAAAGCTTCTCTCTCCTCCCAATGCTCCTCTCTTTGGTTTTCCTCCTTTCCCCCCCCCACCCCCGTGTGCCCCGGCGCTGGGGGAGGGGGGGGTGGGGGGTAGGGGGGGGGTGGGGATGTGGGGGGAGGGCAGGGCACGGGAGCCCTCGCTCCATGGAACGGCAGGAGACTTTTTCAGGAAAAGCAGTTAATAAAAAGATGGACGGGAGCTTTGTCCGTGTGCCCCCCCCCAGAGCACCCCTGTGTGCCCTGCCCCCCAGAGCACCCCCTGTGTGCCCTGCCCCCATAGCACCCCCTGTGTGCTCCCCATAGCACCCCTGTGTGCCCTGCCCCCCAGAGCACCCCTGTGTACTCCCCAGAGCACCCCTGTGTGCCCTGCCCCCCCAGAGCACCCCCTGTGTGCCCTGCCCCCCAGAGCACCCCTGTGTGCCCTGCCCCCCCCAGAGCACCCTGTGTGCCCTGCCCCCCAGAGCACCCCTGTGTGCCCTGCCCCCCCCAGAGCACCCCTGTGTGCCCTGCCCCCCAGAGCACCCCCTGTGTGCCCTGCCCCCCAGAGCACCCCCTGTGTGCCCTGCCCCCAGAGCACCCCCTGTGTGCCCTGCCCCCCAGAGCACCCCTGTGTGCCCTGCCCCCCAGAGCACCCCTGTGTGCCCTGCCCCCCAGAGCACCCCCTGTGTGCTCCCATAGCACCCCTGTGTGCCCTGCCCCCCATAGCACCCCCTGTGTACTCCCCAGAGCACCCCTGTGTGCCCCCCATAGCACCACCTGTGTGCCCCTCCATAGCACCCCCTGTATGCCCTGCCCCCCATTGCACCCCCTGTGTGCTCCCCATAGCACCCCTGTGTGCCCTGCCCCCCCAGAGCACCCCTGTGTGCCCTGCCCCCCCCAGAGCACCCCTGTGTGCCCCCCCCAGAGCACCTTGTGCCCTGCCCCCCCATAGCACCTCCTTTGTGCCCCCCCAGAGCACCCCTGTGTGCCCTGCCCCTCATAGCACCCCCTGTGTCCCCCCCCAGAGCACCCCTGTGTGCCCCCCATAGCAACCCCTGTGTGCTCCCCATAGCACCCGTGTGCCCTGCCCCCCCATAGCACCCCCTGTGCCCCCCTGAGCACCTCCTTTGTGCCCCCCCATAGCACCTCCTTTATGTCCCCCCAGAGCACCCCTGTGTGCCCCCCCCATAGGACCCCCTGTCCCCCCAGAGCACCTCCTGTGTGCCCCCCCTATAGCACTTCCTATGTACCCCCCATTACCCCCTGTACCCCCTTCATGTGGCCATAGCACCCCCTGTGTGTGCTCAGAGCCCCCCCCATGCCCTGGGCTCACTCTGCCCCGGGGGGGGTGCAGGTGGATCCATTGGGGTTGGGGGTTCCCTTGCTCTTTAATGGGAAGCAGCACCCCCAAATCCTTTAGGTTCCCCTTTGGGAGGGGCTTTGCTTTAACCCCCCCCCCCCCCCCCCCCCCCCCCCGATCCACTGGTCTCAGTCCCCCCAGTAAAGGAGTGGGGCTGGAAGGGGGGGATTTCAACCCCTTCTATGCTTTGTTGTCCCCCCCCAATTTAACCCCTGGTCTGGGGGGCCACCATCCTTTACTCCCCCCCCCCCAGTGCTCCCCAGTCCCCCAGTAAAGCAGGGCTGGGACTGGAGATGGGGTTCAGCCCAAATCATCCCTGGGGGGGGGAACACACAGCTCCTGTCATCCCCCCCCCCTCTTTGGGTGGGGGGGCATTACAGTAGGTCCCACAGAAACACGGGGGGGGGATAGGCAGTATTGACCCCTATTGGTGTCCCTGCCCCCCCCATGCACAGAGACAGCTTCCTCTAGAGATCCATAGATATTTATATAAATATATGGGGCTGTACAAGTGGGGGGGGTGCGGGGGGATGCAGGTCACAGGCCGGGGGGGGCCGTGGGCCGGGGGGGGCCCTCGCCGCTGCCTGAGTGATCCAGCTCCGCGCTGTCGCAGTCCGAGTCCTCGGAGACCTGGGGGGGGGCACACAACAGAAAGGGGGGGGTTCAGCATCCTCAGACCCCCCCCCAACCCCCCTTTCCATGACCTTGGGGACCCCAAAGCTCTTCCCTATGGGATCCAGCCTTGGAGGCCCCCCCTCCCCTTAAGTCCCAGCCCTGGGGTCTGTAAGCCCCCCCCCCTCCCCTCCATCCCATAATGTCAAGCTCTGGGTGACCTTAGAGCCCCCCGTCCTGGGGGTCCCCTTTCACGTTGCCAGTCACTTCCGGGGGGACCCTAAGGTGTCTCCCCCCCCCATAGCACCCATCCCTTGGAGACCCCCCCCCCAACAGCACCCATCTCTGGGGAACCCCCTTGCCCTTTGCTAACCCCAGCTGGGGGGGCCTCAGGGCATCACCACCCCACAGCACCCAGCCCTGGGGACCCCCAAGGGACCCCCCCACCCCACAGCACCCAGCCCTGGGGGACCCCAAGGACCCCCAACCCCATATGAGCAGCATTGGGGGACCCTAAAACCCCCCCCCCATCCAAAAGCACCCACCTCTGGGGTCCCCTTTCCCCTTGCTAACCCCATCCTGGGGTACCCTAAGGACCCCCCACCCCATATGAGCAGCATTGGGGGACCCTAAGAAACCCCCATCCAAAAGCACCCATCTCTGAGGGACCCTAAGAATCCCCCCCCCATCCCAAAGCACCCATCCCGAGGGACGCCTTTCCCATTGCTAACCCCATCTGGGGGTAATCTAAGGACCCCCCCACCCCCATATGAGCAGCATTGAGGGACCCTAAGGACCCCCCCATCCAAAGCACCCACCTCTGGGGTCCCCTTTCCCCTTGCTAACAACATCCCGGGGGTACCCTAAGGACCCCCCCACCCCATATGAGCAGCATTGGGGAACCCTAAGAACCCCCCCATCCAAAAGCACCCACCTCTGGGGTCCCCTTTCCCCTTGCTAACAACATCCCGGGGGTACCCTAAGGACCCCCCCACCCCATATGAGCAGCATTGGGGAACCCTAAGAACCCCCCCATCCAAAAGCCGCCATCTCTGGGGTCCCCTTTCCCATTGCTAACCCCATCTGGGGTACCCTAAGGACCCCTCACCCCATATGAGCAGCATTGGGGGACACTAAGGACCCCCAACCCAGTAGCACCCATCCCGAGGGACCCCTTTCCCCTTGCTAACCCCATCCGGGGGTACCCTATGGACCCCCCACCCCATATGAGCAGCATTGGGGGACCCTGGGACCCCCCCCATCCAATAGCCCCCATCTCTGTGGTCCCCTTTCCCATTGCTAACCCCATCCTGGGGTACCCTAAGGACCCCCTACCCCATATGAGCAGCATTGGAGGACCCTAAGAAACCCCCATCCAAAAGCACCCATCTCGAGGGACCCCTTTCCCCTTGCTAACCCCATCCTGGAGTACCCTAAGGACACCCCCCCCCCCCATATGAGCAGCACTGGGGGACCCTAAGAAACCCCCCATCCAATAGCACCCACCTCTGGGGTCCCCTTTCCCCTTGCTAACCCCATCCTGGGGTACCCTAAGGACCCCCCACCCCATATGAGCAGCATTGAGGGACCCTAAGGACCCCCCCATCCAAAAGCACCCATCCCGAGGGACCCCTTTCCCACTGCTAACCCCATCCGGGGGTACCCTAAGGACCCCCCCACCCCATATGAGCAGCATTGAGGGACCCTAAGGACCCCCCCATCCAAAAGCCGCCATCTCTGGGGTCCCCTTTCCCATTGCTAACCCCATCTGGGGGTACCCTAAGGACCCCCACCCCATATGAGCAGCATTGAGGGACCCTAAGGACCCCCAACCCAGTAGCACCCATCCCGAGGGACCCCTTTCCCCTTGCTAACCCCATCCGGGGGTACCCTATGGACCCCCCACCCCATATGAGCAGCATTGGGGGACCCTGGGACCCCCCCCATCCAATAGCCCCCATCTCTGTGGTCCCCTTTCCCATTGCTAACCCCATCCTGGGGTACCCTAAGGACCCCCCCACCCCCATATGAGCAGCATTGGAGGACCCCGGGACCCCCCCCCATTCAATAGCACCCATCCCGAGGGACCCCCTTTCCCCTTGCTAACCCCATCTGGGGGTACCCTAAGGACCCCCCACCCCATATGAGCAGCACTGGGGGACCCTAAGAATCCCCCCCCGTCCAAAAGCACCCACCTCTGGGGTCCCCTTTCCCCTTGCTAACCCCATCCGGGGGGTACCTTAAGGACCCCCACCCTGTATGAGCAGCATTGGAGGACCCTGAGAACCCCCCATCCAAAAGCACCCATCCCGAGGGTCCCCTTTCCCATTGCTAGCCCCATCCGGGGGTACCCTAAGGACCCCCCCCCCCCATATGAGCAGCATTGGGGGACCCTAAGAAACCCCCATCCAAAAGCACCCATCTCTGGGGGACCCTAAGAATCCTCCCCCATCCAAAAGCACCCATCCCGAGGGACCCTTTCCCCTTACCCCATCCGGGGGTACCCCAAGGACCCCCCACCCCATATGAGCAGCATTGGGGGACCCTAAGAACCCCCCATCCAATAGCCCCCATCTCTGGGGTCCCCTTTCCCCTTGCTCACCCCATCCTTGGGTACCCCAAGACCCCCCCCCCAAGCACCCACCCCTGGGGGGTCTCTGACCTTGGGGCGCGCGGGGCCGTCGTGGGGGGCGGCGTCCATGGGGATCTCGGAGCCCTGCGAGAGCAAATCCTCGGAGCGCTCGTCCGGGCGCTCGTCCGTGTTGGTGCTGCCCACGTCGGGGGTGGCGCTGGGGGAGGCCTCGCTCGTCAGCCCCTCCCGTCCCCGTCCCCGTCCCCCATCCGAGAAGTTCTCGGAGCTGAAGGTGGAGAGCGACGGGCGCTGGCTCATGGCCGGGGGCCACCTGCGGCACAGGGAGCGGGGGGTCACGGGGGACCCCATGGGGACACATGGATACACATACACAGTGCGTGGGGTAACGTGTGGGGACCTATGGGGACACATGGATACACATACACAGTGCGTGGGGTAACGTGTGGGGACCCATGGGGACATGGATACACATACACAGTGCGTGGGGTAACGTGTGGGGACCTATGGGGACATGGATACACATACACAGTGCGTGGGGTAACGTGTGGGGACCCATGGGGACATGGATACACATACACAGTGCGTGGGGTAACGTGTGGGGACCCATGGGGACATGGATACACATACACAGTGCGTGGGGTAACGTGTGGGGACCTATGGGACATGGATACACATACACAGTGCGTGGGGTAACGTGTGGGGACCCATGGGGACATGGATACACATACACAGTGCGTGGGGTAACGTGTGGGGACCTATGGGGACATGGATACACATACACAGTGCGTGGGGTAACGTGTGGGGACCCATGGGGACATGGATACACATACACAGTGCGTGGGGTAACGTGTGGGGACCTATGGGGACACATGGATACACATACACAGTGCGTGGGGTAACGTGTGGGGACCTATGGGGACATGGATACACATACACAGTGCGTGGGGTAACGTGTGGGGACCTATGGGGACATGGATACACATACACAGTGCGTGGGTAACGTGTGGGGACCCATGGGGACATGGATACACATACACAGTGCGTGGGGTAACGTGTGGGGACCTATGGGACATGGATACACATACACAGTGCGTGGGGTAACGTGTGGGGACCCATGGGGACATGGATACACATACACAGTGCGTGGGGTAACGTGTGGGGACCCATGGGGACATGGATACACATACACAGTGCGTGGGGTAACGTGTGGGGACCTATGGGACATGGATACACATACACAGTGCGTGGGGTAACGTGTGGGGACCCATGGGGACATGGATACACATACACAGTGCGTGGGGTAACGTGTGGGGACCTATGGGGACATGGATACACATACACAGTGCGTGGGGTAACGTGTGGGGACCCATGGGGACATGGATACACATACACAGTGCGTGGGGTAACGTGTGGGGACCTATGGGGACACATGGATACACATACACAGTGCGTGGGGTAAGTGTGGGGACCTATGGGGACATGGATACACATACACAGTGCGTGGGGTAACGTGTGGGGACCTATGGGGACATGGATACACATACACAGTGCGTGGGGTAACGTGTGGGGACCCATGGGGACATGGATACACATACACAGTGCGTGGGGTAACGTGTGGGGACCTATGGGGACATGGATACACATACACAGTGCGTGGGTAACATGTGGGGACCTATGGGACACATGGATACACATACACAGTGCGTGGGGTAACGTGTGGGGACCTATGGGGACATGGATACACATACACAGTGCGTGGGGTAACGTGTGGGGACCTATGGGACACATGGATACACATACACAGTGCGTGGGGTAACGTGTGGGGACCCATGGGGACACATGGATACACATACACAGTGCTGGGGTAACGTGTGGGGACCCATGGGGACACATGGATACACATACACAGTGCGTGGGGTAACGTGTGGGGACCCATGGGGACATGGATACACATACACAGTGCGTGGGGTAACGTGTGGGGACCTATGGGGACACACAGATACACACAGAGCATGGGGGTCATGGGGTGCCCATGGATGCACACGGAATACACACAGACACACATACACAGCGCATGGGCATCACATGGGTACCACATGGGTACACACAGAGCGTGGGCATCATCTGGGTACTACATGGGTGCCGCATGGGTGCACACAGATGCACACAGAGCGTGGGCATCACATGGATACCGCATGAGTACCACATGGGTACCACATAGATACAGCGTGGGCATCATGTGGGTACCACATGGGTACACACAGAACATGGGCATCACGTGGGTACACACAGAGCGTAAGCTATGTATGTGTGTACACATACATAGTGCACGGGCGTCACATGGGTACACATGGGTACACATAGACACAGCATGAGCATCACATGGGTACCACATGTGTACACATAGATACACACAGACACACACAGCATGAGCATCACATGGGTACCACATGGGTACACATAGATACACATAGACATACACAGCATGAGCATCACATGGGTACCACATGGATACACATAGATACACACAGACACACACAGCATCACATGGGTACCACATGTGTACACATAGATACACACAGACACACACAGCATGAGCATCACATGGGTACCACATGGATACACACAGATACACACAGACACACACAGCATGAGCATCACATGGGTACCACTGTGTACATATAGATACACATAGACACACACAGCATCACATGGGTACCACATGTGTACACATGGATACACACAGACACACACAGCATGAGCATCACATGGGTACCGCATGTGTACACATGGATACACACAGACACACACAGCATCACATGGGTACCACATGTGTACACATAGATACACACAGACACACACAGCATGAGCATCACATGGGTACCACATGTGTACATATAGATACACATAGACACACACAGCATCACATGGGTACCACATGTGTACACATGGATACACACGGACACACACAGCATGAGCATCACATGGGTACCACATGTGTACACATAGATACACATAGACACACACAGCATGAGCATCACATGGGTACCACATGTGTACACATAGATACACACGGACACACACAGCATGAGCATCACATGGGTACCACATGTGTACACATAGATACACACAGACACACACAGCATGAGCATCACATGTGTACCACATGGGTACACATAGATACACATAGACACACACAGCATCACATGGGTACCACATGGATACACACAGATACAGACACACACAGCATGAGCATCACATGGGTACCACATGTGTACATATAGATACACACAGACACACACAGCATGAGCATCACATGGGTACCACATGTGTACATATAGATACACACAGACACACACAGCATGAGCATCACATGGGTGCCACATGTGTACACACAGATACACACAGACACACACAGCATGGGCATCACATGGGTACCACATGTGTACACATGGATACACACAGACACACACAGCATGAGCATCACATCGGTACCACATGTGTACACATAGATACACATAGACACACACAGCACGAGCATCACATGGGTACCACATGGATACACATAGATACACACAGACACACACAGCATGAGCATCACACGGGTACCACATGGATACACATAGATACACAGACACACAGAGTGCATAGGCACCACATGGGTACCCCATAGACACACACAGCACGTGGGCATCACATGGGTACTACATGTGTACACATAGATACACATAGACACACACAGCACATAGGCACCACATGGGTATCCCATAGACACACACAGTGCACGTGGGCATCACATGGGCATCCCATGGGTACCACATAGGTACACATGGAGGCACACAGGTAACCATGGATACCCATAGTACACACAGCTCACGTGGGCATCACATGGGTACTACATGGGTACTACATAGGTATGCATGGATGCACATAGATAACCATGGATACCCATAGCACACACAGCTCACGTGGGCATCACATGGGTACCACATGTGTACCACATAGGTACCCATGGATGCACATAGGTAACCATGGATACCCATAGCACACACAGCACACGTGGGTACCACATGGGTACCACATAGGTACACATGGATGCACATAGGTAACTATGGATACCCATAGCACACACAGCACACGTGGGCATCACATGGGTACGACATGAGTACCACATAGGTACACATGGATGCACGTAGGTAACCATGGATACCCATAGCACACAAAGCTCAGGTGGGCATCACATGGGTACCACATGGGTACCACATAGGTACACATGGATGCACACAGGTAACCATGGATACCCATAGCACACACAGCAAACGTGGGCATCACATGGGTACGACATGGGTACCACATAGGTACACATGGATGCACATAGATAACCATGGATACCCATAGCACACACAGCGCACGTGGGTACCACATGGGTACCACATACGTACACATGGATGCACACAGGTAACCATGGATACCCATAGCACACACAGCACACGTGGGCATCACATGGGTACGACATGAGTACCACATAGGTACACATGGATGCACACAGGTAACCATGGATACCCATAACACACACAGCTCACGTGGCCATCACATGGGTACCACATGGGTACCACATAGGTACACATGGATGCACATAGATAACCATGGATACCCATAGCACACACAGCTCACGTGGGCATCACATGGGTGCCACATGGGTACCACATAGGTACACATGGATGCACGCAGGTAACCATGGATACCTATAGCACACACAGCACGCGTGGGCATCACATGGGTACGACATGGGTACCACATAGGTACACATGGATGCACAGGTAACCATGGATACCCATAGCACACACAGCACATGTGGGTACCACATGGGTACCACATAGGTACACATGGATGCACACAGGTAACCATGGATACCCATAGCACACATAGTGCACGTGGGCATCACATGGGTACCACATGGGTACCACATAGGTACACATGGATGCACACAGGTAACCATGGATACCCATAGCACACATAGCGCACGTGGGCATCACATGGGTACCACATGGGTACCACATAGGTACACATGGATGCACACAGGTAACCATGGATACCCATAGCACACATAGTGCACGTGGGCATCACATGGGTACGACATGGGTACCACATAGGTACACATGGATGCACACAGGTAACCATGGATACCCATAGCACACACAGCACACGTGGGTACCACACGGGTACCACATGGGTGCCACATAGGTACACATGGATGCACATAGGTAACCATGGATACCCATAGCACACACAGCGCACGTGGGCATCACATGGGTACCACATGGGTACCACATAGGTGCACATGGATGCACACAGGGAACCATGGATACCCATAGCACACACAGCGCATGTGGGTACCACATGGGTGCCACATAGGTACACATGGATGCACATAGGTAACCATGGATACCCATAGCACACACAGCTCACGTGGGCATCACATGGGTACCACATGGGTACCACATAGGTACACATGGATGCACATAGATAACCATGGATACCCATAGCACACACAGCACACGTGGGTACCACATGTGTACCACATAGGTACACATGGATGCACATAGATAACCATGGATACCCATAGCACACACAGCACGCGTGGGTACCACATGTGTACCACATAGGTACACATGGATGCACACAGGTAACCATGGATACCCATAGCACACATAGCGCACGTGGGCATCACATGGGTACCACATGGGTACCACATAGGTACACATGGATGCACATAGATAACCATGGATACCCATAGCACACACAGCTCACGTGGGCATCACATGGGTACCACATAGGTACACATGGAATCACACAGGTAACCATGGATACCCATAGCACACACAGCACGCGTGGGTACCACATGGGTACCCATAGACACACATAGATACATATAGATACACATAGACACACACAGTGCGTGGGCACCCCATGGACACCACCTGGGTACCCATGGACACCCACAGATACCCACAGACACACATAGACACCCCATAGATGCCCCATAGCGCACACAGCATGCATGGGCACCCCATAGTCACGCATGGACATCCAGAGATACCCATAGCACACACAGCACGTGTGGGCACCACACAGGTACCACATGGGTACCCCTAGATACACATAAGATAACCATGGATCCCCATAGACACCCATAGATACCCATGGCACACACAGCGAGTGGGCACCCCATGGACACCGCATGGGTACTCATGGACACCCACAGACACACACAGACACACATAGATACCCCATAGCACACACAGCACGCATGTGGGCACCCTATGGACACCCATAGATATCCATAGATACCCATGGACACCCATAGATATCCCATAGCACACACAGAGCACATGTGCACCCCATGGACACCCATGGATACCCCATAGCACACACAGCACGCATGGGCACCCTATAAACACCCCATAGCACACACAGCACATGTGGGCACCCCACAGACACCCATGGACACCCATAGATACCCACAGACACCCCATAGATAGCCCAGAGCACACACAGCACCCATAGCACCCATAAGACACCCATAGCACACCCAGCAGCCCACAGATAACCTATAGCACCCATAGACACCCCATAGCACACATAGACACCCACAGGACCCCACAGCACACCCAGATATCTCTTGCACCCATAGCACACCCAGCAGCCCATAGATAACCCATAGCACCCATAGACACCCCATAGCACACATAGACACCCACAGGACCCCACAGCACACCCAGATATCTCTTGCACCCATAGCACACCCAGCAGCCCATAGATAACCCATAGCACTTCCTAGCACCCATATACACCACATAGGACCCATAGACACCTCTTAGCACCCATAGCACCCCATAGGCTCCCCCTGCACCCATGCTGGTCTCTGGGCACCCAAGGCCCCACGGGCGTCCCGCACCCACCTCTGCCGCAGCGGCAGCTCCACCTCGCTGTCCACTTCACCCTCCTCTTCCTCTGAGGACACCCCCCGCTTCTGGGGGCACAGCAGAGGGGTTGGGGTCCTGCCCCCCCCGTAGGGACCCAGGGGCCCTGATACACCCCCCCCCCATCACCAGCAGGGACCCCTCAACACCACCCCCCCCCCTCCGGGGTTTCCCCATCCCTGTTATAGGATGCACCCATAGGGTCCTGGATCCTCTCCATCACCTGGAGGGACCCCAAACTCCCCCCGCAGGGACCATCCCACCCCATAATAGGATGCACCCGCAGGGTCCTGACACCTCCAAACCCCCCCCCCCCCCCGGTTCCCCATCCCACCCCCTGCCCCATAGGATGCACCCATAGGACCCTGGATCCTCCCCATCACCAGGAGGGACCCCACCCCCCCCCCCCCAACATCCCACCCCCCATAGGATGCATCCACAGGGTTCCCCCCCCCCGGCTGCCCCCATAGGACCCTGGACCCCCCCCATCCCCATCCCCATCCCCCCCCCGGCACCCCCATAGGACCCTGGATCCTCCCCATCCCCATCCCCATCCCCATCCCCCCCCCGGCACCCCCATAGGACCCTGGACCCCCCCATCCCCATCCCCATCCCCCCCCAAGCCCCCCCATAGGACCCTGGATCCTCCCCATCACCAGGAGGGACCCCCCCCCCCCCCCCCCCAACATCCCACCCCCCATAGGATGCATCCACAGGGTTCCCCCCCCCCCGGCTGCCCCCATAGGACCCTGGACCCCCCCCCATCCCCATCCCCATCCCCCCCCCGCCCGGCTGCCCCCATAGGACCCTGGACCCCCCCATCCCCATCCCCATCCCCCCCCCGGCACCCCCATAGGACCCTGGACCCCCCCCATCCCCATCCCCATCCCCCCCCCGGCCCCCCCATAGGACCCTGGACCCCCCCCATCCCCATCCCCATCCCCCCCCGGCCCCCCCATAGGACCCCGGGGTTCCCACCTGCCCTCTGGTCACTGCCGCCCGGTAGAGCAGCGCCGCGGGGGTCAGGTGCTGCGCGGGCCCCCCCCGGCCCCCCCTCGCGGCCGCGCTCTCCCGCTCGGGCTCCCCCGGGGGGGGGGCACCTGCGGGGGGGGGGTCCCGGGGGCCGCCGCCTCCGCCCCCCCCGCGGGTCCCGCATCCGGAGGCGCCGCCTCCAGGGTCCCCCCGAGGAGGTCGGGGCCGGGGGGGGAAGCCGGGGGGGGAGCCCCGCGGGGGGGGGGTTGGGGGCTCCCCGCAGCCCCCCCGCGGCCCCGCTTTGCGGTGCCGGCCCTTGGAGCGGCGGCTGCGGGGCGAGGGGGGCCCCGGGGGCAGGAGGGCAGCGCCACCTGCGCCATGGCCGCGTCCAGCTTGGGCAGGAGCAGCTCCGGCTTCAGGAGGTCGGGGCTGGGGGGGGGAACGGAACGGGACGGGATGGGGGGGGGAGAGACCCCCCCGTGGGGAGGGGGCAGCCCCATAGAGAGCCCTAAGAGGGAGCGGCTCTGCCCCCCCCCACAAAGGAACCGAGCACGCGGAGCCCCCCCCATCCCCGGCATCCAGAGCATCCCCATGGACCACGTCCTCCAATGGGCACCGGCGCCTGCGCCCAGGCACCCCCAAAGGACCACGAGCACCCAGGTGCCCCCCAGCCCCACATCCCCCTGTCCCAGACCCCCCAAAGGACCCCATTCTCCAAGCGAGCATCTGCACCCCCAAAGCACTCCAAAGTATCTGGGCCCCCAGAGCCCCCCCAGAGGAGCACAAGCCCCCACATGCTCCCCATATCACCAAGCATCCAGCCCCACAAGGACCCACATCCCCACATCCCCGAGCATCCCAACAGACCCCATTCTCCAATGGGCACCAGCATCTGCATCCCCAACACCCCCAAAGAACCCCGAGCCTCCAGACACCCCCAAGCTCCCAGCCCCACATCCCCCTGTCCCAGCCCCCCCCATTAAACCCCATTCTCCAATGGGCACCAACATCTGCATCCCCACCCCCCCAAGAACCACAAGCCCCCACATACCCCCATATCCCCAGGCACCCAGCCCCACAAGGACCCACATCCCCGAGCATCCCAACAGACCCCATTCTCCAATGGGCACCAACATCTGCATCCCCCCCCCCCCCCAAGAACCACGAGCATCCAGAGACCCCCATATCCCCAGGCACCCAGCCCCACAAGGACCCACATCCCCGAGCATCCCAATAGACCCCATTCTCCAATGGGCACCAACATCTGCATCCCCAGCCCCCCCACAAGAACCACGAGCATCCAGACACCCCCAAGCTCCCAGCCCCACATCCCCCTGTTCCAGACCCCCCAGTAGACCCCATTCTCCAATGGGCACCAGCATCTGCATCCCCCCCCCCCCAAGAACCACGAGCCCCCACATACCCCCATATCCCCAGGCACCCCAGCCCCACAAGGACCCACATCCCCGAGCATCCCAACAGACCCCATTCTCCAACGGGCCCCATCATCTGCACCCAACACCCCCCAACGCACCACGACCCCCCGGCGCTCCCCCAGCCCCACATCTCCGCCGATGCCCCCCCCGCTCACCGCTTGCCGTGGGGGGAGAGCTTCTGCGGGACGTTCCTCTTCTTGATGAGGGTCTCGACCGCGTTCCCGTGCAGGAGCCCCCGCGGCGCCCGCGGCTTGAAGAGCCCCGGGTACCGCTTCTCGAGAGCCTGCTCCCGCCTGGGGGGGCACCGCGGGGTGGGCGCGGGCACCGGCACCGGTGGGGCTGGGACTTGGGGGGGGGGCAATGGATATGGGGGGGGGGCAAAGGACATGGGGGGTGATGGTGGTGGCTATGGGGGGGGCAATAACCGGGGGGGGGCAATGGCCATGGGGTAATGGCCATGGGGGGGGGAAATGGCCATGGGGGCGTGACAATGGCCATGGGTGTAATGGCCATGGGGGGAGATGGTGGTGGCTATGGGGGGGGCAATAACTGGGGGGGGGGGCAATGGCCATGGGGTAATGGCCACTGGGGGGACAACGGCCATGGGGGGCAATGGCCATGGGGGGCAATGGCCATGGGGGGCAACGGCCATGGGGGGTGACAATGGCCATGGGGGTAATGGCCATGGGGGGTGATGGTGGTGGCTATGGGGCGGGCAATAACCGGGGGGGGGCAATGGCCATGGGGGGGTGATAATGGCCATGGGAGGGGGCAATGGCCATGGGGGAATGACAATGGCCATGGAGGGCAATGGCCATGAGGGGGACAACGGCCATGGGGGGTGACAATGGCCATGGGGGGGGCAATGGCCATGGTGGGGTGACAATGGCCATGGGGGGGACAATGGTCATGGGGGCTGACAATGGCCATCGGGGGATGACAATGGCCATAGGGGTGGCAATGGCCATGGGGGGGGACAACAGCCATGGGGGAGGCTATGGCCATGGGGGGGCAATGGCCATGGGGGGGTGACAATGGCCATGGGGGCAATGGCCATGTGGGGGCAATGGCCATGGGGGGCAACGGCCATGGGGGGGGTGACAATGGCCATGGGGGGATGACAATGGCCATGGAGGGGAGCAATGGCAAGGGGGAATGACAACGGCAATGGGGGAATGACAATGGCCATGGGGGGTGACAATGGCCATGGGGGCAATGGCCATGTGGGGGCAATGGCCATGGGGGGCAACGGCCATGGGGGGGGTGACAACGGCCATGGGGGGCTGACAATGGCCATGGGGGGCAATGGCCATGGGGGGGTGACAATGGCCTTGGGGGGATGACAATGGCCCCCCATGGGGGAGTGACAATGGCCATGGGGGTGACAATGGCCATGGGGGCAATAGCCATGGGGGGGAAAATAGCTGAGGGGGGGGCAATGGCCATGGGGGGACAATGGCCATAGGGGTGGAACAGTGATCATGGGGGGGGCAATGGCCATGTAGGGTGGGCAATGGCAATGGGGGCTGATAATGGCCATGGGGGGGTGACAGCGGCCTTGGGGGGTGACAATGGCCATGGGGGGGTGGGGGGGGTGGGGTAAGGGCAGGCCATAGGCTTGGGGTGGCCATGGGGCGGGTATAGGGTTGGCTCTGGCCATGGGGTAGAGGCAGGGGTGGCCATGGCCGAGAGGTGGGGATTGGGCTGGCCATGGGGTAGATCCAGGGTTGCCCATGGCCCTGAAGTGGGTGCAGGACTGGCCTCAGCAATGGGGTGGCCATGGGATGGGTCAAGGGGTGCCACTAGGTGCTCTGGGGGCTGTGGGTGCCATTGGGTGCTGTGGGGCGCTGTGGGCTGCTGTGGGTGCCATTGGGTGCCACTAGATACCATTGGGTGTCATTGGGAGCTGTGAGTGCCATTGGGTACCATCAGATGCCATTGGGTGCCATTGGGTACCATTGGGTGCTACGGGGTGCCATTGGGTGACGTTGGGTACCATTGGGTACCATTGGGTGCCATTGAGTACCACTGGACACCATTGGGTACCATTGGGTGTCATTGGGTACCCTTGGATGCCATTGGGTGTCACTGGGTACCATTGGGTACCGTTGCGTGCCATTGGGTACCATTGGGTACCGTTGGGTGCCATTGGGTGCCATTGGGTGCCATTGGGTGCCGTTGGGTGCCATTGGGTGCCGTTGGGTGCCGCTGGGTGTGCACTGACCTGAGCAGCTCCTTCTCCTTGAGCTCGAGCTGCAGCATGAGCGCGCTCAGCTCCATGTACAGGTTGTTGGCGCGCTCCAGCTTGCGCTCGTAGTGCTCCCGGATGTCCAGCGCGTGCCTGCGCACCCACAGCGCCCCATGGACCCCATAGCACCCCATACACCCCTTAGCACCCCATAGTGCTCCATAGCACCCCATAGACCCCATAGTGCTCCATAGCACCACATAGATATAGTGCTCCATATGACCACATAGCGCCCCATAGACCCCATAGCAACCCATGGACCCCATAGCACGCCATACACCCCTTAGCACCCCATAGTGCTCCATAGCACCCCATAGACTCCATAGTGCTCCATATGACCACATAGCGCCCCATAGACCCCATAGCAACCCATGGACCCCATAGCACGCCATACACCCCTTAGCACCCCATAGTGCTCCATAGCACCCCATGGACACCATAGTGCTCCATAGCACCCCATAGACCCCATAGTGCTCCATAGCACCCCACAGACCCCATAGTGCTCCATATGACCACATAGCGCCCCATAGATCCCATAGCAACCCATGGACCCCATAGCACGCCATACACCCCTTAGCACCCCATAGTGCTCCATAGCACCCCATGGACACCATAGCGCCCATAGACCCCATAGACCCCATGGCACCCCATGGACCCCATAGTGCCCCATAGTGCCCCATAGACCCCATAGTGCTCCATAGTACTGCATAGACCCCATAGCACCCCATACACCCCATAGACCCCGTAACAACCATAGCACCCCATAGCACCCCCCGGCACCCCATAGACCCCATAGCATCCCACAGACCCCATAGCACCCCATAGCGCTGCATAGCATCTACAGCACCCACAGCGCCCAACAGCATCCCACAGCACCCATGGTAACTCCACAGCACCCACCTCGCACAGGGACAGGCACCCAACAGCCCTCCCTGTACCCCAGCATCTCTGTGTCCCCCTGCGCCCACTACCCCAGCCGTGTGCCCATAGCCCCATGTGCCCCATATCCCCATGTGCCCCATAGCCCCATAGCCCCATGTGCCCCACAGCCCCTGTCCCCTGCCCACCGGAGCTCCTCGCGCCGGCGGTTGATGAGCTCCTCCTCCAGCCGGTGCAGACACGTCCCCTCCGACTTGATCTTCTCGAAGTGCAGCTTCACCTCCTCGCGCCACTCGGCCTGGGGCAAACAGGCACCGGGTACAGCGGGTACCGGGTGCACCGGGCACCGGGGACCAGGGGCACTGGGTACCACGGGCACTGCGCACTGGGTACCATGGGCACCAGGGACCATGGACACTGCACACCAGGTACCACGGGCACCGGGTACCATGAGCACTGAGCACTGGGTACCACGGGCACCGGTACCATGAGCACTGCACACTGGGTACCATGGGCACCGGGTATCACGGACACTGCGCAATGGGTACCATGGGCACCAGGTACCATGAGCACTGCACACTGGGTACCACACTCACTGCACACTGGGTACCATGGGCACTGGGTACCATGGGCACTGGGCACTGGGTACCATGGGCACTGGGTACCACGGGCACTGCACACTGGGCACCATGGGCACCGGGTACCATGGGCACTGCACACCGGGTACCATGGGCACTGGGTACCACGGGCACTGGGTACCACAGGCACTGCACACTGGGTACCACGGGCACTGCGCACTGGGTACCATGAGCACTGGGTACCATGGGGACTGGGTACCATGGGCACCAGGTACCATGGGCACTGCGCACTGGGTACCATGAGCACTGGGTACCACGGGCACTGCGCACTAGGTACCATGGGCACTGGGTACCATGGGCACTGGGTACCATGGGCACCAGGTACCATGGGCACTGCGCACTGGGTACCATGAGCACTGGGTACCACGGGCACTGCGCACTAGGTACCATGGGCACTGGGTACCATGGGCACTGGGTACCATGGGCACCAGGTACCATGGGCACTGCGCACTGGGTACCATGAGCACTGGGTACCACGGGCACTGCGCACTAGGTACCATGGGCACTGGGTACCACGGGCACTGGGTACCACAGGCACTGCACACTGGGTACCACAGGCACTGCGCACTGGGTACCATGGGCACTGGGTGCCATGGACACTGCGCACTGGGTACCATGAGCACTGGGTACCATGGGCACCAGGGAAACCAGGCACCAGCTACCGTGGGCATCAGCTGCACCAGGCACAGGGCACCCTGGGCACTGGACAGTATTGGGCAGAGCTGCTGGTGAGCACTGGATTATATGGGCCTGGGTGCTTGGAGGTGCTTGGGGCTGGTGCTTTGGGGTGTGAGTTCTTTGGGGTGCTAGGTTCTTCGGGGTGCTGGTGCTTTGGGATGCTGGGTGCTTTGGGGTGCTGGCTGCTGGTGCTTTGGGATGCTGGGTGCTGGTGCTTTGGGGTGCTGGGTGCTGGTGCTTTGGGATGCTGGGTTGCTGGTGCTTTGGGGTGCTGGGTGCTGGTGCTTTGGGGTGTGGGTTCTTTGGGGTGCTGCGTGCTTTGGGGTGCTGGGTGCTTTGGGATGCTGGGTGCTGGGTGCTTTGGGATGCTGGGTGCTTTGTGATGCTGGGTGCTTTGGGGGTGCTGGTGCTTTGGGATGCTGGGTGCTGGGTGCTTTGGGGTGCTGGTTCTTTGGGATGGTGGGTGCTGGGTGCTTTGGGGTGCTGGTTCTTTGGGATGCTGGGTGCTGGTGCTTTGGGGTGCTGGTTCTTTGGGATGCTGGGTGCTGGTGCTTTGGGGTTCTGGGTGCTGGGGGCTTTGGGATGCTGGGTGCTGGTGCTTTGGGGTGCTGGTGCTTTGGGGTGCTGGGTGCTTTGGAGTGCTGGGTGCTGGGTGCTTTGGGATGGTGGGCGCTGGTGCTTTGGGGTGCTGGGTGCCGGTGCTTTGGGGTGCTGGTGCTTTGGGGTGCTGGTGCTTTGGGGTGCTGGGTGCTGGTGCTTTGAGGTCCTGGTGCTTTGGGGTGCTGGTGCTTTTGGGTGCTGGGTGCTGGTGCTTTGGGGTGCTGGGTGCTGGTGCTTTGGGGTTCTGGGTGCTGGTGCTTTGGGGTTCTGGGTGCGGGTGCTTTGGGGTGCTGGGTGCGGGTGCTTTGGGGTGCGGGTGCTTTGGGGTGCTGGGTGCGGGTGCTTTGGGGTGCGGGTGCTTTGGGGTGCCGGGTGCGGGTGCTTTGGGGTGCTGGGTGCGGGTGCTTTGGGGTGCCGGGTACCTGTGATTTGAAGTACGTCTCCTGCGGGGTGGACAGGACGTCGGCGGAGGCGATGTCGAGGTGCAGCAGGATCTGCCGGAACGAGGGCCGGTTCCGGGGCTTGCTGTTCCTGCGGGAGCCGCACGGGGGCGCTGCGGGCGCTGGGCCATGGGCACCCGGGGGGGGGGGCAGCACTGACCGGGGTCCCCCCGCCCCTGCCCGCGGTGGGTGCCAATGGCGGGGTCCTCATTGGGTGCCCATGGAGGCGTCCCCTCTGCTGTGAGCCTTCCATGGTGTGGGGCTCCCATGGCTGTGTCCCCATGGGCTGTCCCAGGGGGTGCCCTCGGGGGGGGGCTCCGTGTCGGGGGGTCCCCATGGAGTGGGAGTTCCCACGGGGTGTCCCAAGGGTGGGGAGTCCCCATGGCCTATCCCTAGGTGGGGGGGACCCCAGGTAGGGTGTCCCCATGCAGTGTCCCCATGGCTGTCTCTGTACCCCCATGCAGTGTCCCCATGCGGTGTCCCCATGGCTGTCTCTGTACCCCCATGCAGTGTCCCCATGCAGTGTCCCCATGCAGTGTCCCCATGGCTGTCGCTGTGTCCCCATGGCTGTCTCTGTACCCCCATGCAGTGTCCCCATGCCTGTTGCAGCGTCCCCATGCGGTGTCCCCATGGCTGTCGCTGTGTCCCCATGACTGTCTCTGTACCCCCATTCAGTATCCCCATGGCTGTTGCAGTGTTCCCATGGCTGTCTCTGTACCCCCATGAAGTGTCCCCACGGCTGTCACTGTGTCCCCATGGCTGTCTCTGTGTCCCCATGCAGTGTCCCCATGGCTGTTGCAGTGTCCCCATGGCTGTCTCTGTGTCCCCATGCAGTGTCCCCATGGCTGTTGCAGTGTCCCCATGCAGTGTCCCCATGGCTGTTGCAGTGTCCCCATGCAGTGTCCCCATGCAGTGTCCCCATGCCTGTTGCAGTGTCCCCATGCCTGTTGCAGTGTCCCCATGGCTGTCTCTGTGTCCCCATGCAGTGTCCCCAGGTCCGTGTCCCCCCATTGGGGCCTCGTCCCCGCGCTCTCACCAGCACTGGCGCAGCAGCACCTTGAAGCCGTCGGGGCATCCGGTGGGCACGGGCAGGTGGAGGCTGTTGCTGCCCACGCCCCAGATGATGGCCGAGGAGTCCACGTCCTTGTAGGGGATCTCCCCGGTCAGCAGCTCCCACAGCACCACCCCGAAGGACCTGCGGCACCGCCGGCCCCGTCAGCCCCGGCCCGCTCCCCGCCGGCCCCATCGCCCCCCGGCTGCCCCCCTCGGCAGCGCCGGAGCCCCAGGCCCTCACCAGATGTCGACCTTCTCGGAGACGGGCTCGTTGCGGATGACCTCGGGCGCCATCCAGGCCACGGTGCCGGCGAAGGACATCTTGGTGCTCTTGTCGATGAGCTCCTTGGAGGTGCCGAAGTCCGAGATCTTCACCACGTCGTCGTAGGTGATGAGCATGCTGCGGGGGCACCCGCTCAGCGCCGCCGCCGCGCCATGCCAAGGACACGGCAACAACGTGCCACCGACGCGCCAATGACATGGCAAAGACATGGCAACAGCATGCCACCATGCCAATGACACGCCAATTACACGCCAATGACACGGCAACAACATGCCATCGACACGCCAATGACACGCCAATGACATGGCAACAGCATGCCACCAACATGCCAATGACACGCCAATTACACGCCAATGACACGGCAACAACATGCCATCGACACACCAATGACATGCCAATGACACGCCAATGACATGGCAAAGACACGCTAATGACATGCCACAGTGTGCCACCGACACGCCAATGACATGCCAATTACATGGCAACAGCATGCCACCAACATGCCAATGCATGGCAACAGCATGCCAACATGCCAATGACACACCAATGACATGCCAATGACACACCAATGACACACCAATGACACGCCAATGACACGCCAATGACACGCCAATGACATGCCAATGACACGCCAATGACATGGCAAAGACACGCCAATGACACGCCAATGACATGCCAATGACATGCCAATGACATGGCAAAGACACGCTAATGACATGCCACAGCGTGCCACCGACACGTCAATGACATGCCAGTTACATGGCAACAACATGCCACCAACATGCCAATGCATGGCAACAGCATGCCAACATGCCAATGACATGCCAATGACATACCATTGACATGCCAATGACACACCAATGACATGCCAATGACACACCAATGACACGCCAATGACATGCCAATGACATGCCAATCACATGCCAATGACACGCCAATGACATGCCAATGACATGCCACACAGCAACAACGTGCCGCTGACATGCCAATGACACACCAATGACATATCAATGACACAATGACATGCCACCAACATGCCAATGACACACCAATGACACACCAATGACACAATGATATGCCACCAACATGCCAATGACACACCAATGACACACCGATGATATGACAATGACATACCAACAACACACCAATGACATGCCAATGACACACCAATGGCACACCAACAAAACACCGATGACATGACAATGACACGTCAATGACATGACAATGACACGTCAATGACATGACAATGACATACCAACAACACACCAACGACATGCCAATGACACACCAATGGCACACCAACAAAACACCGATGACATGACAATGACACGTCAATGACATGACAATGACACGTCAATGACATGACAATGACATACCAACAACACACCAATGACACACCAATGACATGACAATGACATGGGCATGGCACCACCACGGGCATGCAACTGCTACAAACATCATTAGATCATGGGCATGCCACTACATGACACCGTCCTCAACATGGAACCACCACGGACATGCAATGGTCATGGGCATGCAACTGCCATGACCTGGTCCTGCTGCGGACATGCCACCACCACAGACACAGCACTGTCAGCACAATGAGCATGGCACCACCATGGACCCATCATGGGTATGGCACCACCATGGACCCATCATGGGTATGGCACCACCATGGACTCACCATGGACCCACCATGAGCATGGCAACCACCATGGACTCACCATGGACCCACCATGAGCATGGCACCATCATGGACCCATCATGGGTATGGCACCACCATGGACCCATCATGGGTATGGCACCACCATGGACTCACCATGGACCCACCATGAGCATGGCACCATCATGGACTCATCATGGGTATGGCACCACCATGGACCCATCATGGGTATGGCACCACCATGGACCCACCATGAGCATGGCACCACCATGGACACATCATGGGTATGGCACCACCATGGACCCATCATGAGCATGGCACCACCATGGACCCACCATGAGCATGGCACCACCATGGACCCATCATGGGTATGGCACCACCATGGACCCATCATGAGCATGGCACCACCATGGACCCACCATGAGCATGGCACCACCATGGACCCATCATGGGTATGGCACCACCATGGACTCACCATGGACCCACCATGAGCATGGCACCATCATGGACCCATCATGGGTATGGCACCACCATAGACCCACCATGAGCATGGCACCACCATGGACCCACCATGAGCATGGCACCACCATGGACACATCATGGGTATGGCACCACCATGGACCCACCATGAGCATGGCACCACCATGGACACATCATGGGTATGGCACCACCATGGACCCACCATGGACCCATCATGAGCATGGAACCACCATGGACCCCCCATGGGTATGGCACCACCATGGACCCACCATGGACCCATCATGAGCATGGCGCCACCATGGACCCACCATGGGTATGGCGCCACCATGGACCCATCATGGGTATGGTGCTGCCATGGACCCACCATGGGTATGGCGCTACCATGGGCATCCAACTGTCATGGACATGCAACCACCAAGGTCCATGCCACAGGCACAGCGCTGTCATGGACGTGTCGGCACCACCATGGCCACGGCCAGCGCCACGGCCACCACCACGGGTACGGCAGCACCACGGTCATGTCACCACCAAGCACATGCAACTGCCACCATCGTGCAACCACCGAGGCCAAGGTACCACCAGGACCATGCACCCACCTCATGCACGTCCCCACCGCGGCCGCGCCATCACCGGGGCACCCCCAGCACCCATGGGTGCTCCCCGGGCCCAGCCCCTCTCACTTGGGCGACTTGAGGTCGCGGTGGATGATCTTGTGCAGGTGCAGGTAGTTCATGCCGCCGGCGATGCCCATGGACCAGTCGACCAGCAGGGACGGGGTGACCTTGCGCCCGGCGCGCAGCACCTCGTAGAGCTGCCCCTGGGCGCAGAACTCCATGATGATGCAGTAGCAGGGTGCCTGGGTGCACACCCCCCTGCGGGCACACGGCACCCTCAGCACCCGCAGCTCCAGCACCACCGGGGCACCCAGTGTCATCAGGGCACCCAGTGCCACCAGGACACCCAGTGCCACCAGGCACCAGTGTCACCAGGGCACCCAGTGTCACCAGGGCACCCAGTGCCACTAAGGCACCAATGCCACCAGGGAACCCAGTGTCACCAGGGCACCCAGTGCCACCAGGCACCAGTGTCACCGGGGCACCCAGTGCCACCAGGACACCCAGTGCCACCAGGGCACCCAGTGCCACCAAAGCACCTATGTCACCAGGGCACCCAGTGCCACCGGGACACCCAGTGCCACCAGGCACCAGAGTCACCAGGGCACCCAGTGCCACTAAGGCACCAATGCCACCAGGGCACCCAGTGTCACCAGGGCACCCAGTGTCATCAGGGCACCCAATGCCACCAGGGCACCCAGTGTCACCAGGGCACCCAGTGCCACTAAGGCACCAGCATCACCAGGGCACCCAGTGTCATCAGGGCACCCAATGCCACCAGGGCACCCAGTGCCACCAGGCACCAGTGTCACTGGGGCACCCAATGTCACCAGGGCACCCAGTGCCACCAGGACACCCAGTGCCACCAGGCACCAGTGTCACCAGGGCACCCAGTGTCACCAGGGCACCCAGTGACACCAAGACATCAGTGTCACCAGGACACCCACTGCCACCAAAGCACCTGTATCACCAGGACACCCAGTCCCACCAGGGCACCAATGTCACCAGGACACCCAGTGCCATCAGGGCACCCAGTGCCACCAGAGCACCCAGCACCATCAGAGCACCCAGCACCATCAGAGCACCCAGCACCATCAGGGCACCCAACTTGACCAACTTCACCAGGGCACCCGTAAGTATCCAAGTACCTGGCAGCACCCATCAGTGTTGGGGCACCCAAGGCCCCCCATTAGCATTAGGAACACCCATCTGCCCATGGACACCCCTCTGCACCCACATCAGCTGTGACAGACCTGTCCCATGTGTGGCGGTCCCTGTGCCACATCTGGGATGCACCAGCGTGCCCCGTGTCCATGGGTGTCTGCACCCTGTGTCCATGGGTGTCTCCACTCCGTGTTCATGGGTGTCTGCACCCTGTGTCCATGGGTGTCTGCACCCTGTGTTCGTGGGTGTCTGCACCCCATGTCCATGCGTGTGCTGCCCACCCCGCTCCATGCCACGCTGGGCTTGCCCATGCCCATGCCATGTTGGTGCCCCTTGCCCATGGCCTCTCTGCCTGTGACCATGGCATGTCCTTGCCGTGTCCATGCCCATGCCGTGTCCGTGTCCATGCCCATGCCGTGTCCATGCCCATGCCGTGTCCGTGTCCATGCCCATGCCTTGTCCATGCCCATGCCGTGCCCATGCCCTGTCCATGCCCATGCCCTGTCCATGCCCATGCTGTGCCCATGCCCTGTCTATGCCCGTGCCGTGCCCATGCCCATGCCGTGTCCATGCCCATGCCACGTCCATGCCCATGCCGCGTCCATGCCCATGCCACGTCCATGCCCATGCCGCGTCCATGCCCATGCCGTGTCCATGCCCATGCCGTGCCCATGCCCATGCCGCGTCCATGCCCATGCCGTGTCCATGCCCATGCCGCGTCCATGCCCATGCCGTGTCCATGCCCGTGCCGTGTCCATGCCCATGCCGCGTCCATGCCCATGCCGTGTCCATGCCCATGCCGCGTCCATGCCCATGCCGCGTCCATACCCATGCCATGTCCATGCCCCTGCCGTGTCCATGCCCATGCCGTGTCCATGCCCCTGCCGTGTCCATGCCCATGCCGTGTCCATGCCCATGCTGTGTCCATACCCCTGCCGTGTCCATGCCCATGCCCTGTCCATGCCCATGCCGTGCCCATGCCCTGTCCATGCCCATGCCGTGCCCATGTCCTTGCCGTGTCCATGTCCTTGCCATGTCCATGCCCGTGCCGTGTCCATGCCCATGCCATGCCCATGCCCGTGCCGTGTCCATGCCCATGCCGTGTCCATACCCATGCCCTGTCCATGCCCATGCCCTGTCCATGCCCATGCCGTGCCCATGCCCATGCCGTGTCCATGCCCTCTGCACGTGGTGGCCCCCCCATGGCATGTCCATAGCCTGTGCTGGTTTCATGCCATGTCCATGCCTCCATCCCTCAGGCCATGTCCATGCTGTGTCCATGCCCATGCCATGTCCATGCTGTGTGCCCATGATGTTCTCCATTCCCCATGCCCACGGCTTACCCGTGCCATGGCCAAGTTCCATGCCCACAGCATGTCCCTGCCCCATGCCATGTCCATGGTGTCCCTATGCCCATCACACATCCTTGCCCCACACCATGTCCATTGTGCCCCATGGCCATCACACATCCTTGCCCCACACCATGTCCATTGTGCCCCATGCCCATCACACATCCTTGCCCCACACCATGTCCATTGTGCCCCATGCCCATCACACGTCCTTGCTCCACACCATGTCCATGGTGTCCCCATGCCCATCACCCGTCCTTGCCCCACACCATGTCCACGGTGTCCCCATGGCCATCACACATCCTTGCCCCACACCATGTCCATTGTGCCCCATGCCCATCACACGTCCTTGCTCCACACCATGCCCATGGTGTCCCCATGGCCATCACACATCCGTGCCCCACACCATGCCCATGGTGTCCCCATGGCCATCACACATCCTTGCCCCACACCATGTCCATGGTGTCCCCATGGCCATCACACATCCGTGCCCCACACCATGCCCATGGTGTCCCCATGGCCATCACACATCCGTGCCCCACACCATGCCCATGGTGTCCCCATGGCCATCACACATCCGTGCCCCACACCATGTCCATGGTGCCCCATGCCCATCACACATCCGTGCCCCACACCATGTCCATGGTGCCCCATGGCCATCACCCGCCCTTGCCCCACACCATGCCCATGGTGCCCCATGGCCATCACCCGCCCTTGCCCCACACCATGCCCATGGTGCCCCATGCCCATCACCCGTCCTTGCCCCACACCATGCCCATGGTGCCCCATGGCCATCACACGTCCTTGCCCCACACCATGCCCATGGTGCCCCATGGCCATCACACGTCCTTGCCCCACACCATGCCCATGGTGCCCCATGGCCATCACCCGCCCTTGCCCCACACCATGTCCATGGTGTCCCCATGCCCATCACATGTCCCACACCATGTCCATGGTGCCCCATGGCCATCACCTGCCCTTGCCCCACACCATGTCCATGGTGCCCCATGGCCATCACCCGCCCTTGCCCCACACCATGCCCATGGTGCCCCATGGCCATCACCCGCCCTTGCCCCACACCATGCCCATGGTGCCCCATGGCAGCCCCCGTGCGTGCCCGTGCCCCCGCTCACTTGAAGGTGATGATGTTGGGGTGCTTCAGCTTGCGCAGGTGCTTGATGTCGGTCTCCTTCAGGTCCCGAACCTTCTTCACGGCCACCTCCTCGCCGTGGAAGCGGCCCAGGAACACGGCGCCCTGCGCCCCACTGCCCACCCACTGCAGGTCCAGGATCTCCTCGAACGGCACCTCCCAGGGGTCTGCGGGCACAGCACCCATGGCACCCATGGCACCCATGGCACCCATGGCACCCATGGCACCCGCACCCATGGCACCCGCACCCATGGCACCCATGGCACCCATGGCACCCATGGCACCCACACCCATGGCACCCATGACACCCATGGCACCCGCACCCATGGCACCCGCACCCATGGCACCCATGGCACCCATGGCACCCATGGCACCCGCACCCATGGCACCCGCACCCATGGCACCCATGGCACCCATGGCACCTGTACCCATGGCACCTGCACCCATGGCACCTGTACCCATGGCACCCGCACCCATGGCACCCGCACCCATGGCACCCATGGCACCCATGGCACCCATGGCACCCATGGCACCCGCACCCATGGCACCCGCACCCATGGCACCCGCACCCATGGCACCCATGGCACCCATGGCACCTGTACCCATGGCACCTGCACCCATGGCACCTGTACCCATGGCACCCGCACCCATGGCACCCGCACCCATGGCACCCATGGCACCCATGGCACCCGCACCCATGGCACCCGCACCCATGGCACCCACACCCATGGCACCCATGGCACCCATGGCACCTGTACCCATGGCACCTGCACCCATGGCACCTGCACCCATGGCACCCATGGCACCCGCACCCATGGCACCCATGGCACCTATGGCACCCGCGCCCATGGCACCTGCACCCATGGCACCCACAGCACCCATGGCACCTGCGCCCATGGCACCCGCACCCATGGCACCCACAGCACCCATGGCACCTGCGCCCATGGCACCCGCACCCATGGCACCCACGGCACCCGCACCCATGGCACCCACACCCATGGCACCCACACCCATGGCACCCGCACCCATGGCACCCATGGCACCCACACCCATGGCACCCGCACCCATGGCACCCATAGCACCCGCACCCATGGCACCTGCACCCATGGCACCCATGGCACCCATGGCACCTGCGGCACCCATGGCACCCGCTCCCATGGCACCCATGGCACCTTTGGCACCTGTGCCCATGGCACCCATGACACCCATGGCACCTGTACCCATGGCACCTGCACCCATGGCACCTGCACCCATGGCACCCATGGTACCCATGGCACCCATGGCACCCACACACATGGCACCCATGGCACCCATGGCACCCGCACCCATGGCACCTGCACCCATGGCACCCATGGTACCCATGGCACCCATGGCACCCACACACATGGCACCCACGGCACCCATGGCACCCGCACCCATGGCACCCATGGCACCCTCACCCATGGCACCCCCGTTCATGGGACCTGCACCCGTGGCACCAGCAACCATTGGACCTGCACCCTCCTGCACCCACGGCACCCACACAGGGGCACAGCCAGGGCGCAGCCCCCCTGGGCACCCACTCCCTGCCCCACTGCACCCTGCGCATCGCCCCCTCCTCTGCCCCCTTTCCCCTGCCCTGCTGCCCCTTTTGCCTGCTGCGCCCCAGCACCCACACATACCCCCACCCCCTGCCCCTGCCCCTGCCCCCAGAACCCACTCCCTGTCCCCAGCACCCACTCCCTGCTCCCAACCCCTGCCCCCAGCACCCTCCCCTGCCCCCAGCACCCACTCTCTTCCCCCAGCACCCTCCCCTGCCCCCAGCACCCACTCCCTGCTCCCAACCCCTGCCCCCAGCACCCTTCCTCACCCCCAGCCCCTTCCCCCAGACCCCACCCCCTGCCCCCAGCACCCACCCTCTTCCCCCAGCACCCTTCCCTGTCCCCAGCACCCACTCCCTGCTCCCAACCCCTGCCCCCAGCACCCTCCCCTGCCCCCAGCACCCACTCCCTGCTCCCACCCCCTGCCCCCAGCACCCACTCTCTCCCCCCCCCCCCGCTGACCCTCCTGCTGGCTCTTGCTCTCCGCACTGTACGCCTTCCCGATCATGCTCCACACGGGCTTCAGGCACCCGAAGAGCCCCTCCAGGAGCCCCCCCCCCCCCGCCTGGCACCGCAGATGCGCGGCCGGGGCGGGCAGGGGCCGCGGGGGCTCGGGGGGGGCCGCGGCGGGGCCCGGGGGGGGCGCGGGCGCGGGGGGCAGCACGTCCCGGAGCACGCACTGCGTGGGGGTGAGCTCCTGCTCGGGGGTCCCGTCCGAGCCCAGCGCCAGCGACGGCGACGGCGTCCGCGTCTCGTGCAGGCAGGCCATGGCGGGGGGGGCAGAGCCTGCGGACAGCGGCTCCCGTCGGGGCACCCATGGGACACCCCCATGGCACCCACGGGACACCCCCACGGCATCCATGGGACATCCCCATGGCACCCACGGGACACCCCCACGGCATCCATGGGACATCCCCATGGCACCCGTGGGACACCCCCATGGCACCCATGGGACATCCCCATGGCACCCATGGGACACCCCCACGGCATCCACGGGACAACCCCACGGCACCCACGGGACACCCCCACGGCACCCACGGGACAACCCCATGGCACCCATGGGACATCCCCATGGCACCCACGGGACACCCCCACGGCATCCACGGGACAACCCCACGGCACCCACGGGACACCCCCACGGCACCCACGGGACATCCCCATGGCACCCATGGGACATCCCCATGGCACCCACGGGACACCCCAGTGCATCCATGGGACACCCCCACGGCACCCATGGGACACCCCCATGGCACCCGTGGGACAACCCCATGGCACCCATGGGACACCCCCATGGCACCCGTGGGACATCCCCACGGCACCCACGGGACACCCCCACGGCACCCACGGGACAACCCCACGGCATCCATGGGACACCCCCATGGCACCCACGGGACACCCCCATGGCACCCACGGGACACCCCCACGGCACCCACGGGACACCCCAGTGCATCCATGGGACACCCCCATGGCACCCATGGGACACCCCCATGGCACCCACGGGACACCCCCATGGCACCCATGGGACATCCCCATGGCACCCACGGGACACCCCCATGGCACCCACGGGACAACCCCATGGCATCCATGGGACATCCCCACGGCATCCATGGGACATCCCCACGGCACCCATGGGACACCCCCACGGCACCCATGGGACACCCCCACGGCATCCATGGGACATCCCCATGGCACCCACGGGACATCCCCATGGCACCCACGGGACATCCCCATGGCACCCATGGGACACCCCCATGGCACCCACGGGACACCCCCATGGCACCCGTGGGACAACCCCACGGCACCCGTGGGACACCCCCACGGCACCCACGGGACATCCCCACGGCACCCACGGGACACCCCCACGGCACCCATGGGACATCCCCATGGCACCCGTGGGACATCCCCATGGCACCCACGGGACACCCCCACGGCACCCACGGGACATCCCCACGGCACCCATGGGACATCCCCATGGCACCCGTGGGACACCCCCATGGCACCCGTGGGACACCCCCAATGGCACCCGTGGGACACCCCCACGGCACCCATGGGACATCCCCATGGCACCCATGGGACACCCCAGTGCCCTCTATGGAGACACCCCCACGGCACCCAGGGGACCCCCAATGCATCCATGGGGACCCTCCCAATGCATCCATGGGACCCCCCCAGGGCACACAGGGGACCCCCCCAATGCACCCATGGGGACACCCCAGTGCATCCATGGGGACCCCCCACGGCACCCATGGGGACCCCCAGTGCCTCTATGGAGACACCCCCATGGCACCCAGGGGGATCCCCTCATGGCACCCACCAGGACCCCCAGTGCCTCTATGGAGACACCCCCACGGCACCCAGGGGGACACCCCAATGCATCCATGGGGACCCCCCCATGGCACCCAGGGGGACCCCCAGTGCATCCATGGGACCTCCCCACGGCACCCCTGGGGACCCCCAGTGCCTCTATGGAGACACCCCCACAGCACCCATGGGATACCCCAGTGCCTCTATGGAGACCCCCACATGGCACCCATGGGGACCCCCAGTGCACCCATGGGGCCCCGCCATGGCACCCATGGGACACCCCAGTGCACCCATGGGGACCCCCTCATGGCACCCCTGGGGACCCCCAGTGCACACATAGAGACCCCCCAGTGCATCCATGTGGACCCCCTGTGCACACACGGGGACCCCCCCAATGCATCCATGGGGACTCTCCCAATGCATTCATGGGGACCCGCAGTGCCTCTATGGAGACCCCCCCACAGCACCCATGGACACCCCAGTGCATCCATGGGGACCCCCTCATGCACCCGTGGGACACCCCAGTGCACACATGGGGACCCGCAGTGCATCCATGGGCACCCCCCATGGCACCCATGGGGACACCCCAGTGCACACATGGGGACCCCCCAGTACATACATGGGGACCCCCAGTGCACCCATGGGGACCCCCCCATGGCACCCATGGGACACCCCCAGTGCATCCATGGGACCCCCCATGGCACCATGGGGACACCCCAGTGGCATCCATGGGGACCCCCCACGGCACCCATGGGACACACCCAATGCCTCTATGGGGACCCTCCCAGTGCACCCATGGGGACCCGCAGTGCATCCATGTGACCTTGCCATGGCATCCATGGGACACCCCCAGTGCCTCTATGGGACCCCCCAGTACACACATGGGACACCCCAGTGCACACATGGGACACCTCAGTGCATCCATGTGACTCCGCCATGGCACTCATGGGGATCCCCCCATGGCACCCATGGGGACCCCCAGTGCACCCATGGGGACTCCCCCAGGGCATCCATGGGGACCCCCATGGCACCCATGGACACCCCCAGTGCATCCATGGGACCCCCCCCATGGCACCCATGGGGACACCCCAGTGCACACATGGGGACCCCCCAGTGCATACATGGGGACTCCCCCAGTGCACCCATGGGGACTCCCCCAGTGCATCAATGGGGACCCCCCATGGGACACCCCCAGTGCATCCATGGGGACCTGCAGTGCATCCATGTGACCCCACCATGGCACCCATGGGACACCCCCAGTGCACCCATGTGACCCCACCATGGCACTCATGGGAACCCCCAGTGCACCCATGGAACACCCCCAGTGCATCCATGGGGACCCCCCCACGGCACCCATGGGACACACCCAATGCCTCTATGGGGACCCTCCCAGTGCACCATGGGGACCCGCAGTGCATCCATGTGTACCTTGCCATGGCATCCATGGGACACCCCCAGTGCCTCTATGGGGACCCCCAGTGCACACATGGGACCCCCCAGTACACACATGGGACACCCCAGTGCATCCATGTGACTCCTCCATGGCACTCATGGGGACCCCCCATGGCACCCATGGGGACCCCCAGTGCACCCATGGGGACTCCCCAGTGCATCCATGGGGACCCCCCATGGCACCCATGGGGACTCCCCCAGTGCACCCATGGGGACCTGCAGTGCATCCATGTGACCCCGCCATGGCACCCATGGAACACCCCCACTGCGCCCATGTGACCCCACCATGGCACTCATGGGAACCCCCAGTGCACCCATGGAACACTCCCAGTGCATCCATGGGGACCCCCCCACGGCACCCATGGGGACCCGCAGTGCATCCATGGGGACCCCCCACAGCACCCATGGGACACTCCCAATGCCTCTATGGGGACCCCCCCAGTGCACCCATGGAGACCCCCAGTGCATCCATGTGACCCCGCAATGGCACCCATGGAGACCCCCCAGTGCACCCATGGGACACCCCCAGTGCATCCATGGGAACCTCCAGTTCCTCTATGGGGACCTCCCCATGGGAACCCCCAGTGCACACATGGGACCCCCCCAATGCATCCATGGGGACCCCTATTGCACCCATGGGGACCCCCCCAGTGCATCCATGGTGAACCCCAGTGCCTCTATGGGGACCCCCTCAGTGCCTCTATGGGAACCCCCATGGCACCCATGGGACACGCCCAGTGCATCCATGTTACCTCCCCCATGGCACCCATGGGACATCCCCAGTGCATCCATGGGGACCCTCATGGCACCTATGGAACACACCCAGTGCACCCATGGGGACCCCCCAACGGTACCCATGGGGCACCCTCAATGCACCCATGGAGACCCTCCATGGCACCCATGGGACACCCCAAGGTCATCCATGGGACCTCCCCCCCCCCCATGGCGTCCATGGGACACCCCAGTGCATCCATGGGAACCCCCATTGCACCCATGGGACCCCCTATTGCACCCATGGGACACCCCAGTGCACACATGGGACCCCCCATTGCACCCATGGGACACCCCAGTGCACACATGGGACCCCCCATTGCACCCATGGGACCCCCTATTGCACACTTGGGACCCACCATTGCATCCATGGCACACCCCCACTGTACCCATGCACCCATATGATCCCCCCATTGCACACATTGGACCCCCCATTGTATCCGTGGGACCCTGCTGTGCACACATGGGAGCGCTCTATTGCACCCATGGGACACCCCCATTGCATACACGGGAACCCCATTCTGCACCCATGGGAACCCCTCACTGCACCCATGGGACCTCATTGCACACATGGGACTGACCCCTCTGTTCACACATGGGACACCCCCATTGCACCCATGGGACCCCTCTGTGTGCCCATGGATACCCCTATTGCACCCATGGGAACCCCCATTGCACCCATGGGACCACCACCCCCCCCCATTGCACCCATGGGAACACCCCCCTTGTGCACGCTTGGGAGCACTCTATTACACCCATGGGACATCCCTCCTGCACCCATGAGAACCCTTTCTGCACCCATAGGACCTCCCTATGCACCCATGGGACCCATGTGCACACATGGACCGTGGGACCCTCCCACCCTTGCACCCATGGGACCCCCTATTGCACACATGGGACCCCCTTGTGCTTCCATGGGACCCCCCATTGCAACCATAGGACCCCGCTGTGCCCACATGGACCATGGGACCCCCCACTGCTCCCATGGGACCCCCCTTGTGCACACATGGGAGCACTGTATTGCACCCATGGGACCCCCCTTGTTCTTCCATGCCCCCCTCCCTTGCACCCATAGGACACCCCCCCGTGTATCTATGAGACCCCCCTCACTGCACACATGCAGCCCCACACACGTGTGCACCCCCCCAACATGCATGTGCACCCCACTGCACTCATGAACATCCCTTCAACACACCTGTGCACCCCTTCACACGTGTGCAGCCCCACATGCGTGTGCACCCCTGACACGTGCGTGCACCCCATTGCATCCATGAACATCCCTTCAACACACCTGTGCACCCCTTCACACGTGTGCAGCCCCACATGCGTGTGCACCCCCCAACAAGGGTGTGCACCCCATTGCACCCATGAACATCCCTTCACACGTGTGTGCACCCCTTCACACACATGTGCAGCCCCACATGCGTGGGCACCCCTGACACGTGCGTGCACCCCATTGCATCCATGAACATCCCTTCAACACACCTGTGCACCCCTTCACACGTGTGCAGCACCACATGCGTGTGCACCCCAAGACACATGTGTGTACCCCTTTTACACACGTGTGCACCCCCACACGCGTGTGCACCCCTGACACGCGTGTGCACCCTACTGCATCCATGAACATCCCTTCGCACGTGTGCAGTCCCTTAACATGTGTGTGCAGTCCCACACGTGTGCACCCCCACACATGTGTGTGCACCCCATTGCACCCATGAGCATCCCTTCACACGTGTGCACTCCTTTCACACACATGTGCACCCCCACATGGGTGTGCACCCCATTGCACCCATGAGCATCCCTTCACACACGTGTGCAGCCCCACATGTGTGTGCATCCCCCGACACGTGTGTGCACCCCATTGCACCCATGAACATCCCTTCACACACGTGTGCACCCCATTGCACCCATGAACATCCCTTCACACACGTGTGCACCCCATTGCATCCATGAACATCCCTTCACACACGTGTGCACCCCATTGCACCCATGAGCATCCCTTCATACACGTGTGCAGCCCCACATGCGTGTGCACGCCCCACACGTGTGTGCACCCCATTGCACCCATGAACATCCCTTCACACACGTGTGCACCCCATTGCACCCATGAGCATCCCTTCATACACGTGTGCAGCCCCACATGCGTGTGCACGCCCCACACGTGTGTGCACCCCATTGCACCCATGAGCATCCCTTCACACACGTGTGCACCCCATTGCACCCATGAGCATCCCTTCATACACGTGTGCAGCCCCACATGCGTGTGCACGCCCCACACGTGTGTGCACCCCATTGCACCCATGAGCATCCCTTCACACACGTGTGCACCCCCTTGCATGCATGAGCAGCCCCTTCCACGTGTGTGCAAAGGGGAAACTGAGGCAGGGCTGGGGTGGGGGATCCCGGGGGGGGGGGGTCGGGGGGGGGGGGCAATTGCCATGGCAACAGCGGAGCCGGCGGATGACGTCATCACTAAAATTAGTGGGGGCGGGGCTTAACGTCACCCCGAGGGACCCCGGCGGTATCGTGTCCCCCCCCTGTGGTGACATCACGTCACGCGGTGACGTCATCCCGGTAAGGGATGGAGCCCCCCCCCCCCTTCCTCCCCCCATGGGGAAACTGAGGCACGAGCGGGGGAACCCCGGGGGTTCGGACAGCGGCCCCGTGTCGCGACAGAGCGGGGGGGGGGGGCGGAGAGAGAGCGCCCCCCGCCGGCACGGCTGTCGGGACATGGCGGCCTGTCGCGACATGGGGAGGGGCCGCGAGGGGCACAGGCCTGTGCAAGGGGATGCACACGGGCGTGCAAGGGGGGGGGGGCACCCGGTGTGCAAGGGGGTGCACATCGCGCCAGGCCTGCGCATACACGTGGGGGGGGGGTCACGCACCTGCGGGCGCTGCACACGCGTGTGCAAGGGGGGGGGGTGGTCCCTGTGCGTGTGCAAGAGCGGCTCAGCCATGGGGGGGGCACACGCGTGTGCAAGAGGCCGCTCGTGCCCCCCATCCCCCCCGGTAGCATCCCTGGTCCTACCCCCTCCCCCCCGAGCATCCCTGGTCCTACCCCCCCCTTCCCCCTCCGCCGGTGCCGGTGCCGGTACCTGGGGGGTGCGGGCCCCGCGGTGCCGGTGGGGCCGGGGCCGGAGCCGCCGCTGGAGCCGGGGTTTGGTGCCGGTGACGCCGGGGGGAGGGACCGGGGCCGGTACCGGGGGGCCGGGGGCCGCGATCGGGGCGAACGGTGAAGAACGGCCCCGCCCGGCGTTTGACGCGGCCCCGCCCCGGCACGGCACGGAACGGAACGGACGGAACGGAACGGAACGGAGCGGAGCGGCACCGAACGGGAACCCGCCGGTAGCGGCACCGGGACTGGGAGCACACCGAGACCCCCGCACCGGCACCGGGACTCCCCCATTGGCACCAGCATCCCTGTACTGGCAGCGGGACCCCTATAACGGCATGGGGACCCCTATAGCAGAACCGGCACCCCTATAGCAGCACCGTGACTGGGACCCTTGCACCAGGACCCCTACACCGGCACCGGCACCCCTGTAGAGGGACCCCATAAGGGCCCCAGGACCTCGATAATGGCACCGGCACAAGCACCCCAAAGAGCATCGTGACCCCTATAATGGAACTGGCACCAGCACCCCTGTACCGGTACCAGGATTGGGAGCCCACTGGCGCAGGGACCCTTGTAATGGAACTGGGACCCCTAGACTGGGACCGGGACCCCTATAATGGCACCAGCATCAGCACCAGGGTCCCCAAAGAGCCCCGGGACACCCCTATTGGCACCCACATCTCTATACTGGAACCAGCACCCCTATACTGGCACTGGCACTGGGAACCCAGTGGCACCAGGACCCCTGTAATGGAACTGGGACCCTTATACAGGCATGGGCACCCCTATAATGGCACGAGGACCCCCATAATGGAACTGGCACCAGCACACCTATACTGGAACCAGCACCCCTATACTGGCACTGGCACTGGGACCCCACCTGCACCAGGACCCCTATATGTGCACCAGCACCCCTGTACCAGCATCAGAACCCCAATATGGGCACCAGGACCCCTATACTGGCACTGGGGACATACCAGGACCAGGATCTCTATACTGGCACCAGGACCCCTATAATGGAACTGGCACCAGCACCAGGACCTCTATACAAGCACCAGCTCCCCTATACTGGCACCCGGAACACACCTGCACCGGGACCCCTATAACAGCATGGGAACCCCTATAACGGCATCAGCACCAGCACTGGCAACCCAAAGGGCACCGGGACCCTTATACTGGCACCAGCACTGGGAGCAGGACCTTGAATGGGATCAGGGCTCCCCTGTGGGTTCACCCCTTCCAAACCACGCCTGGTCCCCCGTTACACTGGGACCAGGATCGGGATCCACCCGATGGCCCCCAGTGGCCCAACATGAGGGCGCCAGTGAGATCCCAGTGCTCCCAGTATGGATGTCCCTTTGTCCCCACTGCTCCCAGTCCATTCCTGGTGCTCCCAGTACGGGTGTCCTTCTGTCCACAGAGTTCCCAGTCTATTCCCAGTGCTCCCAATATGGGTGTCCCTCTATCCCCACTCCTCCCAGTTTAATCCTGATGCTCCCAGTATAGGTGTCCCTCTATGCCCACTGCTCCCATTGCTTCCATTATGGGTGTCCCTCTGTCCCCACAGATCCCAATCTATTCACAGTGCTCCCAGTATGGGAGTCCCTCTGCCCACATTGCTCCCAGTCTGACCCCACTGTTCTGTCTATGAGGGCGATTCTATTTCCAGTGATCCCAGTTTGTTTCCAGTGCTTCCAACCCAGGTGCCCTTGCTCCCAGAGCTCCCAGTCTGGGTGTCCCTGCCCAGTGCTCCCAGTCTGTCCCCACTGATCAACCTCTCTTGGTCCCTGCCCATCCCAGTCCCAGCCTGCTGTCCCCATCCATTGACCCCTGTCCAGCTGTGTCCCATCCCATCCACCTGCCTGTCCCCACCCTTATCCTCATCCCACCCCACGTGTCCATCCCAATCCCACCCCACGTGTCCATCCCAATCCCACCCCACATGTCCATCCTGCTCCATCCCTATCCCAGCCACGTGTCCATCCCCATCCCAACCCATGTGTCCATCCCTGCCCATCCCCATCCCACCCCACGTGTGCATCCCCATCCCATCCCACGTGTCGATCCCTATCCCACCCCACGTGTGGATCCCCATCCCACCCCACATGTCCATCCCCATCCCACCCCTCGTGTCCATCCCACTCCATCCCTATCCCACCCCACGTGTCCATCCTGATCCATCCCTATCCCACCCCACGTGTGGATCCCTATCCCACCGACGTGTCCATCCCTCTCCATCCCTATCCCACCGACGTGTCCATCCCTCTCCATCCCTATCCCACCTGTATCCATCCCTGCCCATCCCCATCCCACCCCACGTGTCCACCCCTATCCCACCCCACGTGTCCATCCCCATCCCACCCCACGTGTCCACCCCTATCCCACCCCACGTGTCCACCCCTATCCCACCCCACGTGTCCACCCCTATCCCACCCCACGTGTCCACCCCTATCCCACCCCACGTGTCCATCCCCATCCCACCCCACGTGTCCACCCCTATCCCACCCCACGTGTCCATCTCCATCCCACCCCACGTGTCCACCCCTATCCCACCCCACGTGTCCACCCCTATCCCACCCCACGTGTCCACCCCTCTCCATCCCTCTCCCGCACCCCCCATCACGTGCCCCCCCTCCGTCCCCGCCTTCCCCGCGCAGGGCATTGTGGGAGCCGTAGTCCCGGGGGGGGGCAGCCCCGCCCCTTCTCCCGCTCCCCCCCCGCCGGCAGGGACCACACTTCCCACAAGCCCCCGCGGCGCGCAGCGCCCTTTCCCATGGTGCTCCGCGGGGGGGGGTGGCGCCCCCTGGCGGCGCGGGAGGCGGCACGGAGCGCGGCGGGGATGAGCGAGGAGGGGGCGGGCGGCGGGGCCAGGAGGAGCGGCGGCTTCCCCAGGTACCGGCAGCCCCGGGCGGGGGGGCACCGGGAAACAGCCCCCCCCCCCCCATCGGGATACAGCGGGAAACAGCTCCCCCCCCCCCCCCCCCGAACCGGGATGCACCGGGAAACACAGGGAAACGGCCCCCCCCCCCCCCCCGAACCGGGATACAGCGGGAAACAGCCCCCCCCCCCCCCCCCCCCCGAATCGGGATACACCGGGATACACAGGGAAACAGCCCCCCCCCATCGGGATACACAGGGAAACAGCCCCCCCCCATCGGGATGCACAGGGAAACGGCCCCCCCCCATCGGGATACACAGGGAAACAGCCCCCCCCCCATTGGGATACACAGGGAAACAGCCCACCCCCCGAACCGGGTTACAGCGGGGCACACAGGGATACAGCCCCCCCGCCCCATCGGGATACAGGGGGATACACCGGGATACAGTCCCACCCACATCGGGATACACCGGGATACAGGGGGATACAGCCCCCCCCGAACCGGGATACATCCCCCCCCCCGGGACACCACACCCCCCCCCCCGGTACCGGGACCCACCCCCCACCCATCGGGATAGAGCCCCGGTATCGGGAAACAGCCCCGGGATACACCCCCCGATATCGGGATACAGCCCCCAGTACCGGGATACAGCCCCCGGAAACCCCTCCCCGACACCGGGGTACCCCCTCACGGGGTACATTGGGATCCACGGCACCCACTGGGATACCCCCCCCCCCGGATGTCCCCTGGGATACCGGGGTACAGCCGGGACCCCCCGGGTACCACTTACACCAGGATGCACACACACAGCAGCGTCCCCATATGCATGGCACTGCCACCTTGTCCCCCTGTCCCCACGCTGTTGGTGATGCCCCCACGCTGTGGGTGATGTCCCCGTGTCCCCATGCTGTTGGTGATGCCCCCCTGTCCCCACACTGTTGGTGATGTCCCCATGCTGTTGGTGATGCCCCCACGCTGTGGGTGATGTCCCCATGCTGTTGGTGATGTCCCCCTGTCCCCATGCTGTTGGTGATGTCCCCACGCTGTTGGTGATGCCCCCCTGTCCCCATGCTGTTGGTGATGCCCCCACACTGTTGGTGATGCCCCCCTGTCCCCATGCTGTTGGTGATGTCCCCACGCTGTTGGTGATGCCCCCCTGTCCCCATGCTGTTGGTGATGCCCCCACACTGTTGGTGATGCCCCCCTGTCCCCACACTGTTGGTGATGCCCCCACACTGTTGGTGATACCCCCACGCTGTTGGTGATGCCCCCCTGTCCCCACACTGTTGGTGATGCCCCCCTGTCCCCACACTGTTGGTGATGCCCCCACACTGTTGGTGATGCCCCCCTGTCCCCACACTGTTGGTGATGCCCCCACACTGTTGGTGATGCCCCCCTGTCCCCACACTGTTGGTGATGCCCCCACACTGTTGGTGATGCCCCCCTGTCCCCACACTGTTGGTGATGTCCCCACACTGTTGGTGATGCCCCCACACTGTTGGTGATGCCCCCACGCTGTTGGTGATGTCCCCACGCTGTTGGTGATGTCCCCACGCTGTTGGTGATGTCCCCACACTGTTGGTGATGCCCCCACGCTGTTGGTGATGCCCCCCTGTCCCCACACTGTTGGTGATGCCCCCACACTGTTGGTGATGCCCCCACGCTGTTGGTGATGCTGGGCTGCTCCAGCCCTGTCCCTAGCCTGGAGCAGATGCTGGCCGCCAATCCCGGGAAGACGCCCATCAGCCTCCTGCAGGAATATGGCACTCGCATAGGGAAGACCCCGGGCTACGACCTGCTGAAGGCCGAGGGCCAGGCCCACCAGCCCAACTTCACCTTCCGAGTCACCGTGGGGGACATCAGCTGCACCGGTGGGTACCAGCACCCCCCTCCCGCCCTGCGTCCATCCCCGTCCCGCTTGGCTGGGATGCAGGGAGAGGGCAGGGAGGACACGGTGGGGATGTGCTGGGGGGGTCCTGGTGGGAGGTATCCCGTTGGGAGCCCTCAGGGATGGGCTGGCATCCTGGTGCTTGGAATGCTCCATTGGGAGCCCCAAACGTGGGTTGAGGTGGGGGGGATCATCTGGGATCCCGATGCTTGGGGTGCTCAGGGATCCATTGGGACCCCAAAAGTGGGTTGAGGTGGGGGGATCATCTGGGATCCCGATGCTTGGGGTGCTCAGGGATCCATTGGGAACCCCAAAAGTGGGTTGAGGTGGGGGGATCATCTGGGATCCCCATGCTTGGGGTGCTCAGGGATCCATTGGGAACCCCAAAAGTGGGTTGAGGTGGGGGGATCATCTGGGATCCCCATGCTTGGGGTGCTCAGCGATCCATTGGGACCCCAAATGTGGGTTGAGGTGGGGGGATCATCTGGGATCCCCATGCTTGGGATGCTCAGGGATCCATTGGGACCCCAAAAGTGGGTTGAGGTGGGGGGATCATCTGGGATCCCCATGCTTGGGGTGCTCAGCGATCCATTGGGACCCCAGAAAGTGGGTTGGGATGGAGGGATTACCTGGGATCTGGGTGTCCCAAGGGAACTGGGAGTCAATGAGAACTCTGGGGGGGACCCTGGGTGTTGCACCCCCCCCACCCCTCCAGCTCACCCAATGGGTGCCCCAGGGCAGGGACCCAGCAAGAAGGCGGCGAAGCACAAAGCGGCCGAGGTGGCCCTGAAGCTGCTCAAAGGGGGGGACATGCTGGAGGCCACCCCCCCCGAGGAGCCCAGGTGAGGGGGGGGACCCCAGGGTGCTGGGGGTTCATGGGTGGGGGTCAGGGTGCAGCACGGGAAGGGGTTGGAGGGAGATTTGGGGTGCTGGGGTGGTACCCAGGGTGATGGAGGTACCCAGGTCCAGTGGTCCTTGGGGGGGTGAGAGCATCCAGGGGGGCTTGGGGGTACCCAGAGTGATGGGGGATGCAAGGGATTGAGCATCCCAAGGGATTTAGGGAGCACAGATGGGTTTGGGGGTGCCCAGGGTGATGGGGGATGCAGGCAGGGATTGAGCATCCCAAGGGATTTAGGGAGCACAGATGGGTTTGGGGGTGCCCAGGGTGATGGGGGATGCAGGGGACTGAGCATCCCAAGGGATTTAGGGAGCTCACATGGGTTTGGGGGTACCCAGGGTGATGGGGGATGCAGGGGATTGAGCATCCCAAGGGATCTGGGGGGGTTTGTGGAGTTCAGATGGATTTGGGGGGGGGTGTTGAGGGTGCCCAGGCAGGTCTGGGGGTGCAGGGGGGGGGGAGTGTTTTAGGGGAGCCAAGAGAATTGGGGGTGCTGGGGGGGATGTGGGTGTCCCATGGGAATGGGGGGGGGCTGGGGGGGGATGTGGGTGTCCTGTGGGAATTGGGGTGCCAGGGGGGGATGTGGGTGTCCCATGGGAATTGGGGTGCCGGGGGGGGATGTGGGTGTCCCATGGGAATTGGGGTGCCAGGGGGGGATGTGGGTGTCCCATGGGAATTGGGGTGCCAGGGGGGGATGTGGGTGTCCCATGGGAATTGGGGTGCCAGGGGGGGATGTGGGTGTCCTGTGGGAATTGGGGTGCCAGGGGGGGATGTGGGTGTCCTGTGGGAATTGGGGTGCCAGGGGGGGATGTGGGTGTCCCATGGGAACGGGGGGGGCTGGGGGGGGATGTGGGTGTCCCATGGGAATTGGGGTGCCAGGGGGGGATGTGGGTGTCCCATGGGAATTGGGGTGCCGGGGGGGATGTGGGTGTCCCATGGGAATTGGGGTGCCGGGGGGGGATGTGGGTGTCCCATGGGAACTGGGGTGCCGGGGGGGATGTGGGTGTCCCATGGGGAACTGGGGTGCCAGGGGGGGATGTGGGTGTCCCATGGGAATTGGGGTGCCGGGGGGGATGTGGGTGTCCTGTGGGAATTGGGGTGCCAGGGGGGGATGTGGGTGTCCCGTGGGAATTGGGGTGCCGGGGGGGGATGTGGGTGTCCCATGGGAATTGGGGTGCCAGGGGGGGATGTGGGTGTCCTGTGGGAATTGGGGTGCCAGGGGGGGATGTGGGTGTCCTGTGGGAATTGGGGTGCCAGGGGGGGATGTGGGTGTCCCATGGGAACGGGGGGGGCTGGGGGGGGATGTGGGTGTCCCATGGGAATTGGGGTGCCAGGGGGGATGTGGGTGTCCCATGGGAATTGGGGTGCCGGGGGGGATGTGGGTGTCCCATGGGAATTGGGGTGCCGGGGGGGGATGTGGGTGTCCCATGGGAACTGGGGTGCCGGGGGGGATGTGGGTGTCCCATGGGAACTGGGGTGCCAGGGGGGGATGTGGGTGTCCCATGGGAATTGGGGTGCCGGGGGGGATGTGGGTGTCCTGTGGGAATTGGGGTGCCAGGGGGGGATGTAGGTGTCCCGTGGGAATTGGGGTGCCGGGGGGGGATGTGGGTGTCCCGTGGGAATTGGGGTGCCAGGGGGGGATGTGGGTGTCCCGTGGGAATTGGGGTGCCAGGGGGGGGATGTGGGTGTCCCGTGGGAATTGGGGTGCCGGGGTGGGATGTGGGTGTCCCGTGGGAATTGGGGTGCCAGGGGGGATGTGGGTGTCCCGTGGGAATTGGGGTGCCGGGGGGGGATGTGGGTGTCCCGTGGGAATTGGGGTGCCGGGGGGGATGTGGGTGTCCCATGGGAATTGGGGTGCCGGGGGGGATGTGGGTGTCCCATGGGAATTGGGGTGCCGGGGGGGATGTGGGTGTCCCATGGGAATTGGGGTGCCGGGGGGGATGTGGGTGTCCCATGGGAACTGGGGGGGTCAGTGTTAACCTCTCCCCTTCTCTCCCCAAGCTCTCCTTCCCTCCCAGAGCCCCCGGCTGAGGCGCCCCCCCCAGCACCCACTGTGCCCCCCCCCTCCCCCAGGTAATGGGTGGGGGGCACCCAACGTGTGTCCCCCCCCAACCCCTGCCCCCCAATACCCCAATGGGGGGGGTCCTGGTGTGCCCTGGGCCCCCCCCCTCACTCTGTGCCCATCTCCCCCCCCACACCAGGGGCACCCCCATGGACATGAAGAGCCCCGTGGCCCCCCCCCAGGCCGAGTGCAACCCCGTGGGGGCCCTGCAGGTGGGTGACACTGTAGGGGGCAGAGGGGACACGGACCCCCCCCATGGGACCGTTATCCTTGTTTGGGGAATGGTTATCCCTGTTTGGGAATGGTTATCCCTGTTTTGGGGCCATTATCCCTGTTTGGGAATGGTTATCCCTGTTTGGGAATGGTTATCCCTGTTTTGGGGCCATTATCCCTGTTTGGGAATGGTTATCCCTGTTTGGGAATGGTTATCCCTGTTTTGGGGCCATTATCCCTGTTTGGGAATGGTTATCCCTGTTTGGGAATGGTTATCCCTGTTTTGGGGAATGGTTATCCCTGTTTGGGGAATGGTTATCCCTGTTTGGGAATGGTTATCCCTGTTTTGGGGCCATTATCCCTGTTTGGGAATGGTTATCCCTGTTTGGGGAATGGTTATCCCTGTTTTGGGGAATGGTTATCCCTGTTTGGGAATGGTTATCCCTGTTTTGGGGCCATTATCCCTGTTTTTGGGGAATGGTTATCCCTGTTTGGGAATGGTTATCCCTGTTTTGGGGCCGTTATCCCTGTTTTGGGAATGGTTATCCCTGTTTTGGGGATGGTTATCCCTGTTTTGGGGAATGGTTATCCCTGTTTGGGAATGGTTATCCCTGTTTTGGGGAATGGTTATCCCTGTTTTGGGAATGGTTATCCCTGTTTTGGGGAATGGTTATCCCTGTTTGGGGCTGTTATCCCTGTTTTGGGAATGGTTATCCCTGTTTGGGAATGGTTATCCCTGTTTTGGGAATGGTTATCCCTGTTTGGGAATGGTTATCCCTGTTTTGGGAATGGTTATCCCTGTTTTGGGGCCGTTATCCCTGTTTGGGAATGGTTATCCCTGTTTGGGAATGGTTTTCCCTGTTTTGGGGAATGGTTATCCCTGTTTGGGAATGGTTATCCCTGTTTGGGAATGGTTATCCCTGTTTTGGGGCTGTTATCCTTGTTTTGGGGATGGTTATCCCTGTTTTGGGGATGGTTATCCCTGTTGTGGGGATGGTTATCCCTGTTTTGGGGCCGTTATCCCTGTTTGGGAATGGTTATCCCTGTTTGGGAATGGTTATCCCTGTTTTGGGAATGGTTATCCCTGTTTTGGGGATGGTTATCCCTGTTTTGGGAATGGTTATCCCTGTTTTGGGGATGGTTATCCCTGTTTTGGGGAATGGTTATCCCTGTTTTGGGGCCATTATCCCTGTTTTTGGGGAATTGTTATCCCTGTTTGGGAATGGTTATCCTGTTTTGGGGCCGTTATCCCTGTTTTGGGAATGGTTATCCCTGTTTTGGGGATGGTTATCCCTGTTTTGGGGAATGGTTATCCCTGTTTTGGAGCTGTTATCCATGTTTTGGGAATGGTTATCCCTGTTTTGGGGCAGTTATCCCTGTTTTGGGGATGGTTATCCCTGTTTTGGGGCTGTTATCCCTGTTTTGGGGATGGTTATCCCTGTTTTGTTTGGGACAGGGGACCCGTTTTGAGGACAGTTCTAGTTTGGGGATGTTCATCCCCATTTTGGTGGGGGTTATCCCTCTTTCAGGAACTCTTATCCCCATTTTAGGACATTTATGCACAGTTTGGGGATGTTTCTCTCTGGCTGAGGACAGTTATTTCTATTTTGGGGATATTTATCCCCATTTTGGGGTCATTTATCCCCATTTTGGGGTCAGTTTTCCTCATCTGGGCACAGTTATCCCCATTTTGGTGTGGAGACCCATTTTGGGGACAGTTATCCCTATTTTGGTGATGGAGACCCATTTTGGGGACAGTTATCCCCATTTTGGTGATGGAGACCCATTTTGGGCACAGTTATCCCCATTTTGGTGATGGAGACCCATTTTGGGGGCAGTTATCCCCATTTTGGTGATGGAGACCCATTTTGGGGACAGTTATCCCCATTTCGGTGATGGAGACCCATTTTGGGCACAGTTATCCCTATTTTGGTGATGGAGACCCATTTTGGGGACAGTTATCCCCATTTTGGTGATGGAGACCCATTTTGGGGACAGTTATCCCCATTTTGGTGATGGAGACCCATTTTGGGCACAGTTATCCCCATTTTGGTGATGGAGACCCATTTTGGGGGCAGTTATCCCCATTTTGGTGATGGAGACCCATTTTGGGGACAGTTATCCCCATTTTGGTGATGGAGACCCATTTTGGGGACAGTTATCCCTATTTTGGGGACAGCTCTCCTAATTTTTGTGTCAGTTATCCCCCTTCTGGTGTCGGTTCTCCCCATTTATTTCCATTTCAGGCCCAGTTATCCCCATTCCGGAGATGGGTATCCCTGTTTTGGGGAGGGAGAACCATTTGGGGACAGTTATTCCTGCTTTGGTGTTGGTTATCCCCATTTTAGTGTCATTTATCCCCATTTTGGGGCTGTTTAGCCCTATTTTGGTATCATTTATCCCTGTTTTGGTATCATTTATCCCCATTTTGATGTCATTTAGCCCCATTTTGGGCTGTTTATCCCTATTTTGGTGTCATTTATCCCTATTTTGGTATCATTTATCCCCATTTTGATATCATTTATCCCCATTTTGATGTCATTTATCCCCATTTAGGTGTCATTTATCCCCATTTTGGGGCTGTTTATCCCCATTTTGGTATTTATCCCCATTTTGGTGTCATTTATCCCCATTTTGATGTCATTTATCTCCATTTGGGTGTCATTTATCCCCATTTTGGGGCTGTTTATCCCCATTTTGGTATCATTTGTCCCCATTTAGGTGTCATTTATCCCCATTCTGGGGCTGTTTATCCCCATTTTGGTATCATTTATCCCCATTTGGATGTCATTTATCTCCATTTGGGTGTCATTTATCCCCATTTTGAGGCTGTTTATCCCCATTTTGGTATCATTGATCCCCATTTGGGTGTCATTTATCCCCATTTTGATGTCCTTTATCCCCACTTTGAAATCATATATGCCCATTTTGATGTCATTTGTCACCATTTGGGTGTCATTTATGCCCATTTTGGGGCTGTTAATCCCCATTTTGATGTCCTTTATCCCCATTTTGATGTCCTTTATCCCCATTTTGGGGCTGTTTATCCCCATCTTGATGTCTTTTATCCCCATTTTGATGTCCTTTGTCCCCATTTTGGGGCTGTTTATCCCCATTTTGATGTCCTTTATGCCCATTTTGGGGCTGTTTATCCCCATTTTGATGTACTTTATCCCCATTTTGATGTCCTTTATCCCCATTTTGGGGCTGTTTATCCCCATCTTGATGTCTTTTATCCCCATTTTGATGTCCTTTATCCCCATTTTGATGTCCTTTATCCCCATTTTGGGGCTGTTAATCCCCATTTTGATGTCCTTTATCCCCATTTTGATGTCCTTTATCCCCATTTTGGGGCTGTTAATCCCCATTTTGATGTCCTTTATCCCCATTTTGATGTCCTTTGTCCCCATTTTGGGGCTGTTTATCCCCATTTTGATGTCCTTTATGCCCATTTTGGGGCTGTTTATCCCCATTTTGATGTCCTTTATCCCCATTTTGATGTCCTTTATCCCCATTCTGGGGCTGTTTATCCCCATTTTGATGTCGTTTATCCCCATTTCGGGGCTGTTTATCCCCATTTTGATGTCGTTTATCCGCTTTTTCATGTCCTTTATCCCCATTTTGATGTCCTTTATCCCCGTTCTGGGGCTGTTTATCCCCATTTTGATGTCCTTTATCCCCATTTTGATGTCCTTTATCCCCATTTTGGGGCTGTTAATCCCCATTTTGATGTCCTTTATGCCCATTTTGGGGCTGTTTATCCCCATTTTGATGTCCTTTATCCCCATTTCGGGGCTGTTTATCCCCATTTTGATGTCGTTTATCCGCTTTTTCATGTCCTTTATCCCCATTTTGATGTCCTTTATCCCCATTCTGGGGCTGTTTATCCCCATTTTGATGTCCTTTATGCCCATTTTGGGGCTGTTTATCCCCATTTTGATGTCCTTTATCCCCATTTTGATGTCCTTTATCCCCATTTTGGTGTCCTTTATCCCCATTTTGATGTCCTTTATCCCCATTCTGGGGCTGTTTGTGCCCGTGCGGGTGGCACAGGAGCCCTCTGACCCCATCCCTGCCCCGTGGCCCCGCAGGAGCTGGTGGTGCAGAAGGGCTGGCGCCTGCCCGAGTACACGGTGACGCAGGAGTCGGGCCCGGCGCATCGCAAGGAGTTCACCATGACCTGCCGCGTGGAGCGCTTCGTGGAGATCGGTGGGGCTATGGGGGGGCTATGGGGCACCCCCGATGTCCCCATCAATGAGGGGGGGGGCACAGAGCAGGCAATGGGCTCACCCCCGTCCCTGTCCCTGTTCCCCCCCCCTGCAGGCAGTGGTACCTCCAAGAAGCTGGCCAAGCGCAACGCGGCCGCCAAGATGCTGGTTCGGATCCACAACGTGCCCATGGAGCAGCGGGAGGGCAGCGAGGCCGAGGTGGAGGAGGATCAGTTCTCCATGGTACTGCCGGAGCATCCCCAGGGATAACGGGGGGATGCAGGCACCCAGAGCATCCCCAGGGATAACGGGGGATGCAGGCACCAAGAGCATCCCGAGGGATAATGGGGGATGCAGGCACCCAGAGCATCCCGAGGGATAATGGGGGATGCAGGCACTCAGAGCATCCCAAGGGATAACGGGGGATGCAGGCACCCAGAGCATCCCGAGGGATAACGGGGGATGCAGGCACCAAGAGCATCCCCAGGGATAACGGGGGGATGCAGGCACCAAGAGCATCCCAAGGGATAACGGGGGATGCAGGCACCCAGAGCATCCCAAGGGATAATGGGGGATGCAGGCACCCAGAGCATCCCGAGGGATAACGGGGCGATGCAGGCACCCAGAGCATCCCCAGGGATAACGGGGGGATGCAGGCACCCAGAGCATCCTGAGGGATAATGGGGGGATGCAGGCACCAAGAGCATCCCCAGGGATAACGGGGGGATGCAGGCACCAAGAGCATCCCAAGGGATAACGGGGGATGCAGGCACCCAGAGCATCCCAAGGGATAACGGGGGATGCAGGCACCCAGAGCATCCCGAGGGATAACGGGGCGATGCAGGCACCCAGAGCATCCCCAGGGATAACGGGGGGATGCAGGCACCCAGAGCATCCTGAGGGGATAATGGGGGATGTAGGCACCCAGAGCATCCCAAGGGATAGCGGGGGGATGCAGGCACCCAGAGCATCCCAAGGGATAGCAGGGGGATGCAGGCACCCAGAGCATCCTGAGGGATAGCGGGGGGATGCAGGCACCCAGAGCATCCCAAGGGATAGCAGGGGGATGCAGGCACCCAGAGCATCCTGAGGGATAACGGGGGGATGCAGGCACCCAGAGCATCCCCAGGGATAACGGGGGATGCAGGCACCAAGAGCATCCCGAGGGATAACGGGGGGATGCAGGCACCCAGAGCATCCCGAGGGATAACGGGGGGATGCAGGCACCCAGAGCATCCTGAGGGATAATGGGGGATGCAGGCACCCAGAGCATCCTGAGGGATAATGGGGGATGCAGGCACCCAGAGAATCCTGAGGGATAACGGGGGATGCAGGCACCAAGAGCATCCCGAGGGATAACGGGGGGATGCAGGCACCCAGAGCATCCTGAGGGATAATGGGGGATGCAGGCACCCAGAGCATCCTGAGGGATAACGGGGGGATGCAGGCACCCAGAGCATCCTGAGGGATAACGGGGGATGCAGGCACCCAGAGCATCCTGAGGGATAACGGGGGATGCAGGCACCCAGAGCATCCTTAGGAGTTAATGGGGACATGGGCACCCTATGGGGGTGTGTGGAGGGTCCCTGAGCTGCCAGCTCCCCACGGGGTGCTGGGGGGTCCCCATTCACCCCGTGCCCCCCCCAGGGGTGCCCCCGGCTGGAGGGGCTGCGGGGCCGGGCCCCCGGCTGCACCTGGGATTCGCTGCGGAACTCGGTGGGTGAGAAGATGCTTCAGCTGCGGAGCCACCCCCTGGCACCCATGGGTGCGGGCGCCTGCGCCCTGCTGCAGGAGCTCTCCGAGGAGCAGAGCTTCGCCATCAGCTACCTCGACATCGGTGAGCACCGCGCACCCTATGGGTGCCCCTGGGTGCGGGAGGGAGCCGTGGGACCTGTGGGCTCAGGGTTTGGGTACCCATGGGTGCCGTAGCCCATGGACACGCATGGGCTTAGGGTTGGGGCACCCATGGGTGCCACAGCCCGTGGACACAATGAGCTCAGGGTTTGGGTACCCATGGGTGCCACAGCCCATGGACACCATGAGCCCCCCATGGGTTTAGGGTTTGGGCGCTTATGAGTGCCCCAGCCTATGGACACCCACAAGTCTTCCATGGGCAGCCATGAGCCCCACATGGACACCCATGAGCTCAGGGTTTGGGCACCTATGGGTGCTTGAGCCCCCCATGGACACCTATTAACACCCATGTGCTTAGGATTTGGGCACCTATGGGTACCCCAGCCCATGGACGCCCATGAACCCCCTATGAACACCCATTGACACCCATGTGCTTAGGGTTTGGGCACCTATGGGTACCCCAGCCCATGGACACCCATGAGCCCCCCCTGAACACCCATTGACACCCATGTGCTTAGGATTTGGGCACCTATGGGTACCCCAGCCCATGGACACCCATGAGCCCCCCCTGAACACCCATTGACACCCATGTGCTTAGGGTTTGGGCACCTATGGGTACCCCAGCCCATGGACACCCATGAGCCCCCTATGAACACCCATTGACACCCATGTGCTTAGGATTTGGGCACCTATGGGTACCCCAGCCCATGGACACCCATGAGCCCCCATGACCACCCATTGACACCCATGTGCTTAGGATTTGGGCACCTATGGGTACCCCAGCCCATGGACACCCATGAGCCCCCCCTGAACACCCATTGACACCCATGTGCTTAGGGTTTGGGCACCTATGGGTACCCCAGCCCATGGACACCCATGAGCCCCCCCTATGAACACCCATTGACACCCATGTGCTTAGGGTTTGGGCACCTATGGGTACCCCAGCCCATGGACACCCATGAGCCCCCTATGAACACCCATTGACACCCATGTGCTTAGGATTTGGGCACCTATGGGTACCCCAGCCCATGGATGCCCATGAGCCCCCTATGAACACCCATTGACACCCATGTGCTTAGGGTTTGGGCACCTATGGGTACCCCAGCCCATGGACACCCATGAGCCCCCTATGAACACCCATTGACACCCATGTGCTTAGGGTTTGGGCACCTATGGGTACCCCAGCCCATGGATGCCCATGAGCCCCCCATAGGCTGTGGCACCTTTGATGCCACATGGACCATGTGGCACCCATGGCCATGGGTGTCCGTGTGCTCAGCACTGGGGCACCCATGGGTGCAGCCTGCTCTTGGGCAGGGGTGTGTGAGGGTTGGGGGTCACTGACCTGTCCCTGTCCCCCCCAGACGCGCTGAGCCTCAGTGGCCTGCACCAGTGCCTGGTGGAGCTCTCGACCCAACCGGCCACCGTGTGCCATGGGGCGGCCCCATCGCGCGCCGGCGCCCGCGCCCAGGCTGCCCGCAACGCGCTGCAGTACCTGCGGGTGATGGCCGGGGGCAAGTGAGCCCATGGGCACCCCATGGATGGACCCACGGACACAGGGATGGACCCATGGATGGACACACGGACACAGGGATGGACCCATGGATGGACACACAGACAGACCCATGGATGGACCCATAGACCCATGGATGGACCCACGGACACAGGGACGGACACAGGGATGGACACACAGACACAGGGATGGACCCATGGATGGACACACGGACAGACCCATGGATGGACACACACACAGACCCATGGATGGACACACGGACACAGGGACGGACCCATGGATGGACACACGGACAGACCCATGGATGGACACACACACAGACCCATGGATGGACCCACGGACACAGGGACGGACCCATGGATGGACACACAGACACAGGGACAGACCCATTGGTGGACACATGGACACAAGGACGGACCCATGGATGGACCTACGGACACAGGGATGGACCCATGGATGGACCCACGGACACAGGGACAGACCCATGGATGGACACACGGACACAGGGATGGACCCATGGACATAAGGACAGACCCATGGATGGACATATGGACACACAGACAGACCCATGGATGGACACAAGGACAGACCCATGGATGGACCCATGGACACACAGACCCATGGATGGACACAAGGACAGACCCATGGATGGACCCACAGACAGACCCATGGATGGACCCATGGACACAAGGACAGACCCATGGATGGACATACAGACAGACCCATGGATGGACCCATGGACACAGGGACGGACCCATGGATGGACCCATGGGCACAGGGATGGACCCATGGACATAAGGACAGACCCATGGATGGACCCACAGACAGACCCATGGATGGACCCACGGACAAAGGACAGACCCATGGATGGACACATGGACACACGGACGGACCCATGGATGGACACACAGACAGATGGACAGACCCATGGACTGCAGTACCTGCGGGTCATGGCCAGGGGCAAGTGACCCCCATGGGCACCCCATGGACCCATGGATGGACGGACGGACCCACAGACACATGGACACGCAAACCCACGGACAGACCCACGGACACATGGACGGACCCACAGACAACGTGCCGCAGTACCTGCATGTCATAGTGGGGGGCAGGTGACACCCCCAACCGTGATCTATGGACGGACACAGACCCACGCATGGACACACAGACCATGGACAGACCCCCACATGGACCCATGGACAGACCCCTGGACCCCAACTGGTGGACCCAGCTGCACCCACGGCCACCCAGGCAGACCCCCAGCCCCATGGACAGACGCACTGGTGCCCAGTGTGGGGACCTGGCCCTGCTGATGCTGCCCATGGAGCCTGGACAGAGCTGGGGCTCTGGGAATAAAGCTGGGGGGGGGTAAACTCCTGCCTCGTATCTTCCTTGGGGGGGGGCACTGGGGGCTGTGGTTGGGCCAGGTCCCTGCCAGGGTCCAGGGATGGGGCAGCCACAGCTTCTCTGGGCACCCTGTGCCAGCGCCTCAGCACCCTCCCAGGGAAGAGCTTCTGCCCCAGAGCTCATCTCAGTCTCCCCCCTGGCAGGTTCAAGCCATTCCCCTTGGCCTGTCCCTGTCCCTCCATCCCTTGTCCCAAGCCCCTCTCCAGGTTCCCTGCAGCCCCTCCAGGCTCTGGAGCTGCTCTCGGGTCTCCGCTTCAGGAGCCTTCTCCTCTCCTTGCTGATAGGGGAGAAGGGAGGGGAGAGCCTGGACACGGAGCTGGCCTCAGGCTCCGCTCGCACCCAGGGGTTATCACCCGCAGCAAGCGCGGGTGTTGCTGTCGATACCGTGGGGCAGGATCCTCCTGAGCCCTTGTGTGGGGCGGATAAAGCCCCCCCTACCCCCCCCCCAGGCTGTGCCAAGCGCTCACACAAGGGATGGGGCACAACAAGAGGGGCAAGGAGCACCCGGAGGATGCTCACGGATCCCAACTGTGGGGCTGTGCCGCTAAAGCACATCCATCGTTGCCATAGCAACAGCCCCACATGCAGCCTATGGGGAGCAGGGCAGGGACCAGCTTTGGGGGTCTCCATCACAATCGGGCACCCCAGGATCCCTTAAGGCTGCCCACAGAGAAGGGCACCGCAGCCCAGCACGGCCCAGGGTCCCCAGGACGTGGAGAGCCACTGGAATACCCCCTGTGGTGTGGGGTGCCAGAGGGACCCCTTGGGTGAGCCCCAGAGCCCCCCATTGTGGCTCCCCACGTGGGTCGCCCCACAGTGGCCCCAAGCCCCATCAGCATCCCCAAATGTCCCTGCCCCACAAGGGTCTGGAGAGCCCCATGGATGGAGCTGTACAGGGGGATGCTGGGCACTGGAGGAACTCAGGATGGGATCAGGGGGAAGCTTGGGATCGATGTGGGTGCATTTAGGGTCCGGAGGCCAAGCGAGCGAGGGGTTGGAAACCAGTGCGGGATTGAAGGGTCAGTGGTGGGGATGTGTTTCCTGGTGCCTGGGGAAGCATCCGTGCTCCCGCTGCCTGCCTTTGGGATCGGTGAGGGCCGGTGCCCCCCGTCAGCTCCTCTTGCTGCTGCGATGGCAGCACCAAGCTCCTGGTGCCAGTGGGGAGCAGGGGAGCCTCCAGGTGAAGCCCTGCTGCTGCCGCCTGGCTCTGAATGGGAATCACTGGATCATGATCATGGCATGGGGTGGGGTGGGAAGGGCCTTAAAGCTCATCCAGCTCCAGCCCCTGCCAGGCAGGCACCAAATGAGTCCACTTCAGCCCAGCAGCACCAAACCGACCGACGCAACCCAACCTAAACCAACCCAACCCAACCTTACCCAAACCAAACTGAACCAACCCAACCTAAACCAACCCAACCTAAAGTAAACCAACGCAACCTAAAGCAAACCAACCCAACCTAAACCAACCCAACCTAAACCAACCCAACCCAACCTAAACCAACCCAACCTAAACCAAACCAAACCAATGCAACCTAAACCAACCCAACCTAAACCAACCCAACCTAAACCAACCCAACCTAAACCAACCCAACCTAAACCAAACCTACCTAAACCAACCCAACCTAAACCAACCCAACCGAACCTAAACCAACCCAACCTAACCCAAACCAACCTTACCCAAACCAAACTGAACCAACCCAACCCAACCCAACCTAAACCAACCCAACCTAAACCAAACCAAACCAATGCAACCTAAACCAACCCAACCTAAACCAACCCAACCTAAACCAAACCAACCTAAACCAAACCTACCTAAACCAACCCAACCTAAACCAACCCAACCCAACCTAAACCAACCCAACCTAACCCAAACCAACCTTACCCAAACCAAACTGAACCAACCCAACCCAACCTAAACCAACCCAACCCAACCTAAACCAACCCAAACCAACCCAAAATAAACCAACCCAACCCAAACCAACCTAAACCAAACCAACCCAAACCAAACTGAACCAAACCAACCTAACCCAAACCAACCCAACCCAACCCAACCTAAACCAACACAACCCAACCTAACCCAAACCAAACTGAACCAACCCAACCTAACTCAACCCAACCTAAACCAAACCAAACTGAACCAACCCAACCTAACCCAACCCAAGCAAAACCAACCCAACCCAAACCGAACCAACCCAAACCAAACTGAACCAACCCAACCCAAATCAACCTAAACCAACCCAACCCAACCCAAATCAACCTAAACCAACCCAACCCAACCCAAACTGAACTAACCCAACCCAACCCAAAGCAACCCAACCCAACCCAACCTAAACCAACCCAAATCAACCTAAACCAAACCAACACAACCCAAACCAAACTGAACTAACCCAACCCACCCCAATCCAATGTAAATCAACCCAACCCAACCCCACCTGACCCAACCCAGCCCAAACCAACCCAAACCGAACCAACCCAAAGCAAACCAACTCAACCCAACCCAACCTAAACCAACACAACCCAAACAAACCCAACGCAAACCGAGCCAACCCAACCCAAACCCCCTCAACCACCCCCCAGGAGCAGCAGTGACCCGTGCACAGGTTTTGGGTCCCTGGCACTTGCCTATAGGAGCCCCCATGAAGCAGGGTCGCCTTTGGATGTTGTGTGAGAGCAGAAGCCTCCTGTGACACCGAGCAGGGCCTGGGGACGTGCAGCAGCACCAGGACTGGTGCTTGTGCCACTGAGGCCATGGGGAGCTTCGCTCTTCCAGATACAAGAGGAGGATGCTCAGGGGCTGGAGCAGCTCCCATAGGAGCCAGGCTGGGAACATTGGGGCTGGAGCAGAGCAGCTTCCAGTGTCTGAAGGGGGCTCCAAGGATGCTGGAGAGGGGCCTGCATCAGGGACTGGAGCGATGGGACAAGGGCTGATGGGTTGAACAGACTCTGATGTCCACCTGGAGCATGGGGAGCAAAGGCTTTTCCTCGGCCTCAACCCAACTCCTTGGATGCTCCCAACGGAGCTAAAGCACGGAGCCGTGGCGGAAAGCAGCAGCAGCAGCACAGACGGCGTCAAGCAGAGCAGAGGATGGGGGTGTACATCCCGCGTGCACGTTTGGGACCCAAGAACGCGCAGGAACGGAGGAATTGGTATAAAACAGAGGGGGGGCAGCGGGGCCGCTCGGCACCGCCCCACACATGAGCACCCAGCTCCCGTGGGGCCCCCCGGGTCCTCAGCTCGGGCAAGGACACGGAACGCCTGGAGCACGTTGAGGGCGACTCAAAGGCATCCCCATGGCGTGCAGGGGAAGCCTCCGGTGCCAGGCGCGGCTTCTCCCCGTGCCGGTTGGAGCATCCCTGAGCACGGCCTCCTCCCGTCCGGATCCAGGCTCCTGAACGGGAAAACCGGGATGGGGGAGAGGGAGACGGGGAGCGCAGCGGGGCCGAGGGGGCCGCTGGCTCTTCGCAAGCGGAGCAGGGGGGCGGCCCCACGGGCACCCGTCCGTTACCGCGCTCAGAGCGGCTCCGCGTCCATGGTGAGCGCTTTCCACACGGCCGTCTTGGGCATCTCGTCCGAGATGTTGATCTCAGAGGGGTCGGCCCTGCAAGGGGGGGTTAGGGGTCAGCCCTATGTGAGGTGTTTTAGGGGTCAGCCCCACAAGAGGGGGTTTAGGGGTCAGCCCCACGAGGGGGGTTTAGAGGTCAGCCCCACAGGAGGGGGTTTAGGGGTTAGCCCCACAAGAAGGGTTTAGGGGTCAGCCCTATGTGAGGTGTTTTAGGGGTCAGCCCCACAAGAAGGGTTTAGGGGTCAGCCCTATAAGAGGCGTTTAGGGGTCAGCCCTATGTGAGGTGTTTTAGGGGTCAGCCCCACAAGAGGGGGTTCAGGGGTCAGCCCTACGAGAGGGGTTTAGGGGTCAGCCCTACAAGAGGGGGTTTAGGGGTCAGCCCCACAGGAGGTGTTTTAGGGGTCAGCCCCACAGGAGGTGTTTTAGGGGTCAGCCCTACAAGAGGGGTTTAGGGGTCAGCCCCACAGGAGGGGGTTTAGGGGTCAGCCCTACAAGAAGGGTTTAGGGGTCAGCCCTACAAGAGGGGGTTTAGGGATCAGCCCTATAAGAGGTGTTTAGGGGTCATCCCCAAAAGAGGGGTTTAGGGGTCATCCCCAAAAGAGGGGTTTAGGGGTCAGCCCTACAAGAGGGGTTTTAGGGGTCAGCCCCACAAGAGGGGGTTTAGGGATCAGCCCCACAGGATCCCGCCCGCAGCTCCTCGGGCTTGAGCCCGAGCACCTCCAGGTACCATAAAGTCATTGGGGACGCGAGGCTTGGGGTCAGAGCTGAGCCCTCCATCACCTCCTGCACCGCTGCCCATACCCATGCGCCCGCCCACCCGGGTCCTGGGGGATGCTCAAGGGAGGTGCAAGAGGAGAGCACGGACCCGAACCCCTTCCAGTTAACGCTGCCGGGGATCCCGGCCCTTGGGGCCGTACCTGTCACTGCTTGGCTGTGGGACACCCGCTTTGCTGCTCTTGCCCAGCAGGCGCAGCTGAACTGAGCTGGCAGCAGCAGCTTCCATCATCTTGCGGGACTCCTGCGGTGAAAGGGACAAATCCAGGCCCAGGAAACCCATTGGGAGCTGCCCTCTCCTGCCCGACAGCAGCAGGGGAAGGACCTCCCGCACCAAGGCAATGGTCACGAGCAAACCCCCCCATGGCAATAAGCACCGCTGGGAGCAGCAGAAACCCAGCTTGAGGAATACCCCATAATTGAAGCGCTAAGCTCAGTGCTGATGAAGAACAGGCTGCGATGTGGGCTCCATTTAGTCCTGTTCTTTCCCCTGCCAGGCCAGGGGCAGCCTGGCAGCCCGAGGGTGATGCCCGGCTCGCAGCCGGCGTTACCTCCTCTTCTTTGGCTTCGTTTTTGGCGTCGTCCAACCTCTTCTTCTTGCTCTCCGGCACGAGGTCATCGAGGAAGCTGAGCTCCCGCTTGGAGAAGCAGAAATCCATCACCTTCCGGACGAAGACGAGCGCCAGGACCTGCGCGAGCCGGAGAGGCCAGTGAGGCCGGAGGTGATGCTGCAGCTCCCCGCCAGCACCGCCGGCTCTTACCATCATGGGGAAGATGATGGCAGCCCGGGACGCCTTGATGGCCCAGAGCAGGACGAGGCAGAGGAGCTGGATCAAGGTGAAGAAGTGCACCTTCCGCAGGGGCACGTGCCGCAGGTAGATGAAATCGGGCTGGTGCTTCGCCGGCATCCAGAACAGCTTCAGGCGGTCGAAGAACTGCAAGGGACAAGGGAGAAGCCACCACCGTGGGACTGCGGGGATGCGGAGGGAGCCTTCAGGATCCTGCTTGCGGGGGGAGATCCTGGATCCCCCCGGGTTCCTCCTGGGAGCAGCTCCCGTTTGCCCCATGGGAGCTGAAGCCCCCAGCAAGGATTCCCAGTTCCCAAAGGGAATCGTGGTACCTCTGCGTTGACAACGGGCAGTGCCCATCACTGCAAGAGACATTGAGGGGCTGGAGCGGGGCCAGAGAAGGGAATGGGGCTGGTGCGGGGCCTGGAGCCCAAGTGTGATGGGGAAGGGCTGAGGGACCTGGGGGGTTCAGGTGGAGAGGAGAAGGCTCAGGGGGGACCTGATCGCTGCCTCCAAGTGCCTGACAGGAGGATGGAGCCAGGAGGGGCTGGGCTCTGCTCCCAAGGACCAAGGGATGGGACAAGAGGAACCGGCCTCAAGCTGCACCAGGGCAGGGTTAGATGGAGCTGAGGAACAATTCCTGCCCCAGAGGGTGCTCAGGCATTGGAAGAGGCTGCCCAGGACAGGGCTGCAGGCACCATCCCTGCAAGTGCTCACACCCCGTGGAGATGAGGCCTCAGTGCCATGGGGCAGCGGTGGCCTTGGCAGGGCTGGGAGTGGTTGGACTGGATGAGCTTAAAGGGCTTTTCCACCCTGGTTGATTCCCTGATCCTATGAATTCCCCCATTTCCACATCCCCAAAACACCGCCCTAATCCATGGAGCTGAGCCCCACCTGCCTGCTCCTCCCAGCCCCATGGACCTCCCCCCACCTCCCCCAGCCCTTTTCCCTGCCCCAAACACCCTCATTTCCTGCCTGCCCATGGTTTTCCCTGTGCCACTTGCATGGAGCTGAGCTCCCAAGGGCAGAAGCGCTGCAGTTCCGTACCTGAATTCCTCTGAGCGACGACACCCCCATGTAGAGAAAGACACCGTAAAGCACAGGCATTGGGATGAACTGCAAAGGACAATGCAATGATGGCTTGGGTTAAAGCACATGCTCAGGGTGGTCACTGTCCTATAGGTGCTGCCTAAAACCCCCTCCAGCCTCTCAGTTTCCAGTGGCTTCAAGAGGGGGTTTAACCAGCAGTGATTTGGAGCGTGCGAGGAGCTGATGCTCTGCTTTAGGGTCTGGTTGCATCCGAATAATCCTGGTTTCCAGAAGGGCTGGAGGAAAATGGGTGATTTCACCTAAAGAGAAACATTTCCCTGTGTTCTTGTGGCAAGGAGTGATGGGTCTGCTTTGAGCCTAAAGATGATGGGTCTGCTTTGAGCCTAAAGATGATGGGTCTGCTTTGAGCCTAAAGATGAGCGTCTCCTTTGAGCCTAAAGGTGAGGGTCTCCTTTGAGCCTAAAGATGATGTTTCTGCTTTGAGCCTAAAGATGAGCGTCTCCTTTGAGCCTAAAGGTGAGGGTCTCCTTTGAGCCTAAAGATGAGGGTCTCCTTTGAGCCTAAAGATGATGGGTCTGCTTTGAGCCTAAAGATGAGGGTCTGCTTTGAGCCTAAAGATGATGGGTCTGCTTTGAGCCTAAAGATGAGGGTCTGCTTTGAGCCTAAAGATGATGGGTCTCCTTTGAGCCTAAAGATGAGGGTCTCCTTTGAGCCTAAAGATGATGGGTCTCCTTTGAGCCTAAAGATGATGGGTCTGCTTTGAGCCTAAAGGTGATGGGTCTCCTTTGAGCCTAAAGATGATGGGTCTGCTTTGAGCCTAAAGGTGATGGGTCTCCTTTGAGCCTAAAGATGATGGGTCTGCTTTGAGCCTAAAGGTGATGGGTCTCCTTTGAGCCTAAAGATGATGGGTCTGCTTTGAGCCTAAAGATGATGGGTCTCCTTTGAGCCTAAAGATGAGGGTCTCCTTTGAGCCTAAAGGTGAGGGTCTCCTTTGAGCCTAAAGGTGATGGGTCTGCTTTGAGCCTAAAGATGATGGGTCTGCTTTGAGCCTAAAGGTGATGGGTCTGCTTTGAGCCTAAAGATGATGGGTCTGCTTTGAGCCTAAAGGTGATGGGTCTCCTTTGAGCCTAAAGATGATGGGTCTCCTTTTACTAAAGATGATGGGTCTCCTTTGAGCCTAAAGGTGATGGGTCTCCTTTGAGCCTATGATCTAGTTGGAACTGGAGATCTTAAGGCCCTTTCCCACCTGACCTCTTCTATGATCCCATGATGTGCAAGGAAGCCCATGGGGCTGATGTCGGTGTGTTTAGCTCCTGGGAACGGCTGTGCTGAGGCATTCGGGGAGCGAATCGAGTGCTGCCTGCTCTAAAAGGAGCAGATTTAGTGGTCTGGGTACACCCCTAAGCATGGGTGAGCTTTCAGGTTCCAGCAAGGTCCTCGAGCACGACACAGTGGGGTCTGAAGGTGCCCGTCATGGGTCAAGCACCGAGGTTCGGGATCACAGCATCGTCCTCCTGCATCCCACCGCTACTCCTCGGGGACGATGCTTCAATACCCCCCAAGAAGCCCACGGTCGGGGGTGCTCTGCGTTGCCCTCTTACCTTCAAGGCAGACGTGAAGAAGACGGAGCAGCCCATGAGCACAAAGATCATCAAACCCGTGACCCTCTGCTCTCGGATCCCCAGAAACTTGGGCTGTTCTCCTGGTGCTGAGCAGTCGGACTCCACCTTGAGGCTGTTCACGTGGGTGATGGACAGGACGGTGGCAGCCACAAACCAGGGCAGCCCCATCACGGAGCACACCCCCAGCATCACGGCCACCATGAAAAGGTCCAAGTGGTACCCGCATCCTTTCTGCAGGGAGCAAAGCAACACAGAGCATCCCAGCGCAAGGACACGCCGCAAGCTGGCCTCAAACCCTACTTGAGCTCAGGTCGACTTCTTAACAATCTAAAACTAGAACAAGGATGCCCCCAGTCTCTGCGCACGCATCAGGCAGGAGCTCAAAGTGGCTGTGGAGAGTTTGTGTGGTACCTACGTCCAAAAATACCCCCAAAATGGACTCTTTTTCACCCATGGGGAAATTTCCACCGCTTGCAATGGCTCTGATCCCAAAGACCCCTCATCCTCCTGTGTCACCATAAACGCAGGAGAGCCTCCTGCCTCTCTTGCAATGGCTCTGATCCCAAAGACCCCTCATCCTCCTGTGTCACCATAAACGCAGGAGAGCCTCCTGCTTCTCTTGCAATGGCTCTGATCCCAAAGACCCCTCATCCTCCTGTGTCACCATTAACGCAGGAGAGCCTCCTGCCCCATGGGCAGGCGTTCCCCCAAAGCAACGCCTTCACAAAGCCCTTGGGACAGGAGCTTCTGCAGAGGGTTGGGGACGGGGTCATCTCAAGCAGCCCCTGACCTTCAGCCTGTGCTCCTTCCTGTTCACGATAACGGCAGTGATCTGCTGGTCCATGAAGATCAGGATGGTGCAGAGCAGGGCTGGGATGAGCGCGGCCAACACCGTCCACCACGGGTTGGGGCCGATGGGGTTGATGAGCCACCCGCGGTCATCTCTGGTGGGCTGCAACAGAGCACGCGCCTCAGCACCCTGCCCCAGCCCAGCACCTTCATTGGCTCTGATGTTACCCTCCAACCCATGTCAGCCCCTCCACAGGGCTCAGCACAGCCACTGCCAGCACCTATAGACCCTTCTGTTGGAGGTGCCTCGTTTAGGGGCTCTTGCCTTGTTTCCAGAAGGGAACAGTGCCCTTGGAGCTGGAAAAGGACCTGGTCACGCACCAGCATCATCTCCTGCCCCAGTGGTGGCATCCCCAGGGGCCGGAACCTGCTCACACCCCTCCAGTACCTTGAACATATGGGGGACGTGGAGCTTCGGTGATGGGATCCCAACCATGAAGTCAATGAGCACCATGACGACGATGGCGAGGAACACGGCAAAGTCACTCACTGTGGAGCGGACCTGGGGCGAGAAACCAGAGCTGAGGGGGGCCTGGCAAGCAGGGCCATGACAGGAGGTGGAAGGAATGGGCCTGGGGGCATCGTCAGCATTAAGCCTGGTTAACAAAGACCCCCCCACTCTGCGCCGGGCAGGCAGATCCCTCGGTTAGGTTCTGGTGCTGGGGTTGTCCCTTTGAGATCTGGTGCCAGGCAATGAGGTGGGAAAGGGCTGAGCCAATGCAAGCCTCAAAAGCATTATTACAAGCTAATGGGGCTGATGGCTGCCCCTACACCACGCTCACAGCTGATAGGGGGTAAGGCACTGAGGCATCGTTTGGACCTCAAAAGGATGAAACAGCGTCTTCTCCTATGGCAGCTCCACATTGGAACCAACGTTGAGCACAGAGGGTGGAAAACAGGGAAGGCCTGACTTCCCAAGGGAAAAACCCAGCCATGAGCACAAAGGCACAAAGAACCAGCTCAGGGCAGGTCACGAGGCAGGCGAGGAGGTGGGAGATGCTGCTCATGGAGGGGAGCGAGGAGCATCCACGCTGATGGAGACCTTGGTCAAGGCGACCAAGGGGTGGCAAGACGTGCTCTGGGGAAGCCACTGCGCGAAGTGGGGGCTGCTGCTGCTCCCCATCTTCCACCTACTCTGGTTGGGAAGTAACGGCTGGTTTTAAACTTCTTCAACAAGCTCGACAGGACAAAGGTGGAGAAGAAGAGGATGCAGCACCAGAAGAGGACGTTCGGAGCGTAGGGGCCGTTGCGTCCGCATGCGGGTCCTCGAAACTCTCCGTGCGCATAGCGACACTCCTGGGGAAAGAGAGCAGGAGGACACAAAGGCAGCGCTCGTGCAGCAAGGAGAACCGGGGGGCTCCGAGGATCTGGGTCCGAGATCCGTGGCCTTGTGACTGCAGCTGCTGGAGGCTGAGCTTTAAGGAGCAGCAGCCCTTGAGAGACATTGAACAGAGGAGAGCAGAGGTGGGCTCTGGGGGGACACCGTAACACAAGACCCCATCCTCTGCGTGAATGGGAGGTGCTTGTGGCTGGGGAGACAACAGAGGGGAAGGAAACCTGGAAACTCTTGGGGATAAGGAGGGACCAAGGCAGGCAGGCCAAAACAACCATGGTACCAACGGAGAAGAGACAAACCATCCCTTCCCAGTGTGGGGCTGGCCATGGGGGGGATGGAGATGTCCATAAGAGCCTCCCGCCCTGTGCCTCGGCTCTGCTTTGGGCAGCAACAGCCTAAGAGGTGGCTCAGACGCTCCAGTTTCTGCATGTGCCTGCAGGGAATGGGAAGGCAAGGTCTGGAGTTCCTAGGACCCAATTGAGGAAGCCAGGTACCACCTTTGAGCATGAACTCAAGCCCTGTGACTGCTGCAGCACCCAAACCACCCCCCAGACCTTGCTCCCGGTCAGAAACCTCATCCTGCAACCAGGCTGAGGAGAGCAGCTACTCCCCATGGTGCTGGGCAGGACAAGGGGGACTCCCCTCCCCTGGACCAAGCGGGTTACATGCACACATCCCATCGAAGCAGAGCAGCAGCAGCACAGGCTGAAGCCCAGCATCACCCGAAGGGCTCTGACTTGGGTACCACGAGGATGCTCCTGGACCTGGTGGCTGCGGCACAGGGCACTTACAGTCACCGTGAGGTTCTCCCAGGCGATGCTGGACACGTCGATCCCGTTGGTGTCCCAGTAGCGCCGGGTTTCATTGCTGGGATGGGCTGGGGGCTCGCACTTACAGCTGGGGGGAGAGAATCCAACCCAGGGTAAGGACAAGGCGATGGAGGGGCAGCCCCGAGCAGGAGGCAAGGAACGCACTAGTAGATGGTGAGGAGGTCGAGCTCGCTGTGCATGTGCACGGGGTAGGTCTCTCGCAGGTGACTCAGCTTCTCGAGCGCCTCGTAGATGAAGATGATGCAGATGAGGGAGGCGAAGGCCTCCTCGGTGAAGCGGGTGATGTAGCACACCAGGGAGCTGGCGTCGGTGGCCACCAGCACCACGCAGAAGAAGGCGGTCCAGAGCCCGATGCAGGCCCGCAGGGACAGGTACGAGAGCGCGTGCTCCCTGCGGAGCGAAGGAGAACCAAGGGTGGAAAGGCCAGAGCCCAAGGAAAGGCAAGGGTGGAAAAGCCAGAGCCCAAGGAAAGCCAAGGATGGAAAAGCCAGAGCCCAAGGAAAGCCAAGGGTGGAAAAGCCAGAGCCCAAGGAAAGCCAAGGGTGGAAAAGCCAGAGCCCAAGGAAAGCCAAGGATGGAAAAGCCAGAGCCCAAGGAAAGCCAAGGGTGGAAAAGCCAGAGCCCAAGGAAAGCCAAGGATGGAAAAGCCAGAGCCCAAGGAAAGCCAAGGGTGGAAAAGCCAGCACAAGGCTCTGAGCTTGACCTTCCTTTGGGAAGAGCCAGGAGCACTTTGGCCAATTCTTTAATGGCCATTAACAGTCCTTGTGTTAACACCATGGAGGCTAATGGAGGTGTTAACACAACTCCTCTCCCACTTCACCTTGCTGCCCTAACACAGAAAGTGGCTGCTTCGGCACCCAGTCACCCACTACCAGCAAGCTGGGGCTTAAGGAAGGAAGTTGAATGGCAAGAAGGGTGGTTCATCTCCCATCTGTCATCGCCCATCACACCCAAGGGCTGGTGCAGAAAAGAGCCATTTCCCATGAAGGGCTCCTGCTCTTTCATCAGAATCATCCAAACCCAGCATATCTCCTTGGGCACCCACATTCATGGGGCATCTCCTTCAACTCTAAGGACCCCAGACGGCCCCATCCATCCTTCATGGCCTGAGGGCTCCTGCACTGCCATGTACTAGAGCAGCAGTGGGCAATGCCCGTGGCACAGAAGACAACCCGAACCCAACAGCTCTCACTAACCCCTTTCCCCATCACTGCAGCTCCCACAGCGCCCAGCCCCAGCCCCTTCTTACCTGCAGAACTTGTAGAGGATCTTCTCGAACACAAGGACGGGGCCGGTGCTGCCGAGGATGGTGAGAGGTTGGCCAGCAAAGAGGGAATACACCACGCCGGTCATGGATGCGCCCAGCAGCGACTCCATGGCGCTCTGTGCAGGGAGGTGAGGAGTCAATGCATGAGACACGGGCAGGAAAGCCCCAGACAAAGCCCAGCACGAAGCAAATTCACTGCAGCAAGGACTTGTCCTTGGGTGTCCTCCCCAGGGCTACCAAGGAGAGGGGTGCTCACTATGTGGCCTTTGGTCGCTTCCCCCAGCAGTCCCCCGAAGGTGATGACGGGGGACATGCAGGCACAGTAGAGGAAGAGGAAGGATGCCAGGCACTGCAGGCTCACACCGTCCCGAAAGTCGCTCCAGAACCATGGGGCTTTCCGCTTCACATCCAGGATCAAGCCTCCGAAGAGCCTGCAGCGAGGGAGAGGAAGGGACTGGGCTTTGGGAGGACACACGGAGTTTCCTTGGCTGCAGAAGGGCACACAATCACTTCCCTCGCTAGAAGGAAGCATCCCGCTCCATCCCTTTCTACACCAAGGCACAGAAGCAAGAGAAGGACCAAAGCGAAGAGCCCATCCCCTCCTATGGCAACGGTCCCTTGCTCTGAGAAGCAGCAGAGCTTTCCCTGCAGGTACCAACACCTCTGCCCCCGTGCCAAGAGCAGCTCTGGGCAGCGATGCCGCGGCTGCACCCACCGGCACAGACCTGCGCAGCCCGGGGCCCCGAGCCCTGCCCTGACCACAAAAGGGAGGAAAGCCCCCGACCCAGCCCCACGTGCAGGGCTCCCACCTCCCCGTCCGCTCCAGCTCGGGGCCGCTGTGCTTCTCCGCCTTGCTGTGGGAAGTGCTGTCCTCAAGCGCGCCGGGCACCTTCCTCTTCTCCTGGGGAGTCGGATGAAGATGGGTGCCCGTGAGGAGCTTGTTTTGCCCCCGGGCTGCGTTGGTGCCGGTGTAAACCGGGTCCCTGCACCCCCCACCCCGCCCCCTTTCCCCTGGGCAGCACCCACCTGCGAGGGGACGCTTTTCGGGGGCTCGATTCGGATCGATGGATCCCACTCTCCCGGCGGCAGCACCGTGACCTGGTCCAGGAACTCATCGATGCCGGCCACGAGGTCGGCGCGGTCCTTGGCTTTGTAGGCAACGTCATGGAAGACCTGCCCCCAGGAGAGAGCCGGTGAGAGGAGAACCCGTGCCCTGCCCCGGCCGGCGCAGGAAGCCCTCCACGCATCCCGTGGGAGCGGCAGGGAACGTTCCCCCATTGGGAATAACCTGCCCATCTCCCCCCCAAGGCCCCGTCCCCCGTGGCCTCTTTGGCTGCAAGAGGAGAAGCCAGCACGGGGACGAGGTGCAGGATGCTCCCCAGGCGGGATTTCCGCCTCCAGGATGGGAGGTGATGTGAATCCATGTGTTTGCTTTGGGATGTGAGCAAAGGGTGGGCTCTTTGGATGGCTGGCAGCAAATCCTCCTCCTCGCTGATATAGGGACAGGGAGAGGAGAAGATAGGACCCGGAGATGTCTCTTATCGCGGCGCACCTCGTCCGTCATGATAGTAGCCATGGACCTGCCGATCTCGTGGTACCGATGGGCTTTTCCTCCTGGGCCAAGCAAAACAAACAGGAACCTGGGCAGGGAAAACCAAGCGGGAGATCAGGATGGGTCCTTGCTCCAGGAGTGCCCCAGGAGCACCCAGATTCCACACGGGACGCACAGGCACCGGCTCCGCGATGAGCTGGGAATTCCTCAAACCCCATCACAAAGGGAACTTTGGGGCCAGCTTCCATTGGGAAATTGGGTTTAAAAGAGCAGGGAAGGGAGAAGCAACGGTGAGGAGATGTGAGTGGGAGAAACGTGGCCTTCTGCCCTTGGGATGCCAGGGTGATGCGTGCAATCCGATGCTGTTCATTGGGGGGGGGGTGTTATAATAAACCCTTTGCGCTCCTCATTCCAACCTTGTTGGGATGGGAACTTCCGTCATGCCCGAGAGGAGGACAGCGGGGGTGAGGCGGACGAAGGCCACGATGGGCTGGGGCAGGAAGTCCAGCTCCCCCACCAGCACGTTGGATGCCTCAGCTCCAGTGGGAATCTTCTTCAGGAAGTGCAGCTCCGCCTGGGCACGACAAGGGCTTTAGAGGCAAGAGCCCCAAGAGCAGCGGAGTCTGAAGGAGCAAATCCGGCCCTAGAGGCACAGGCAGGCTCCGTGTGCTTCACCTTGCTCAAATCCATGGTGCTGGCCTCGGGGGGGACCCCGTTCTTGGCTTCTGCAGCGGTGGGGGAAGGATGCGGGCCGAGAGCTTGGGCTGCGGGAGGAAGGAGGTGAGGAACGGGACCCAAGCGTGGCAGAGCCCCTCTCCCGGGGGCGCATCCCGTGGGAATGCCGACCTGGCTTCTCGAGGAGGGGCGGCTCCGGCTGCTTCTTGCCGCCGTCGGCGAAGGAGCGGACGATGGGGAGGAGGTTGTTGCGCTTCCGCTCGTTCTGGTGGCGATGCTTCCGCAGGAGCACGTCCCGCACCCGCGCCCTCGTGCGCGCCTCCAGCTCCGAGCACGGCTCCTGCTGGCCCAGGAGCAGCTCTGGGGGGCAAAGGGGAGCAAAGGGGAGCGAGCCGCAGAGCAGGGATGGGGCTGAGCACAGCACCCCCAGAACTGAGCGCAGCACCCCCAGAACTGAGCCCAGCACCCGCAGAACTGAGAGCAGCACCCCCAAAACTGAGAGCAGCACCCCCAGGACCTGAGCCCAGCACCCCCAGAACTGAACCCAGCACCCCCAGGACCTGAGCCCAGCACCCACAGACCTGAACCCAGCACCCCCAGACCTGAGCCCAGCACCCCCAGGACCTGAGCCCAGCACCCGCAGAACTGAGCCCAGCACCCCCAGAACTGAACCCAGCACCCCCAGAACTGAGAGCAGCACCCCCAGACCTGAGCCCAGCACCCCCAGAACTGAGCCCAGCACCCCCAGACCTGAGCCCAGCACCCCCAGGACCTGAGCCCAGCACCCCCAGAACTGAGCCCAGCACCCCCAGGACCTGAGCCCAGCACCCCCAGACCTGAGCCCAGCACCCCCAAAACTGAGAGCAGCACCCCAGAACTGAGCCCAGCACCCCCAGGACCTGAGCCCAGCACCCCCAGAACTGAACCCAGCACCCCCAGAACTGAACCCAGCACCCCCAAAACTGAGAGCAGCACCCCAGAACTGAGCCCAGCACCCGCAGAACTGAGAGCAGCACCCCCAGACCTGAGCCCAGCACCCCCAGAACTGAACCCAGCACCCCCAGAACTGAGCCCAGCACCCCCAGAACTGAACCCAGCACCCCCAGAACTGAACCCAGCACCCCCAAAACTGAGCCCAGCACCCACAGACCTGAGCCCAGCACCCCCAGAACTGAGCCCAGCACCCCCAGAACTGAACCCAGCACCCCCAGGACCTGAGCCCAGCACCCCCAGACCTGAACCCAGCACCCCCAGGACCTGAGCCCAGCACCCCCAGACCTGAGCCCAGCACCCCCAGAACTGAGCCCAGCACCCCCAGGACCTGAGCCCAGCACCCCCAGACCTGAACCCAGCACCCCCAGAACTGAACCCAGCACCCCCAGGACCTGAGCCCAGCACCCCCAGAACTGAGCACAGCACCCCCAGAACTGAGCACAGCACCCCCAGAACTGAACCCAGCACCCCCAGGACCTGAGCCCAGCACCCCCAGAACTGAGCACAGCACCCCCAGGATTGGAGCGCAGCCTCGCTTAGCAAGGAGCTGCAACAGAGTTCAGCCTCTCTCTACAGGGAAAGGGATGCTGTTGGCTGAGAACCATCCTCTGCCAGAGAAACTGATTGGTAACTGATAACTGATATAACTGATAACTTATAACTGATAACTGGTAACTGATAACTGATATAACTGATAACTTATAACTGATAACTGGTAACTGATGACTGATATAACTGATAACTTATAACTGGTAACTGGTAACTGATGACTGATATAACTGATAACTTATAACTGGTAACTGATAACTGATATAACTGATATAACTGATAACTTATAACTGATAACTGGTAACTGATATAACTGATAACTTATAACTGATAACTGGTAACTGATATAACTGATAACTTATAACTGATAACTGGTAACTGATGACTGATATAACTGATAACTTATAACTGGTAACTGGTAACTGATAACTGATATAACTGATAACTTATAACTGGTAACTGGTAACTGATGACTGATATAACTGATAACTTATAACTGATAACTGGTAACTGATAACTGATATAACTGATAACTTATAACTGATAACTGGTAACTGATGACTGATATAACTGATAACTTATAACTGATAACTGGTAACTGATATAACTGATAACTTATAACTGATAACTGGTAACTGATGACTGATATAACTGATAACTTATAACTGATAACTGGTAACTGATGACTGATATAACTGATAACTTATAACTGGTAACTGATGACTGATATAACTGATAACTGATATAACTGATAACTTATAACTGATAACTGGTAACTGATATAACTGATAACTTATAACTGATAACTGGTAACTGATGACTGATATAACTGATAACTTATAACTGGTAACTGATGACTGATATAACTGATAACTGGTAACTGATGACTGATATAACTGATAACTGATATAACTGATAACTGGTAACTGATGACTGATATAACTGATAACTGATATAACTGATAACTGGTAACTGATGACTGATATAACTGATAACTGATATAACTGATAACTGATATAACTGATAACTGGTAACTGATGACTGATATAACTGATAACTGATATAACTGATAACTAACTGATAACTGATATAACTGATAACTGGTAACTGATATAACTGATAACTGGTAACTGATGACTGATATAACTGATAACTGATATAACTGATAACTGGTAACTGATGACTGATATAACTGATAACTGATATAACTGATAACTAACTGATAACTGATAACTGATATAACTGATAACTGGTAACTGATGACTGATATAACTGATAACTAACTGATATAACTGATAACTGGTAACTGATGACTGATATAACTGATAACTAACTGATATAACTGATAACTGGTAACTGATGACTGATATAACTGATAACTGATATAACTGATAACTTATAACTGATAACTGGAAACTGATGACTAACTGATAACTGATATAACTGATATAACTGATAACTTATAACTGATAACTGGTAACTGATAACTGGTATAACTGATAACTTATAACTGATAACTGGTAACTGATAACTGATATAACTGATAACTTATAACTGATAACTGGTAACTGATATAACTGATAACTGATAACTGACAAAGTAATAAACTGATATAACTGGTAACTGACAACTGATAACTGATATAACTAATAACTGGTAACTGATAACTGATAAACTGGTAACTGGTATAACTGATAACTGATATAACTGATAACTGGTATAACTGATAACTGGTAACTGATAACTGGTATAACTGATAACTGATATAACTGATAACTGGTAACTGATAACTGATAAAGTAATAAAATGGTAACTGATAAACTGATAACTGGTAAACTGATAAACTGGTAGACTGATAAAGTGATCAACTGGTAACTGCTAAGCTGCTAAACCGGCAGACTGATAAAGTGATAACTGACCAGCGATAAGTGGTGAGCTCTGCCTTTCAAGCTCCTCCACCCTGAAGCTGAGGCAGGTGAAAAGGAAAAGGAAATGACTTGCGGTAAAGAGCTTCCTTACTGAGGCTCAGCTCTTGCACAGACCCGCATTGCCAAGAGCTAAGCCCTGACACGCGCTCCTTTCTGGCTGGGGAATGCCCTCTAAGCCCCCAGATCGCTTTCCAAGGGAGCCCTATGGGAGGGAAGAGCCGTGGACCTGCTGCGTGCCTGCCCCCCAAGCCCAGCTCGCTTGGGGGGATGCGGTACCTGCGATCTCCTCCATGCTGTTGGCGCAGACGTCCAGCAGCACCATGCCGTTGACGAGGCAGCTCCTCAGCTCAAAGAGGCTGTGCAAGGAGAGCGTGGCCACATAGGGCTTGCTCCAGCGCTCGCCGCCGTCCTCCACGTCCTCCTCAAACTTCAGCCACCTGCGGACACCGGGCACCGTCCGCCCCACGGCACGGGCCAGCCCCAGCCCCACTGATGGAGCTGTGGGTACCGTCACGCACGCCCGCTCCTGCACTGGCAGAGCTCATCCCGCGGCAGGGCTTTACCTCGCCGTCTCCTTCCACTCGGCATCTTTGCCCTCCTTGAGGCAGATCTCATCCAGCTCGGTGAACAGGTCATGGGGGACGTGCTGCTCGTCCTCCTCGGTCCCGAGGATGAACTGCACCCGCTGGGACGGGGTGACTGGGGGCAGAAGGCAGAGCCCCGTCCCGTTACTGTGCCGCAATCCGCTCCCGTGCACAGCGGGCATCGGACCAGCGTCAGCCCAGCCATAAAGGGTCCATCTGCTCCCTCTGCCCTGGGGCTGTCCAGGCTTGCACAGAGCCATGGGGAAGGAGAAGCAGCCGCTCCAGCTTCCCATGGGATGGGCTGCTTTCCTTCCCCGCATTTCCCTTTAAAGCCCGGATCCCGCTCGGGAAGAAGAGAGGGATCCCCCTGCAGAGGGATCAGGGCCAACGGGATGAGGTTCAGCACCCTGACTCCCCTTTCCACTGCCTTAAACCGACAAAACAAGTGGGGGAAGCCTGGGGAAAGGGGGGCTTTCCCTCCCCGCGTTCCCTGGGGATAACAGGGAGGACTCACAGTGGTCGCCCTGCTCCGCGGGGGCAGAATCCTTCTCCCGTTCCCGTTTGCGCTCCTTGCGGCCGTGGGGCCGGTGGTGTCGGTGGCTCTGGCGCACGAGCGGCATCCGCACCCCCACGTACAGGGTCCGGTGGCCTGCGGGAAAGCAGCGCCGGCATCGCTCGATGCTGCCGGGGTGGAAGCGCGGAGAAAGAGCGGCTTCCCATCGCGGGGCGCTCCCTGCATCCCTGGCGGGCACGGAGCGGTATCGCTCAGCCCTTGCCACCACGGTGGCAAACGATGGCTCTGGGTCACCCAAAAGCACCCTGACGGCACTGGGACTGCTCTCAAAGCCCAGCTTTGCTGGGCGGCGCAGCCTGCGACAGGAGGGACCGTGTTTAAAGGCCTCGATTGACAGCAGATCAAATCAGTTCCACCTTGAGCCATGAGCAGCCCCTTGAGGAAGGCAGCCCTATGGGGGGCTTTTCCCCTCTCTTTGTCAGCCAGAGCATCCCTAAACGCTGCCAGAACTGAGCTGCTTCGCTAAGGAGCCCAATGGGGAGCGAAGGACACTTTGTGCACTGGTGGTCCCCTAGCAGGATCCCAGCGCACGCTCACCTTCCAGCTCCTCCTTCTCATAGTGGATGTTGACGACGTTGCTGGTTCTTCCCTGGTCAATCACTGCCTCCTCGTCCTGCCTCTGTTCAGCAAGGAGGAGAAGGTACAGGTTGGGTTTGTAGAACATGGAGCGGTTTGGGTTGGAAGGGACCTTCAAAGCTCATCGAGTCCAACCCCCTGCAATGGGCAGGGGTGACAGCCACTAGAGCAGGGTCCCAGAACCACGTCCAGCCTGGCCTTGGACGTGTCCAGGGATCCATCCACCACATCTCTGGGCAGCCTGTGCCAGGCTTTTACCGCCCCCATTGCAAAGGATTGCTTCCTCACATCCAGCCTGAATCCTCTTTCAGTTTAAAGCCATCACCCCTCATCCCACCACAATAGGCCTTGCTGAAAAGTCTCTCCCCATCTTCCTTGTAGGCCCCTTTTAAGCACTGAGAGCCCACAGTAAGGCCTCCCCTTAAGGAGCCTTCTCCTCTCTCTTGGGAACAGCCCCAGCTCTCAGCCTTTCCTCACAGCAGAGTTGCTCCGTCCCTCGGAGCGATTTTGTGCCCTCCTTTGGCCCCTCTCCATCAGGTCCATGCCCTTCCTGTGCTGAGGACTCCAGAGCAGAGCAAAGGGGCAGGATCAAGGTGCTTGACACCTCTGCATGCAGCCCGGGATAGGGGTGGCCTCTGTTCTGCAAGCACCCATTGCCCGCTCAAGTCCAGTCTTTCACCCACCAGTACCCCCAATTCCTTCTCCTCAGGGGTCCCCTCCAGCCCTCCAGCCCCCAGTCTGTGTTGATACCAGGGATTGCCCCAACCTTTGTGCAGGAGCCTGCACTTGGCCCCTTTGAACCTCATGAGGTTGCATGGAAGCCTGGCCAAGTCCCTCTGGATGGCATCCTGCATCCTGCACCCTGCACCCTGCATCCTGCACCCTGCATCCTGCATCCTGCACCTTGCACCCTGCATCCTGCCCCTCGAGCACATCAACTGCACCACTCAGCTTCGAGCCATCTGCAGATGTGCTGGCAATGCCCCCAGTCCCACTGTCTGTGTCACTGAAGGTATCAAACAGTGCTGGTGCCAGTACAGACCCCCGAGGGCCACCATTGGTGTCCATGCAGACACTGAGCCATTGACCGCTACCCTCTGGGTCATAGAATCCTGGAATCATGGAGTGGTTTGGGTTGGAAAGGACCTGAAAGCTCCTCCATCTCCAACCCCTCCACTGGAGCAGGGTGCTCCAAGCCCCTGTGTCCAACCTGCCCTTGATGGGATGGAGCATCCAAACCTTTTCCATTCAATCCATCCCAGTGTCCCAGCACCCTCACAAGGAAGAACTTCCTTATCTCCAACCTGAACTCCCCCTGTTCCACTCTGAACCCATCACCCCTTGTCCCATGGCTCCAGCCCCTGATGCAGGTCCCTCCCCAGCATCCTCAGGCTTTACAGAGCTCCAGGCAGACAACGCCTGCATCCCTTCCTCTGCCCCCTGGTGCAGTTGCACCACCACAGGAGGCCTCCAGGTGGGTCAGGCAGGACTTGCCCTTGGCTGCCTTGAATCACCTCCATGTCCTCCCTGTGCACAGCTCCCCTGTCCCGCTCCAGCCATCGTCCACCCCTGCGGCCATGCAGGTCCATGAGCATCACTCCTCTGTGTGCCTCCTCCTCCAGCATCTCCTCTCTTGTCGGTAATGGGATTTGGAGGTATATATGCTTTCCCCTCCGCGGTGATGCCTGCGAGCCTCACTAGATGGCACCTGGGCACAGGACACGGCCACCGACAGCATCCGAAGGCCCTCGGGAACCTGCAAGGGTGAAGCTTCACCTGCGTGGAGCATGGAGAGCATCGGGTTTGGCCTGGCAGGGCTGGGGTTGGTGCTGGCAGGGCTGCAGGAGCACAGGAGCAGGCAGAAGGGAGCCGTTTTGCTTCTCTTTCCCTTTGCCACCCCGGCCGGGAAGGGGATTACCAGGCTTAGTGCCTTCAAAGCCAATCGCATCTCACACTGGAGCCGCAGCTGCAGCTTTGGAAGGGCCTCCTGGAAACACCTGGGGTCTCCTTTCCTTCCCCCTCTTCGGGCTGCTCTTCCAATGGCCATGAATGTCTTCAAGGCTGAAGAAAACCCGCTCCTGCCGCCGGGTTTCTCCTCCCTTGCCGGCCTGGACAGGAGCTCCCCAAGAAAGCCAAAATCTGGTCACCACGCAAAGGAAACCTCTGCAGTGCTGCGCAGGGGTTTCAGCCGCAGGCGCTGCCGTGGGCTCTGCTCCCCATGGCCCCATCAGGAGCAGCATCACCGCCTCGCCACGCCACCGGATGCGCCGAGCAGGAGGAGCGGATGCTGGCGATGCCGCTGGTCCCCGGCGCCCCACGGCAGACCCAGCTCGATGCCAGCTCCTGGCACTCACCACGGGACCGCGTTTCCCGGTGCCTCCGGCTTTCCCATCCTTTTCCCGGTGCCCCCCCCTTGCCTGCAGCCCTTTGGTCTGCTTGGATCTTAGCAATCCTTTGGCACTGTCTCCTGCAGGGCTCTGCTGGAGAAGCTGCCTGCTCGTGGGCTGGATGGGGTGGAAACGGGCTGGATGGCAGAGCCCGAAGAGCGGTGGTGAAGGGTGTCACATCCAGTGGTGTCCCTCAGGGCTGGGTGCTGCTCAGGATCTTCACTGATGATCTGGATGAGGGGATGCAGGGTACCCTCAGTGGATCTGAGCTGACACCCGGTTGGGTGGGAAGCTCTGCGGAGGGATCTGGCCAGGCTGGCTCCATGGCTGTGCCAATGGGATGAGGTTCAAGAAGGCAAAGTCCTGCACGGGGGCCACAACAACCCCCTGCAAGGCTCCAGGCTTGGGGAAGAGCGGCTGGAAACTGCCCATGGGAAAGGAGCTGGATGAATGGAGCTGAGCAGGAGCAGCTTGTGCCCAGGCAGCCAGGAAGCCCCCAGCATCCTGGCCTGGCTCAGCACCAGTGAGGCAGCAGCAGGGCCAGGGCAGGGATTGTGCCCCTGCATTGGCTCCCTCCAAGTGCCAGACAGGAGGATGGAGCCAGGAGGGGCTGGGCTCTGCTCCCAAGGACCAAGGGATGGGACAAGAGGAAACGGCCTCAAGCTGCACCAGGGCAGGTTTAGATGGAGCTGAGGAACAATTCCTGCCCCAGAGGGTGCTCAGGCATTGGAACAGGCTGCCCAGGGCAGGGCTGCAGGCACCGTCCATGCAAGTGCTCACAGCCCGTGGAGATGAGGCCTCAGTGCCATGGGGCAGCGGTGGCCTTGGCAGGGCTGGGAATGGTTGGACTGGATCTTGAAGCTCTTTCCCACCCTGGCTGATTCCCTGGCTCTGTGGTTGTGACTCCTCCAGAGCCATCACTGTACAAGCCCTAGTTCAGGTTCATCATCGAGAGCATCAACAGCAGGGGCACAAGGAGCGACCATTACAGAGTCGTGGCCTCCATCCCCTTGGTGCTGCAGTGAACCCCATCAGGCAGAGGCAGTCCTTGCACGGCACGGAAAGGGCCAGGGAAGCGGCTTTTCCCCCTCTCCTCACCATTTCCAGCCCTGCTTCATTTTCCCAGCTGAGCTATTCCTCTATTCCCATCCTAACAGCTCCTTTGCTCCAGTGAACTCCCTCAGCACAAAGGGAACCTGTGAAAGGTGACCCAGGGTGTTAAATAGCACAGGGGGGGAAGGTGACACCGAGGCCTCATCAGCTCAAATCCCATCCTGATCCAGGCTCTGCTCCTCTATTATTGACATTAAAGCTTCAGGAGCAAACACAGGAGGAAGCAGAACAAGGGGCACCTGCGGGTATCCCATCGCCCTTCCCAGAACCATCCCGAGCCTGGCGGGGAGATGCGACCGAAGGAAATGCCCCCATTCCACACTCCCTCGGTCCCCATGGGGCCGCTCAAATGGGCTCAGAGGGGTTAATTCCCTGAGGAGACTGCTGGAGGATCCAAGGATTTCCCAGGGTTGGGATGGGATGGGATGGAGTTATCCCATCCCAGGCTGGGTACCAGCACTTGCAGGTACCTTCCCTCTCCATCCTGCTGCCAGGCGCCTTCATCCACCCGGCTCAGTGCTGCTCCTCCTGCCCTGGGGAAGCTCTGCTGTAAGCGGGGACAAAGCAGAGGGGCTCAGGTTGGGCTTGGGGTGCTCGTGGTGCTGGGGAAGCCAAGAGCATCCTATGACCATGCAAACCTCGGGGCCAGCCCCCACGTGAGCACTGGGAGGGAGGGTCAATGTCATCAACTGACCCGAAACGGGGCTGGTAACCCTCATCCTGGTGGTGTTAGGGGATGAGGGTAGCAAGAGCCAAACCAGGGGCTGCTGTGGAGGGGGAGCAGGAGACCCCCTCCCTGCCCCTCTCCATCTCCATCCTGAATGGGCAAAGCCCCATCCTGGTGGCTCCATCCTTCACTGGGCCCCCTCCGGGTCCTGGACCAGGATTTAAGCTGTGGTGGGCTTGGAGCCGGGCGCTTGCAAAGGGAGGGGACAGGGCCCCACAGCGGGGCTGTGTGGGGAAGGACGCAGGTCCCAGCCGAGCACCATCAGGACGTGCCAGCGCTTGCAGGGGGAGGTGTGAATTCCTCTCCCTCCTTCCCAGGAGCTCCCATTCCAGATGAATCAATTCCCACCTCATCCGCCACCAGGAGCAGCTCCCGCAGCCAAATCCCATGGGGTCAGGCAAGGAGATGCTGAAAGGGGCGGGGGGGGGGGCACCTGCACCCCAACACCGGGCACAAAGCGCCTGGAGGACACAAAAGCATCCCCCCCCCCCCGGGACTGGTGTCGTGGGGCTCTGTGGGGGGCAGCGGCGTTGTTCCCCCTCCAAAGGACCCACAGCATCACCACACGTAGATGCAAGGGACGAGGGGGGCCCAGCGGGGAGCCCCCCAACAGGCACCGCGCTCACATCCCTCCTGCACCCCTCGCCCCCCATCTCCACCTTGCAGGTGCCTCGCACCGCCCCCACATCCCCCCATTTTACAGCCCCCTCCCAAGCACCCCCCTCCCCCTTAGACCCCCCCCATGCACCCATCCCCCTTTGCAGACGCCTCCCCCCCCCGCCATCGGCAATGCCGCAGTGAGCATGCACGGAGCATCCTCCGGCCCCCCCCGCCGCTGCCCCCCCACCTGGTAGCTGAGGATGCCGTCGGGCTCGTTGCTGCCTGCGGGCATGGCGGGGCCCGGCACCCCCCCGGGGCCAGGGGGGGCCGCTGCCGGCTGCAGCCCCGGTGCCGCTCACACCGGCTCCGCCATCGCCCGGAGCCGGGGACAAACCCCGCCCAGGGCCGGGGGGGGGGGGGGGCGGCGGGCGGAGGGAGGAGGCAGGGCCGGGGGGGTCGGGGAGCAGCGACCGGGGAGGGTTCAATGGGCCCGCTCCTGCAGCGACCCCCGCTGGGGCCCCGTCAGCTTCTCAGTGACCCCCCCCCTCCGGCATCACCCCCCAGCATCACCCTGAGCCCCTTCAGTGCTTTAGTGACCCCCCCTCTCCAGCATCACCCTGAGCCCCTTCAGTGCTTCAGTGACCCCCCCTCTCCAGCATCACCCTGAGCCCCTTCAGTGCTTCAGTGACCCCCCCTCTCCAGCATCACCCCCGGCATCACCCTGAGCCCCTTCAGTGCTTTAGTGACCCCCCCCCGGCATCACCCTGATCCCCTTCAGTGCTTTAGTGACCCCCCTCTCCAGCATCACCCCCCGGCATCACCCTGAGCCCCTTCAGTGCTTTAGTGACCCCCCCTCTCCAGCATCACCCCCCGGCATCACCCTGAGCTGCTCCAGCATCACCCTGATCCCTGCCAGTGCAGTAATGACCCCCCCGTCTCCAGCCTCACCCCCCCCAGCATCACCCTGAGTCCCCCCCAACCACCACTCTGATCCCCTTCAGTATCACCCTAATCCCGTTCAGTACAGTAGTGATCCCCCCTCTCCATCATCACCCCCCCAGCACCACCCTGAGGCCCCCCAAGCATCACCCTCATCCCCATGAGCATGTTAGTGACACCCCCTGTCTCCAGCATCACCCTGAGCCCCTTCAGTACCTTTGTGACCCCTCCCCAGGACCCCTTTTCCCCCTGTCCCCAGCTGCAGCCTCACTCCTCAGGGCAATCCCTGCTCTTTGCTCCTCCGGGGATGCCTCTGCCCCAGGAGGAAGGGGTCAGAAGGAGGGGGGGGTCAATAGGACCTGGGCTCAAACCCCCTTCACTCATCGCCCCCTCTCCCCACTGCACAGTCCCCCCTGGCCCCATTGCCTGGGTTTTCCCAGGGTTAGGGTTGGGGGGGGATGATCCCCTTTCCCTTATTTCCAATGGCAATTCCAACAGCCACCAAGAGACCGGGGACAACCGCAGAGGTCAGAGCTTTGCCTTGAAGCAGTCCTGTTCCTGTTCTCGCTGCGGGACAATCCCATTTTACATCACTTTCCCATCGTCAGGATGGAATCTCCCCCTCCTGCCCCCTGGGATCCGTTCCCTTTGGCTCCTCTGAAAACGTGGTCCCCCAAACGGCTGATATCGGGGCTTGGGGGGCACAGAGCCTGGGGGCAGCCCCTTCTCCCTCGCCACATCCCAGGCTCCTGAAGAGGGGAACTCAAGCGCCGAGCATTTCCCACCCGGAGCTGCTGTTCAGCCGCGTTTCACTGGGAGCGTTTGTGCCAGCTCCAGCCTCGGGCTGCACACAGGAGCCGAGGGAGGATGCGCACGTTCCTGGTTGCGGGAATTAAAGCAGGTTTAAGCCGGTCCTGGCTTCCCAGTTACGGGAACGGGCTCCCGAGAGACAGCCAAACCAACGCCGCCCACTCCCCGCAGCTGGGACCGGCACCCTGTACTTAAGGGTATTCAGGAAGCAGAGGCACATCCATGCCGATGGAAAGGGCTGCATTAAAAACGGCAGCTCCCGGGTCACCCTGGAGCCTCCGGCTGGGAAGGGGGTGATAATTGCCCCGTGCAGCACAACATCTCTATATATAACAAAGCCACACTGGGACAGGCCAGCAGTGGAGTGGAGTTGGTGGAAGTGCTCAGCCCAGCACAAGGGATGCAGCATCAGGCCCCAAATGCACCCGGTGTGGTTTTCCATGTCCTTTGGGTTAGTGACCCCCTTCAGCATCACCCCACAGCATCACCTCCAGCATCACCCCCAGCATCACCCCACAGCATCACCCCAGCATCACCGCCAGCATCACCCCCACAGCATCACCCCCCAGCATCACCCCCAGCATCACCCCACAGCATCACCCCCCAGCATCACCCCCCAGCATCACCCCCCAGCATCACCCCCCAGCATCACCTCCAGCACCACCCCACAGCATCACCCCCCAGCATCACCCCACAGATCACCCCACAGCATCACCCCCAGCATCACCCCCCAGCATCACCCCCAGCATCACTTCCAGCATCACCCCCAGCATCACCCCACAGATCACCCCACAGCATCACCCCCAGCATCACCCCACAGCATCACCCCCAGCATCACCCCCCAGCATCACCCACAGCATCACCCCACAGCATCACCCCCAGCATCACCCCACAGCATCACTCCCAGCATCACCCCCAGCATCACTCCACAGCATCACCCTGTTGGTGATGAGCGCAACCATGGCTGTTCATGGAAACCAGCCCCATGCCTTGGATGCTTTGGCTCCAGGGAAGAGGCAGCCGTGCTTTCCAAATTGGATTTCCCAGATCCAGGCTGGTTTTCTTCCTGACAGCAAATCCAGGCCGGCTCTTCCCCTTTCACACCACATAAACGAATGGGTTTGCTCACTTCCCAATCCCGCACTTCCAGGATCTCACCTTGCTGTTAAAGGGCGTTTTCTTCCATGCCCTATAGAGCAGCACAAAGCACCCTATGGAGCAGCACCAGCCAGCGAGAGAAGCTGCGGAAGGAACCTTGGAGCAGGAGATGCTCACGGGAAAGCTGCTCCGTGACGTTCCCAAACCCCACTTTGCCCTCCAGTGAACTGAAGGGCCTGATTCTGCCCGGCGTCCCCCGCACCGCGTGGATGGAGAAGCCAAGCTCAAAGCTCTGCCCCTAAAGGCAGATTTGTCTTGGGAAGTGGCTCCCAAACAGCTTCACCCCCTGCAGATCCGCGGCTAGACGGGGACCGCAGGGATGGGAGCAGTGCCCTGCCCGAAGGGATGAGCCCCATGGGGCACGGGGATGTTGGTCCCCGGCACAGCCATCAGCGCGGCTCCGTTGCTGGGGGGAGCCCCGGCTCGTGGCTGTGGTCTGCGCCGCTGAGGATGGAGACCCCTGATCTCTGCTCCTCCTGCCCTTGGGAAGGAGAGGAGGAGCCGGCCCTCGAGTTCGGTGCAAGCTGCCCCAAAGGGGGGACGCCAAACCCATTTCCTCGCAAAACACGAAGGGGATGTGGAGCTAAGCCGTGGTTTGAGCCTCCGTTTCCCTGCCCCTACAGGTGAATCCCTTTGCACCACGCACGGGTAGGCACTGATGGAGAGTTCTACGTAACACTGCTGTTGATGGATGCACTCTTCATTCTGGGCACATGGATGACACCCTCCCGTGCAATTACTTGCTCCTGTTATTCAGGACCTTGCTTGAGGGCAAATCCCAGCCCAGGGAGGCTCAGCCAGGCAAAGGACCAGCAGCAGGACCAGAGGCTGCACTCTTCATTCTGGGCACATGGATGACACCCTCCCGTGCAATTACTTGCTCCTGTTATTCAGGACCTTGCTTGAGGGCAAATCCCAGCCCAGGGAGGCTCAGCCAGGCAAAGGACCAGCAGCAGGACCAGAGGCTGCATCTTCTGCACCCGCCACCTCCTCCCAGAGCCTTTCATCCTATAGATGGTTTTCCCAAGGGATTAAGCAGGGAGATGGAACAAAGACATCACTGAGTCTTTTCCACCATCCCCAGTAGCTATGGAAAAGTCATTTCCACACAGTTAAAGGTGGGGCCGCAGGGCAGAAGTGGCTCTGATATCCACAGCGAGCCAAAACACACCCAGCCCCATCACCAGGGAGCACTCCGGGTAACAGGGAGCAGGAGCCCTGCCCTGCCCGAGCTGGCCCCAGTCCGAACCAGCAGCGGGCTCTCGTGAAGGCTGAGGGCTTGCTCCAGGCGGGCTGAGATGAGCTTTACACCGCCCTCTTGGCCTCCTGCCCCCGAGGGGAAACCTCCTGGCCGATGTCCCAAGCCTGAGCATCCGCAGAGGTGAGGATGGCGCCCGGTCCCAGCGCAGCCTCCTCCAGCACCCAGCCCGGCGTCCAGGACGGCTGCGAGGAGTGAAGGGAGAAGCGGTCACTGGAGCACCGGAGGCGCCTCTTCCCATTGCCCCAGCCCCTGTCACACAGAAATGCAGCCTCCAAAGCCAACACCAGGGGCTGTGCCCGTGCAAAGGGCTCCTCCTTCCACCCTCCCCAGCATCCACCGAGGATCCTGTCTCCATGTGAGCATCCCCATCGCTTAGCAGCAGCTACAGTCACTGCCCAAGCCAGAACAGGGAAAAGTGCTTTCATAAGGACCAAACTGGGCTGCGTTTGTCATTCCCTTCTAGTGCCATTATCATGGAAGTGCCCATAAGGCACATTAGGGCTTTAGCAGACCGAACCGCTTCCACTCCCATCTTTCATCCTTCTCCTCCTTACAAAGCAGTTACCTTCTGCGTACAGCCCAGGCTGAAACCAAGAGGTTTCCCCATAAATATGTGGCCAGAGCAGCCATGAAGTAACTTTCAAGGCCTCATCTGGGAGAAGGGATGAAAGGAGAAGGCCTTGGCATCGCAGGGACCCTCACCAGCAAGCCCAGGGCTGGTGTCCCACCCGCAACGCTGAGCAGGAGGACTGAGGAGCCAGAGTGTGCAGAAATCCTCCTTTTGGGGGTGCATAAGTCAGATGAAAGAAAGGAACATTTAAGGGCCCATTTCAGTTGAAGGGAATGAGGAAGAGCTCATTTCAGCCCCAAAGGGGGTTGACAGAGACCAAATCAACCGCTTCAAGGGCTCCTTAATGCCTCAGGGAGGATTGATTACAGGAGGGTCTTCTCCCCAAGTGCATCAGGTGCTGCTTGGCAGTCACAGCCCAGGGGCCTTTCTGCCCCTCATTCCCCTGGGAAGCAGGTGCCTAAAGGCTTGCTCAGGACATTCCCCTAAAGCTCCTCTCTCCACAGCTTCCCGTGTGTTGCTGCAGGGCAGATGGAGAGGATGCTGAAGGTGCAAGAACATGCGAAAGTCACAGCCAAACCCCCCCATCAGCCTCTCAATTCACCTTCCCGGGCCCTCGGATCTCCACGGGGGCCTTGGCCTCAGCATGTTGAGCGCTTTCCCTGGGAGCATCTTCCCTCTGGGGACTGTGTGCTGGCCTTTCCCCTTCCTTCATGACCGTGTCCTCTGTGCGCTGCGTCGGCAGCAGCACGGGGATGGCTCGGAAAGAAAGCAAATCAGAGCGGTCATTCCTGAGGCTTCAATGCTTTGTTTCCCCTTCTTATTGCCTCTGTTTCCCCTTGGGCTGGTGACGCAAGTGGGCACCGCATCCCTGCTGGCAAAGCTCGCCTGTCCCCATCGCTCGCTTCAATGCAAGGCTGGACCAGTGAAGAAAGAGGCACCCAGGGGCACTCAGAGAGGGCTGGGAGCTGGAGAACAATGAGCTCCCTTAGGAGAGGCTGAGGCTTCGCTGCCCCAAAGCCTGGATGGTCCCAGAACTGCCTTTGGAAAGCGCATGGACCACGGCTGGGCACGGGAGAGGGGCGAGGGAGGGCGAGGGACATTTCCCTGGTGGTTTCCAGGCCAGGAAGGTTCCATCTTCCTGCATCCACCCTGCTCGCCCACACTGCTCTAGGCAATGGGTGCCATCCACTCCTCTGCTTCTTCCCCTTCTCCACCGGGGCAAGAGGTGCGAGGAAGCAGTTGCACACCCACAGCACGGTTCTGCCTTCAACCCGCCCCACGTTACCCCTCATTCTGCAGCAAACTCCTCTCCAGCTCCAGGACAGGTTTCCCCCAGCACCTTTGGACCTGCAGTTCCAGTGCACCCTCCCCAGCCCCTCCGCTTACCAGGGACAGGTCCCCTCGTGGCAGCCAGCTTCTGGAGGAGCTCGCCCTGCTCTGTGCACAGCTCCTGCAGCCTGGAGACCTCCTCCTGGAGCTGCAGGAATACATCATCCATCTCCACCACGCCTGGCAGGGAGGAGAGCGGGAGGGAGTGAGCAATGTGTGCTGTCCAAGCTGGAGCCACCGCGGTGGGATGGGATGGGATGGGATGGGATGGGATGGCATGGCATGGCATGGCATGGCATGGCATGGCATGGCATGGCATGGGGAGGACCAGGCTCGGTCCTGCTGCAGGATCCCAGGAGATCCCACACGCTCCTGTGTGGGGCACTGCAAAGCCCTCCCAGTTCCCTCCCGGTTTACACAGTAAGAAACTGAAAAGGGAAGTGATTCTTCCCGAGCAAGGGGGTAACTGAGGAGCTGAGCCAGAAAGTCCCATTTATTGACAAATCTACCTGGAAAAAGCTGCATTTCACACCGAGCTGCACCAAGGGATCTCATCCTTATACAGTGCCATGACAGGAGTCCAACAAACCCATACAGGGAGCAGTGTCCAGCACTGAGAGCACAATTCCCCTTTCTCGGGATGCTCAGCCCCTTCTACTCTCAACAACTCCCCTTGAATCCAACTCCAGCTCATGCCCCCATGGGATGCACGGACCCAATATTGTTACTCCAAAGGCAAACCCCTCTGCGTGGTGGTCCACACCTTTCTCCTTACTTTAACAGCTCTGTTGGGATTGGCCTTGCGGGTTTTGCCGTACTGCATCCATTCCTGCCAGCCTGCAAAGTCCCTTTGGACGGGAGACCCGTGCCACCTCTGTGAGCATCAGCACGCAAAGCAGCTTCGCTTCCTGTCAGCCTGCCCGGCTCCGCTGCTCTCAGCGCTACAAATGGGAGCTCCGGCTCTGTAATCAGGGGCCTGATGGAGCCTCCTGTGGTGCTTGGGGCGATGTGGATTCAGAAGGGCAGGAATCCCGACCGGCCCCAAGGAAGCGCACCCGGCACAAGGGAACGTGCAGGCGGAAGGGTGAGGTTTGCTCCCAGCGCTTCTCCCACCGCAAACGAGCCCTGGGGATAAAACTGCATCATGGGTTTGGCCGTTTGGGTCTTAAAACCCAAGGCTAAGGGTTTTGCACCCCCCGAAGCAGCTCACCCCATAGCTGACACATCAGAGACTGAGAGGATGGATTTTGCCATGTAACTATGCCAATGAATCACTGAGCGTGTGATGTGAGCCTAAGCAAACCGGTACTGATTTTGTACGATCCCTGCTGGGGGGTTCAGTCCTTAAGGGCTTCTTCACTGCCCCCAGGTTACTTTGGAGACTTTAACCTCCTGCAGCTTGAAAACACCGAAATAGAGGGGAATTGGGTGCTTGGGGCTCACCGGGACCCGGAGGGGCTTCAGCCACGTTCTCCCTTGGGGCCGGGGAACGGGGCTGCTTTAATGCACCGAAACACCCGTGTCCCCCCTCCCTCACCCCACTGCGGACCCCAGGAAGCGAAAAACGCTCTTTTCTCCACAGAATCGCACTTACTGCGGTGGGGACCCCTCCTTTCCCCGGCCGGGCGGCTGCGGCCCCACATCAGCCCCTGCGAGTCGCGGCTGCAGACGCCAAAGCTCAGCACCAGCACCCTTTGGGGCAGGGAATTTCCCCTTCGGTTTCGGTGCTAAGAGCAAAAGCCCCGCACGGCCCCGAGGCAGGAAGCAAAGCGGCAGAGTCGGTTCCAGGCAGCTGCTGCGCAAACCCGGGCTTTAAACTTAGCTTTGAAAAGCACAGGAGATGATTTCAAGGCCCAGGATGGCCTGGTGGTGGGTGACTGCTGGCTCCTCTCCCCGCTGGCTGGGTAAAGGTAGGTGCCTTTTCTGTGCCTCAGTTTCCCCCCCCCCTTTTCTCTTTAACGGGGAGCCTGCTGTGTGTCTGCGGTGCCCCGGAGCCCTGCCTGACTTACCTGCTGTAAGACAGCTCATATTCAAGCTAATATCCCAATAATCCAAGTTAATGCTCACCCTGCCTCTGCTCAAATCTGCTAAATCCTCCATGGAGCACAGCAGCCAAAGCAGAATCCTCAGGTGGGTGATGAAAGCCTGCCCAGCGCTCGACCCTCTGGCATCCTGGGAAAGCCACTGATGCTTTCCCCATCACCTTCCTGCTTCTCCACCCTCCTGTGTGCCTCAACCTCAGCCTCTCCTGGGGCGCACAAGAGGTTTGGGGGCTACTCATGCCCTGCCAATGGGCTCATTGTCACCTTGTCCCTAAAGGGGCTTGAGTGGCTCTTTTCCACCATCGAGCTCTCACCTGGCTTTCCTGGGAAGTCTTGGGGCAGTGTCTGACGCTCAGGCTGAAGGTTCATGAAGATACCACCATCCAGTGTTAACCACGGCGTGTAAGGACATGGGAAACGGGGTGCTCAGAGTGGGGAGCTCGCTGTTCGGGGCTGCCACCCTGCTGCATGCAGGCTCCATCCCCAAGCACAAGCTTGGGGCACCCGGGGAGAGAATGAGGCTGATGCCATCGGCAGGGGAGAGCCAGGCTGAGAAGGGATCACAGAGGAATGGGAACGATTGGCAAGCCCCCGCGTTAACACCTCATTGATAGCAACCAGCCTGCTCACAAAATACATTACCGGTGATTATCGCATCCCAGTAAAGCTGGCAGTAAGTAACCTGCAGCCGCAGGGAACCGCTGCCCCCACGCCGGGAAGCTCAGGGGGCTCCGCAGCACCCGTGCAACGCCTAAAGAAGAAAACCAAAACCGACAGCGCCAGGCCCTTGCTGCTCCTACGGCCTCTATAGGCGCTAGGACCGCGCGCGGTTCCCCCCCCGGCGGGCGGCGCTAGGACCGCGCGCGGTTTCCCCCCCGGCGGGCGGCGCTAGGACCGCGCGCGGTTTCCCCCCCGGCGGGCGGCGCTAGGACCGCGCGCTGTTCCCCCCCGGCGGGCGGCGCTAGGACCGCGCAGCGCCGCCCCGTGCACCTGTACCCCGGGGCGGTGGCAGCGGCCCCGCCCCTCCGGGACCGCACCTGCGGCCGCGCGTGCCGAGAGCCGGTGAGCGGGGGGGGGGGGGGGGGGGGTCCGGTCGCTCCGGTCCCGATCCCGATCCCGATCCCGATCCCGATCCCGACACCGGTCCCGACCCCCGCACCAGGTGTGCCCGGGCGCGCTGCGGGAGGGGCCGGGATGGAGCCCCCGGCTCGGGGGAACGGGGTTCGGGTGGTCCCGGTGCGGAGCCCCCCCCCCCGCCTTGGGGAAAGGAAGCGAGGGAAGGGGAGGCGTTGGGGGGTCCCCTTGTAGAGCGGCACCCCCAGGGAACGGGTCCCTGCACGGGGTCATCCCAACCCCGCCCCCCCGAGGCAAAGAGGGGCCGGAGGGGTCCGGTGCGGAGCGCCCCCCATTGCTACAGCGGGGGAAGGGTCTGGGGTGCGGGATGGACCCGCACAGGGAAGAGGGGCCCGGGGCTGTGCGGCTCGCGGTAGGCAGGATCCGACCCCCTTTCACGTCCCCCGCCCGGAGGAGCAGAGCTGCCCCCAGCCCGTCACCGGGGCCTCGGTGCCCCGAGGGCTCAGCCCAGCGGGGTGAGGCCAGCGCCTGGACGGGGAACCCCCCCCCCTTCCCTTCCCATCACCGGCTCTTGGCGGGGTCGAGCCGTTGCGGGACCGTGCCCCGTGTGCCGCTGTTGGCTTTTGGCCACCCCCGCCGCTGACGCCGTCGCCGCCGTGGTCAAAGGCTCCCGGCCACGTCCTCGGTGTTGCTTTGCGTTTATTTTCGTTATTCCTCCTTTTTTTTCCTCCTCCGCCCGCGGAGCGCTCCTTGCTCCCCCCATCGCCCCACGATTGCTCCCTCCCGTGCCCCGGAGATGGTCCGGCTGCCACCAAGATGCCACTGAACCCAATTTCCCCCTCTTCCGAGCCCAATTTCCCCCTCTTCCGAGCCCAGCGGGCTCCACCGGGCAGTTTCGGTGCTGGTTTCCTTGAGCGCAGGGCGAGCCCCATCCCAGCAAGGGATTTTCGGGATGGGACGGAGCGCTGCAGCCCCGGCCGTTCTGTCAGCAGAGGGCTCGCAGTTCGCTCTTACTGCAGCTCGCTCCAAAATCCACCTCAGCGCTACTTGGTAGGGAGTTTTGGGGGGGTTCTTCTCCTTTTTGGGGAGGCGGTTTGGGGTTGGAGCCCTCGGGAACTGCTGTGCACTGTCCCTGTCCCTGCCGCGCCGGCCTTTATCAGCATTGCACAGGGAACTTCGTTAACGTGCTCCCAGCGATGTGGCAGGAAGGAGGTGATGGAAACGGGGTGTTCCTCCCCAAAACTTCTCGCCATGCGGTGGCTCCCCCTGTGCGATGAAAGCATCAGGGCTCAATGCGGTAGCTCTGAGGGAGCTCATCAGGAGCATCTTTGCTCACGTATGGGTAGAAATGAGATGGATTTGGGGGGGTGGGGGGGTGTTCTCTTCGTTCTGCTCTTTCCCTCCCTTGCCCGTGGGGCTGGTGCCGCCCGGTCCCACCGCGGCTCGGGAACGGGCGCCCTTGGCAGTGAAGCGTGGTCCAGCCGCCGGCTTTGATCGCCGCGGGGCTGAAAGCAGTGACCCCGGGGACCGCCTCGTCCCTCCTCCTTCCCCAGCCGAAGCTTCCTCACCCTTGAAGTTGCTGCAGGTGCCCTGCTCCGCTCCGGGGCCGCGCCATTGCCAAGGGGACACAAAGAAAAGGGGCACAAAAAGAGAAATAAAGGAGGAGGAAGGGGGGGGGACATCGAGGAGGAGGAGGAGGAGATGCTGGTGAATGGCTCCCATGGAGCTTGTCCATGCTCCGGCGGCAGCGGCTCACAAAGAACAGCCGCGGGAGGTTTGCTGGCGCTGGGAAAGCTCGGCCGGGCCCCGGTGGTGCTTTGTAGCCGGTGCTGAGCTCTCGGTGCGGGGTCTTGCACATGGTTTTCCTTCCCAGCAACGGGAAAACCACGGGGGGAAAGCTTTTTTTTCCAGCGGGGAAAAGGATTTCAGCTTATTGTGTGGCTCTATTTTACTGTTTGATAGCGGGGAGGATGCTGCAGTGGCTGCCTCGGTACCAGGAGGAACTGCTGGGGATGTCCCATGCTTGTGGTGGCCGGATCCAGCTCACCTGGCAGCGTTGTTAGACATCGCTGTTTCCTGGTGGTGGATTTATGGGCTGGAAGGGCCCTGGGGGGTGTGGGGTTTGCAGGTCTTGTTTGCCCCCTTTGCAGAGATTGATCTTTATTTTGGTATCTAATTAACAATGCACTGATATCAAGGGGGTGTCCCCAAAGCGCATCCAGTCTGTGAGTTAACCCGCAGGTGTTTCTCCTTCTCTCCAGGCCAGAGGACCGGAGCAGAGCACCATGAAGCACCCTGAGAGCCAACAGCCCTGAGACACCCACCACGGCGGGGAGGACTCCCTGGAAAGCACAGGGAAAAAGGGAAAATGAGGCTTTTCCGGAGACGCTACAGCCCCTTGAAGGTGGCTTTGGCCGGCACCATCTTCGTCATCTTCCTCTTCATCCTGCAGAAGGACGTGGGGAGCAAGGACCCGCGTGAGGAGCCTTGGTTGAAGAACATCGTCCAGGGGAAGGACCAAGTCCTGGACCTGATGCTGGGGGCTGTCAACAACATCCGGGACTCGATGCCCAAGCTGCAGATCAGAGCACCGGTTCGGCAGGAGGAGCCGGCCCCCAGCGCTCGCTCCTGCCTGCCCGGGGTCTACACAGCGGCAGAGCTCCGGCCCCTGATGGAGAGACCCCCCCAGGACCCTGCCAGCCCCGGAGCCGACGGCAAAGCCTTCAAGAAGGAGCAATGGACACCGGAGGAGACGAAGGAGAAGGAGCGGGGCTACGAGAAGCATTGCTTCAACGCCTTCGCCAGCGACCGCATCTCCCTCCAGCGAGCGCTGGGACCCGACAGCCGCCCTCCCGAGTAAGAGCCTGGTGGGGCTGCAGGCTCCATCCGTGGAGACACGTAACGGGAAATGGAAGTGGATCGGGACAGTGGCACCGGGGGATCAGACACAGGGAGAGCTGGAAAACCACCTCCATTTATGAGTTTCCCCCCCCCATTTTTGTCCCCTTGGCGTTAGTTTTTAACAGCATCGGGCAAAAGCCAGGGGTGGCTCTTTGTGTCTCCACGGACCCGCTTGTGGCCGGGGGACTCCAGCATCTTTCCCCCCTCCTTCTCCCTCCTTTCCCTTTTATTTCAGCCGGCTCCAGTAATCGGACTTTTTCTTTTCTTATCCGAGTGGAACAGCCCCGGCCCCCCCCGCCCCGGGGCGCAGGGGGCAAAGGAAGCAGCACAAACCCGAGGGATTTCCTCGCCTGCCCTCCAGCCATGGGCTGCCAGATTAAAGCCTCCCCCAGGCCTTGTCTGCTCAAGGGGGGTGGGCTGGGAAGGCAGGGGGTGGATAGAAAGGCTTGAATAGGAGCTAGAAACCCAGCGCGGGTGTGAAGCTGGTGCCCCCCTGCGCTGGCAGGCGATTATCCGTGCTTAGCAGGTGTAGCAGGCACAATGGGGGGACACCGGGGCCAGGAATGTCATTCACTGCAGCGCCGGCGGCTGGAGAGGAGGAAATCAATGGAAATCAAAGCAGCGATGAGCTGGGAGCCGCCGGGGCCGGGGTCTTGGTGGGGGGGGTGTCTGGTTCCATGATGCTTAGGCCGCTGCTTTCTGTCTCCGAGGTGCATCGACCAGAAGTTCAAGCGGTGCCCGCCCCTGCCCACCACCAGCGTGGTCATCGTCTTCCACAACGAAGCCTGGTCGACGCTGCTGCGGACGGTGTACAGCGTCCTGCACACCTCCCCTGCCCTCCTGCTCAAGGAGATCATCCTGGTGGACGATGCCAGCACGGACGGTGGGTGGGATGCAGGGGCTGGAGGGATGCAGGCGGATGCCGAGCATCTTCCCTGGGCACAGCGTTGCTGAGCCACGCGGAGGAGGAGCTGCGGGTGCACCCAGCAGTTCTTCCACATCGCTTTGTATCCGCCCAGGAGCACCCTTGGGGATTTTCCCTTCTCAGGCCCTGCTGTCAGCCCAGCCCAGCCCTGGAGAACACCCGGGTGCTCCTCCCGCATCCCGCACATCCCTCGTCAGCGTGCCCGCGGGCTGCGCCCATCCTGACCTACACCCACAGCAGTTTAATCCGGGGCTCAGCGTCAGGGCGCTGGGAGGAGAGGACTTTGCTCCCTCTCCCAACGTTCCCTTTCTGCCTGCACGGGCTCCCAAGGAGCAGAGCCCTTGGGCGCTGTGGGGTTTTCTCCTCCACAGGCCTGGTGGGGATCCATCCTGCATTGATGGGGTCCCCTCCCGGGGTGCGTCTCTGGAGGTCCTGGCTCTCTCTTGGCACCTCCCTGCTTTTGGCTTGGCTGCATCTGCCAAAGGAGAGAATCCTGGAACCCCAGCCTGGTTTGGGTTGGAAGGGACCTTAAAGCACCTCCAGCTCCAACCCCTGCCACAGGCAGGGACCCCTTCCACTGGAGCAGGGTGCTCCAAGCCCCTGTGTCCAACCTGGCCTTGAACACTGCCAGAGGAATCCCGGTTTCCCTCAGTAACACTTCAGTGCAGAGCAGGAGACCTCCTCACCCCATTGTTCCCCTAATCCCTCTCTAAAGGGGGATTAGCAGTGGCTCCTTTGCAACGCTCGCTTTCTGTACCCAAACCCCCTCGTGGATGCGGGGGAAAGGAGGCTCTGAGGGGCCGGGCCCTGAGCCCGTGTGCAGGGATGGGGTGGAGGCAGCAGGGTGCAGGGGCTGGCATCTCCCGCTTTGCCCGCAGAGTACCTGCAGGACGAGCTGGATCGCTACGTGGAGCAGCTCCAGATCGTGCGGGTCGTGCGGCAGCAGCAGCGCAAGGGGCTGATCACAGCGCGGCTGCTGGGCGCCAGCGTGGCCAGCGGCGAGGTCCTCACCTTCCTGGATGCCCACTGTGAGTACCCACGGCAGGAGGCGATGGCAGGGGTGAAGCGGTGACCGCCCCGTGGCCAACCCCTTCCCTGTGCCCCACACCAGGCGAGTGTTTCCATGGCTGGCTCGAGCCCCTCTTATCCCGCATCGCCCAAGAGCCGACGGCCGTTGTGAGCCCCGACATCGCCACCATCGACCTCAACACCTTCGAGTTCTCCAAGCCTGTCCAGAACGGGAAGCAGCACAGCAGGGGCAACTTCGACTGGAGCCTGACGTTCGGCTGGGAGGTCGTCCCACCCCGGGAGAGGCAGCGGAGGAAGGATGAGACCTTCCCCATCAAGTAAGGGGGGATTGATCATAGCAGTTGATGAGCGCTGGGAATGCTGTGTCCAGACCCAAAGGCTGGAATGAGCCACCTGAGCATGCGTGGCTGCTGCAGGGTGCTTAGGGAGGGCAGGCAGGGCTGACAAAGAGCTGGGGGCCCCGTGCCAGGAAACTGCCCCTTCCTCCTGTTGGATTTTGCTCCTTTTCCTAACGAATCGATGTTTTCCCTGCTGTCCTCGATGCCTCCGGGTGGGTGATGCTGCCCTTTCCCAGGGCAGCTTCCACCACGGGCCGCTTGGCTTGAGGGATCTCAGGTGGTTTGCGTCCAGGAGAGGATGCTCAGGCACGGTCAGAGCTGTGGGGCTGGCACAGGAGAAGCCTCCCCTGGGGTTCAGAGGACATGGAGCCACAAAGGCCCTTTGCAAACCCCTCTTTGAGGTTTGCCTCCATCCACCCCTGCAAAGTCTCTCATTAAGGGTTTAATCACCGCCTTCTCTCTCCTTGCCCCTGGGTACCGGCTACGTGGGCCCCTGCGCTGGCCCAGCAGCAGGAACGTGCCTCCTGCAGACCCCATTGCACCAAACCCCCCAGTTTTCATCCCTTTATTTCACACGTAGAGGCACCGAGCGTTGTTTTCCCCTCTGCCCCCCCCCCCGGTGCCCCGCTCCATTGGATGCTGCCACGGATGTGCCTGGCCCCATCCACACCCCGTCCGCTGGCTGGCAGCAGGGCTGGCTTTGTGCAGAGGGCACCTGGGGGACGCTCCCATCCCAATAAAGGTCCCTTGTGCCAGGAGGCGGAGGTTTGGCTCCCGGCGGTGCCTCATCTCCGCTGGGCATCCTGCTGTATTCTTCTCTTCCCGAATGAAAGCCAGTTCCTGTTCCAGCCTCCCCTAAGGATCAGATGGAAAAGATTAGAGCAGCAGCAGAGCGGGCGGGCGCCGCGCTCCCAGCTCCCCCCTTCTGCCCTTCAATAGGCTCTGGGTAACAATATCCCCATTGCCTGGAGGCCGAGCTGGCAGCGAGCCCCCCCCCTCCTTGTGATGCTGCCACCCTCCTGCGAGCTGGGCCCAGCCCCACTGCCAAAGCCAGCACGTGTGGGGCAGGGAGATGGGGGGACGCTGCTCATGAGGGCCACGGCCGCCCCAGAACTCGGGCTCCTGCTTCTCTGGCTTTATTTTACCCCTATTCTGCTGTTCTTTCTCCCTTCCCCATAGGTCCCCGACCTTTGCTGGTGGCCTCTTTGCCATCTCCAGGTCCTACTTTGAGCACATCGGCTCCTATGACGATCAGATGGAGATCTGGGGGGGCGAGAATGTGGAGATGTCCTTCAGGGTAAGGCGGGCTTGGTGCCGTCTCCAAAGGGCATCTTCAGGGATGCTCCTCGTTGGGGGCTATGGGGACTGCCCCAGTCTCAGGCCGCGCCTCCCCATAGGTCTGGCAGTGCGGGGGTCAGATTGAGATCATCCCTTGCTCCGTCGTGGGTCACGTCTTCCGCTCCAAGAGCCCCCACACCTTCCCCAAGGGCACCCAGGTGATCTCCAGGAACCAGGTCCGCCTGGCCGAGGTCTGGATGGATGACTACAAGGAGATCTTCTACAGGAGGAACCAGCAAGCTGCCCAGATGGCCAGAGAGGTACTGGGCACCCCAGCGGGCTTCCAGGAGGGGTTTGACCCTGCTGGGAGCTCAGGCCTGAGCAGGGGAGGAGGTGGGCTCAGCCAAACCCCTATTTTTGGAGGTGTTCTATTCGATCATCGTGGGGTTTAGTAGAAAAACGGGGTTTTAAAAGTTTTTAATGTTACTTTTAAGCATCAAACCCTTGCACTGCGATGCCAAAACATCCCCGAGCTGGAGCCGGAGGGCGCCTGCCCTGCGCTGGCCACCAGTGTCAGCCCCAGTGTGACAGCGGCAGGGCTCTGGGCCCCAGCTCCAGGGGGGGCTTTGCTGCTTCCTTGCTGGCTCTGGAGGTTGGTTTAATTCTCTCACGTGGCTTTGTCGATAGAAGACGTATGGTGACATTGCAGAGCGGCGCAGGCTGAGGGAGCGGCTCCACTGCCGGAACTTCACCTGGTACCTCCAGACCATCTACCCCGAGATGTTCGTCCCTGACCTCACCCCAGCCTTCTATGGAGCGGTAGGTGCCGGAGCATCCTGCTGGGCTCCATCCTTGCCTAGAAACAGCGTCGGCACTGGAGCCCCCCCAAGGTTGGGTTTGGGGGGTTTCAAGCAGCGCCCTGGGAGGCTTTGGTGCAGCCGTGTCCGTCGCCGCGTCCATCCCCGGCTGGTGGGGCCGGTTTGGGCTCTGGCTGACAAGGAAGGAGATGGAATCTGGCAGAGCTGGTTTGGGGCGAGTTCCAGGGGGGGGGATCCATGGCGCTGGGTTTAAACATTGGGTTAAATCAGGCGAAAGAGCCGAGAGCTTCCCTAGCGCCGCGCTGACGTGGGCAGGGTGACCCGAGGAGCAGAGCTGGGGCCGGGCAAAGCAGAGCCCCGGCTCCATCCCTGAGGACGGAGCAGCCAAAACCCAGCCCTTGGCTCCAAGCTGGGTGCTGGGGGCCGGGTCCTGCCCCTCTCCGTGATGTGAACGATGCGGCAGGGGCAGGGTGAGGGCCGGGCGCTGGCTCCCGACCAGCTCCTCATTCACCTTTGCTTCCTGAAACCCCACCCCGGGCCGTCTCCCCTTTGGCTTGGTGGGACAGAGGCGTTGGCCTCACGTCCTGGAACGGCCAAGGGACCCGGACGCAGCGCCCGGTGCCAGGACTGTGTTTGCACAGCGATCAGTGCCCTGCAAAGCCCAAAGCCCAGCTGGGTCCCTACCTTGCAGCACCATCTCACCCCCTTGCCCCTCTGCTTGCCCCCCTGCAGATCAAAAACGAGGGCACCAAGAGCTGCCTGGATGTCGGTGAGAACAACCACGGCGGGAAGCCACTCATCATGTACCCCTGCCACGGGCTGGGGGGCAACCAGGTGGGCTCCCATCAGCCCCAGCCTTTCCCTCTCCTCCCACCACGCTGGTTGTCCCCATGGGGGTCACTCTGACGCCCGCCTCCGGTCCTGTTTCCCGTGTCCCCCCCCCAGTACTTTGAGTACACGAGCCAGCGGGAGCTGCGGCACAACATCGGGAAGGAGCTCTGCCTGCGCGCCGCAGCGGGCTCGGCTGAGCTGCGGGAGTGCCAGTACCGAGGGAGACCAGGGCGGGTGTCAGCCAGCGAGGAGTGGGACCTGGCGCAGGTGAGGGGAAGCGTCTCCACCCTAGGGACCCCCGGAGGGGACGGTGCCGTCACCCCCTTGTGACGCTCCTCAGCCCTCCGGCATCGCTGAGCTCTGTTCTCCATCAGGACCGGCTGATAAAGAACCCGGCCTCTGGGATGTGCCTGACGGCGCGAGGGAAGCACCCGGGGATGGCTCCCTGCAACCTGGCAGACCCCCACCAGCTCTGGTCCTTCACTTAGAGCAGCCCGAGCTCCCCCCCCCCCCCGAGCTGCCCCCAGCCACGCTCAGGAGAGCAGAACCCAAACCAAACTCCCTCCTTTTTAATTTAAGAAGCAGAAGCCTTAAATATGCTGCATTTCGTGGTTGCCTTGAGCTCGGTCCTGTGCCTTTGGAGCGGGGGAGCCTGGTGAGCCAAGCTCGGCCGGCCGTACCCCACAGAGCCTGAACGCAGCCCAAGGATGCTCTTGGGTACCCGCTGCTCATCTTCCCCCTCCCTGGCTCCAGCCAGAGACTCTGGAATTCACATCAGGCCTTCAACCCCCCCCTGCCAGTGAGGAGGAGGATGGCGATGAGCCGGGCAGCCCAGCCGCTGGGAAGCTGGATCATGGGTGCCCCATGTGGACACGGGAATTCCGCCCTCCAGGATCCAGCCCCGGGCGCCGTGGCGCTGCCAGGATGCTGGAATTGGGCCCAAGGGACCAGCCTTGATGCGGAGGGGGAACGAGAGCCCTTTTATTGCTCTTTTTGTTCTGATGGTGACCCCCGGGTGCCATTCAGCTCGGGCTGAGCTGGAGGGTGGCTCCAATGCACGGCTCCGCTGCACCGCGGCATCCACCCGGAGAGGCCTCACCGGTGCCCGGCACAGCGTCGCTCCCTCCCTTGGTCCTCCTCAAGCCCAACTGCTGTAGCTGCCACCTCTTTGCCATTTAGAGTAGGGGGAAAACCCCCTCCTGGAAGTGGCGTGGGGATGGAAGAACAATCTTTGGATATAAGACACGGAATAAAGAGATGATTTATTTTATGGACATCCCGTCTCTGGCGTCCTCTGAGCTCCTCTCAATCGGTTTCTCTCCCTTTTCTCACCCTGGAAAGTCCCTTTTGCAGCCCAAAAATGGGTTTAAAAGCTATTTTTGCAATGATCTGTCCCATTTGGAGTGGTTCCAAGCTGGGTTGGGGCGTCCTTCAGCTGGGGCGGAGCCTTTGCTGCTGTCCCTCTGTGCCCATAAACCAAATAATGATTATTTGGAGACCTTTTTCCGCATGGAATCTCGTGTTTTCCTTGCAGATAAGAGCAGAACTGCAGCAGGTGCTTTTCTTTGGCTCCTTTTTATCTTCTTTATCAGGGTGACTCCATCCCCACCCCTATCACAAACACCGTGTCCCAGCCATTGCTCCATCAGGGGAGCAAACCCCTCCATGCTGTAGGTTCAGCCTCAATTTCTTTCTGAAGGGTGGAAAACTCAGACTGTTCTGGCCAGAAACCACGTTGTTGTTGCAAACCCTGCTGGTGCTTCGTTTAACCCCCCAAAAAACCCGATTTAGATTGGATCTAAGGAAGAAATCCTTTCCTGTTAGGGTGGTGAGGCACTGGAATGGGCTGCCCAGGGAGGCTGTGAATGCTCCATCCCTGGCGGTGTTCAAGGCCAGGTTGGATGAAGCCTTGGGTGACCTGGTTTAGTGTGAGGTGTCCCTGCCCATGGCAGGGGGTTGGAACTGGATGATCTTAAGGTCCTTTCCAACCCAAACCATTCCCTGATTCTATAACAGCCCATGGAGGCTGTATCAGCTCCAGTGCTGGTTGTCCCGGGTGGGTTTTTTTGGAGGAGGTGAAGCTCTTGCCTTGTGTTTGCCTTAGTTTCCCTGTCCCCGTGACGATGCAGGCACCCTTCACGTGTTGGATAAACCTCTTGGAAGCATCCCCCAGTGCAGGCAGGGCTTAAGACTGGAAATAACTCACACCACCATTGCCTGAGAGGTGCGGAAGAGGAAGATGCAAGAGGGGGCATCGTCCCCCCAGGGGTTGGGGCTGCCTGTCCAAGGCTGATGTGGTTTTGGCACTGACCCTTGGGGCCAGGTGTGTTTTGGAGCAGGGACCAAGGCTGCTCGATAGGGCCGTGGCATCTGCTTTTCTTCCCACCCCTCCCTCCCCGTCCCCTTTTAAAGCCGCTGCGGCGCAGCCCCAGCCCCAGCCGCACCACCGTGGTCCAGGATGATGCTGCAGCTCCTGCTCCTCGCTGCCCTCGCCCTCTGCGGTACGTGCTCTGCGGGCAGCCACCGGCCTGCGGTGACACCGCTGTGCCCGCAGCCCCCCTCTCCCCATCCCCACCGCCTCCTGTCCCACAGGGCGCTGCTCCGAGCTGGCTCTCAATGGGATGCAGCGGGTGGTCGGTGGCACCGAGGCGCGCTCGCACTCCTGGCCCTCCCAGGTGGGTCCTTCCTGGGAAATCCCATAGGGATCTCATCCCGACCGGGACCCCGCAGTGAGACCCACTCACGTCTCGCCTTCCCCCTGCCCAGATCTCCCTCCAGTATTACGCCAAGGGTGGCTGGCATCACACCTGCGGAGGGTCCCTCATCCGTAGGAACTGGGTGGTGACGGCGGCCCACTGCGTGGATAGGTGAGCAGCCCCGTGGAAAAGCCATTTCCCACCAAACACCTTTCCAAGGGGGAGTTCTGGCTGTTGCAACCCAGAGAGCGATGGTCCTTTGAGGTCTGTGGTGGTTCTCCATGATGGTCCTTTGAGGTCTGTGGTGGTTCTCCATGATGGTCCTTTGAGGTCTGTGGTGGTTCTCCATGATGGTCCTTTGAGGTCTGTGATGGTTCTCCATGATGGTCCTTTGAGGTCTCTTGTGGTTCTCCATGATGGTCCTCTGAGGTCTGTGGTGGTTCTCCATGATGGTCCTCTGAGGTCTGTGGTGGTTCTCCATGATGGTCCTCCATGATGGTCCTTTGAGGTCTGTTGTGGTTCTCCATGATGGTCCTCCATGATGGTCCTTTGAGGTCTGTGATGGTCCTCCATGATGGTCCTTTGAGGTCTGTGGTGGTTCTCCATGATGGTCCTTTGAGGTCTGTGGTGGTTCTCCATGATGGTCCTTTGAGGTCTGTGATGGTCCTCCATGATGGTCCTTTGAGGTCTGTTGTGGTTCTCCATGATGGTTCTCCATGATGGTCCTTTGAGGTCTGTTGTGGTTCTCCATGATGGTCCTTTGAGCTCTGTGATGGTCCCCCATGATGGTCCTTTGAGGTCTGTGGTGGTTCTCCATGATGGTCCTTTGAGCTCTGTGGTGGTCCTCCATGATGGTCCTTTGAGGTCTGTTGTGGTTCTCCATGATGGTCCTCCATGATGGTCCTTTGAGGTCTGCTGCAGTTCTCCATGATGGTTCTTTGAGGTCTGTTGTGGTTCTCCATGATGGTCCTTTGAGGTCTGTGATGGTTCTCCATGAAGGGGTTACATGGAGCACCTCTGGGAGCGTCTTCCTGCACCGAGCCTTTCTCTATCAACCCACTCTTGAGGGAACCATAATTCAGGGCCTGATCCTGTGTTTTTCCACCTTCCCGGCAGCGACCTGACCCTGCGCGTGGTGGCCGGTGCTCACAACCTCAACGTGGACGATGGCAACGAGCAGATCTTCAGCGTGAGCGAGATCGTCATCCATCCCTCCTGGAACGGCGACGCTGCCAGGGGGTAGCAACCCAGGGAAGGGGGCTTGGGGGGAACATTGCTGGGAACGGGGCTGGTCCTTACAACATCGTCCCCCTCCTCTCGCCAGCTACGACATCGCCCTGATCCGCCTGTCCAGCTCTGCCCACCTGAATGACTACGTGCAGCTGGCGGTGCTGCCCCAGGAGGGCTCCATCCTGGCCAACAACTACCCCTGCTACATCACGGGCTGGGGGCTCACCCGCAGTGAGTGCCCTTGGCTCGCCCTCAATCACCCCCAAAACATGGGAAGCATGGGAAGTTGAAGGATGCTGTTCAGCCTTCCGAGGCCCAGGAGGCATCACGCAGGGCTTGGGTTGGCTGTGGCGTTGCCCACGGTTGGTTGGGGTCACACCAAGGTTCGGTGGGGAAGGGTCTCCGCAGTGGCTGCGGGCTCTGCTTTGGCAAGGAGGGGGTCGCTGCATTTACCAGCGCGGCCTTGACCGGTGCTTGGTTGTGTGCAGCCAACGGGCAGCTCTCCAGCGTCCTGCTGCAGGCGTCCCTGCCCGTGGTGAGCTACCAGGTCTGCTCCGGCTTATTCTACTGGGGCTCCGTCGTCAAGACCACCATGGTGTGCGCCGGCGGTGACGGCGTGCGCTCCGGCTGCCAGGTACCCCCCGCTGCCTCGCTTCCCCCCACCCTGGCATCCCCCCAGCAGCCCCGTGCCCCCCGTTCCACGCTGCTCCTCGCCCGCAGGGGGATTCCGGAGGCCCCCTCCACTGCGCGGTGAATGGGCAGTACCAGGTCCACGGCGTCACCAGCTTTGTGTCCAGCCTGGGATGCAACGTGCAGCGCAAACCCACCGTGTTCACCCGCGTCTCTGCCTACATCTCCTGGATCTCCAGCGTAAGGCGGCCGCTCGGGCGCTGGGACCCGGCACCGTCCTCGCTCCATCCCTGCCGGGCTCAGCCGTTGCCTTTCTCCCTCTTGCAGGTGACCGGCCAGAACTGAGCGGTGGCAGAAGGGCCCCGTCCTGCTCCGGGGATGGACATCCTCTTCCCATTCATGTTCCTTGGAGGGGTTTGAGTGCATTGTCTGGTGTCAGTAAAATCTGTTCCTGTCTTTGATGGATGCTCTGTCCCACCACGGGCAAGCCTTTCTCTTCCAACCCTGAGCAATGGCTCCGGCTGCATCCCTCCTCTTCCTCACACGTTTGGGAAGAGCCACTGGGAGAAGCAACTGGGCCTGGGCTCTCAGAGCAGTCAGAAAGTTCTTGGGGTAATGGAAAACGGGAAAACGCTGCAAATCCCCCTCATGGGCAGCAATGGGATACAGAAGAATAGAGAATCATAGAATAGTTAGGCTTGGAAAGGACCTTAAGATCATCCAGTTCCAACCCCCTTACTGTGGGCAGGGACACCTCACACTAAACCAGGTCACCCAAGGCCTCGTCCAACCTGGTCTTGAACACTGCCAGGGATGGAGCATTCACAACCTCCCTGGGCAACCCATTCCAGTGCCTCAGCACCCTCACAGGAAAGAATTTCCTCCTTAGATCCAATCTAAACTTCCCCTGTTTCAGTTTGAACCCGTTACCCCTTGTCCGGTCACTGCAGTCCCTAATGAAGAGTCCCTTCCCAGCATCCCTACAGCCCCCTTCAGATACTGGAAGCTGCTCTGAGGTCTCCACGCAGCTTCTCTTCTCCAGGCTGAACAGCCCCAACTTCCTCAGCCTGTCTTCACACAGGAGCTGCTCCAGCCCCTGATCATCCTCGTGGCCTCCTCTGGACTTGTTCCAACAGTTCCATGTCCTTTTTATGTTGAGGACACCAGAACTGCACCCAATGCTCCAGGTGAGGTCTCACGAGAGCAGAGTAAAGGGGCAGGATCACCTCCTT